AAACTGTGCACAGCACACAGAGCTCCTCAGAGGAAAGGTGGGATCTAAATGTAATAATAATAATAATAATAATAACAAATAAGAAAACAAATCAAGCCTGCATGAGTTGAGGTGCACTACTGAGTTCTCCCCAGCCCATAATCAGATTATCAACAAGCAGCAAAATACTCCATTTCCACTGCTGCTCACCAGCTATAACAGGGTGGCAGAGGGAAAGGATCTGCAGCAGAGAAATGGTGGAGAGGGGGGCGGTGTGCTTAACCCTTCTCCCACTCTCTGCTTATGCCGAACAACCCACACCCAAACAGCAGTACTTTCCTAGCTGAGATTCCTGCATTGCAGGGGGTTGGGGTCCCTTCCAACTGTACCATTCTATGATTAGTTGAGGTTCCAGTCATATGCTTGCTGCGTCAAGTAGGGGAAAGCATCTAGGAGGTGCAGGGGGGAAATGACTTGAACCACAGCCTGCATATGTAACATTCAGGATTATGGGAGTTGTAGTTCTGCAACATCTGGAAAGCCAATATGTTCCCCATCCCTGATCTACTCTGACTAGCAGCTGATCTCCAAGATCTCAGGTTATGTTCGCAATATTGCCTTAGAGCACAGTGAACTTGTATAAGCAACCTTGCATGCCTCCAGTCTGCAGAGGGCAGAGCTGAGACTAAGGGCTCATACACAATTCTGTTTGTGCTGCAATTTCTAGACACATTTCCATGATTTGTAAGCAAAGGTCTGAGCATTGGTTGTTGTTGTTGTCCTGCCACTTTCCCCATGGAAACTGAATCAGAACAAATGTGAATCGGGTTTTCCATGGATTGAATTTGGTTCCGATTCAGCTGTAAACAGCAAGTTTTCCCAGGGAAAGTGGTGAGACAAACTCTGCTCAGAACCCATGCCTCCAAATCACAGACCTATGCCTAGAAATCTCAGCACAAGTGGAAGTACAGGTGAGCCCTAACAGATAGTCAGGGAAAATACAGCTTGTGGTTTACCACTAAACCTGCAAGCTTTTCGCTCCCCACACTCTCCTGTATGGTGCAGCCATGTAGGCTTAGCATCCAAAGCCATCCTTGTAAATATGAGAAAACTATAAGCAAATAGCGTTTTTTTCCTTTGCAAATGGGAGCTCAGTGTGTTTTATTTATCTTTTGTTTTGTTTTGTTTTGTTTTGCAGCTAGTGAATGAAACAGAACTGGTGGAGGGTCAGGGTAGATCCATGCTATTAACTCTGCTATAAACCAACCATTTCCTATTTTTTAAACAAAGAGTTGGGGGCCCCACCCTGGTGCATTTCGCTGTTCTTCCCCCCCCCCCAGCTGTTCACATCAGCAGGGCTTCAATACATTTCTGTTTTACACACCAAGGGACAGGGCAGGCAGACCTTTATGTTATGCAAAGGTTTCACATCGTGTTTACGGATGAATTACGCATGGCTTAAGGACTCCAAGCAGTGTGAAGCCAGTTTGAGAAACAACGCATTAATCAGTAGCATCTTATAAGAAAGTGCAGGACACTGTGCATTGCAGGAACACTGGAAATGCAGCAAGTGCAAAGGAAACGGGAGTATGAACACAGCTCAGTCCCTGCAAGTTTTTGCCATCACCTCCCACTTAATCTTTTAAAGTGGTAGTGCCAGGGATTGAACCTGGGATTGAAGATATGTGCCCTACCACAGAGTAGCAGTCAGTGGAGTGCACGGGAAGGGTACTGAAGATCATCTGCTCTCCCAACGTTGAGCATCACTGCTGCTTCATGAGGAGCAGAGGTGGGAAATGCAGGGAACTCAGTGGGGTGCGAGTGTAGCCAGTCCAATGCCTCTGCGTTCACACCATGCTGAGCACACCACCCCTCTCCCCCTCAGGAACCAGCAGCGATGCTCAGCATGAGGGAGGCAGGTGCGCAGCGGCACCCTGCCTGTGCCACCCCACCAAACGCCCACTGGCTTGGGCCTTTCCCCCCTTTAAAAACAGTGCTTGATCAGAGAAAAATCATTGTCAACATTTACTAAAGACTGGAAAACTTTTATGAACTTTTATACGTTCATCACATGAACTTATGATATCTGGGTTTGAGAACTGAAGATAACACTGGTTTATAGAAAGTAGATTGGTTGAGTGTTATCCTGGGGTGGATGTGTTGAATAATTTTCTACATGCAGCTGACAGATGAAGAATCAGACGTTCTTTTCCCCCCTCTCCTTTTTTCTTTCTCTTTTTCTCCTCATCTTCTTTTTTCCTTTTTCCTTTCTGATTTGTGTTTTTATTTGGATTAGCTTTTTACTAATACTTGATATTAATCTTCGTACTTTCTTCCAGATTCCAATAAAATATATTCAAAATGGAATGGAAACAGTGTCAAAATAGATTTGGGCAGGGCTGAGTGGAGTTCATATGGATGTGGGGTGGATTTCATCCTGTTCAAAAACGGTGCACAATGTGTGAAAAACTAAAGCTATTAATCACAACTATCCAAATATAAAAAGCACCCAACAAACATTCAGCTCTCAGTTATCTTGATATTATTACCTCTTGGGGGGGGAAGGGGGGAGAACACAAGTGTCACCAGCATCACCAGTTTGCCTACATCAGCTCAGATGTTGATGAAACACAAATACCTTCCCACGTGCACATTTAAACTCATTTAAGTATGAATTTATACATTGGGTTCTATTTCAATGGCTTTCAATATGCAGAAATAACATATGTATTTATTCTTTCTCTCACTGAAGCAAAATTCATGAAAAGGCAGATCGTAACAAATTGTGACACAAGTTGGAGCACCAGCTGATAGGTGCCTCCCCCTGGTGGGTTTATGAAGGATGGCAAAAGCCTTCAGAGCAAAATGTATTTTCATTTGCAGAAGAAGAGAGGTTTTTGGTTTATCTGTTTGTTTGCGGTCAATTCTCCTCCCTCACAACCCCTCAACCACTTCCAGCTCAATGAGGATTGAGCATACTGAGTAGCCACAGAATGTTAAGGGTCAGTTGAGAAATAAAAGTGGAAAACTGGTTTGCAGGGTGGGGGGTGGGAGTGGAATGCCTGAGCTCCTTGTAGCAAATGTTATTTTGGAGCCCTGAACCACAAGGAGAAGTACGGGGGATACAACCACAACATTTTGTTTTGGGTCCTGCTTGTCTCTAATGTATCATCACTGAACTCCTCCAGATAACCTGTTTATGACCATACATCCTGATTTGGTGGCCAGAGGTAGAGCCAGAGATTAGACCATGTCTGGACTTTTTTGAGCATCCATTCTGATTAGTGTGTGGGGAAGTTATACGACAATGAACACTCATTTTTATTTGCTTGTGCAGCGTTTGTTCACCTTCTTGTTAATCATTTGTTCATTTCACACTTCCCAGTGCATTCTATCATAGCTTTGGTAACTCCGAAAAGCCTGGACTTGTTACACCAGGGTCACAGAACATTCATGCTGATTTGCTTGTACAAAACTTGCACAGAAGTTATACTGTGTCCACTTTTTCCTGAGCATTCGTTCTAATTAGTATGCAGGGAGGTTATATGACAATGAACATTCATCCCAATTTGTTTGCACAGAGGTTATTATAGATCTTCCCATCAGTTATCCCACACTTTTTATTGCATTTCCTCACCACTTTCCTAACTGCAAAAAGTCAGGTACAGTGATACCTTGGGTTAAGTACTTAATTCATTCCGGAGGTCCATTCTTAACCTGAAACTGTTCTTAACCTGAAGCACCACTTTAGCTAATGGGGCCTCCTGCTGCCACCATGCTGCCAGAGCACGATTTCTGTTCTCACCCTGAAGCAAAGTTCTTAACCCAAGGTACTATTTCTGGGTTAGCGGAGTCTGTAACCTGAAGCATATGAAACCTGAAGCATATGAAACCCGAGGTACCACTGTATAGGGTTGTGTGTGTGTGGAATTTGTTGCAACAGAGCTCTTTAATCCACTTCGGTTGCACCAACCTAAATTTCCAGCACGTGCTTGAATCCCTCCTGCAAAATAATGACAGTCTGAAAGTGCCTATTCACTGAGTCCTGCAGCATACTGATACACTTCCTAGGCCTTGTTTGCTGGAGAAGCTGTTTACTAAACCTTGTTGCATTCCTATACCTCTGGAACGACAAGAATTTGAGGCGGAACAGTGCAGAGGTCAGAGTCCCTGTAGGACTATAGGCACCCAGGGCTGCATTAAACAGGTTGATGCTGCAAGAGCAGGCTTCCCTATATCCACTTGGTTTTATTCATATGGAATAATGAAATCTGAAAAGTGAGCTTTTGCTCCCACACTATAGGAACAGCCTATTCCCCATGTATCAAAGTGGTGGCAACCAATGTCTCAATCACGACGCTCTGTTCTCCTTCCCAATCTTCTCAACCCTCTTTAAGGGAAGTGCTGGTATCAAACGAGGAATGGGGGGGGGATTCAGTTTCCATTTAAAGGCAGACCTACCTAGTTTGCACTTTCTCAAAACAGTATGTGAACTGAAAAGAAACAGCCATGCTTCAAAATTCACACTTCTCCAAATCTTACAGTGCACTCCCCCATTAAAATGTTTATACTGGAGAAAGTAATGTACAACAAAACATAAAGAAAGTGAATTTTACTAGGAGAAATTGCTTTGCAAAAATGTGTATATTACATTTTAAAATGTGAATATTTGGAGAAAATTGCAGTAAAATGTTATTGAATTTTCATGAGGTTTCTTTTTTAAAAAAAATAATGTGGAAATAAGGGGGATTTAATTTAAGGTTGCAAAAACTAGGATCTGGGCTAGGGAAACGCCATACCAATTCATAAATTTGTCCATTACTACCTGGAAGTAAGACCCACTGGACTCAATTAGATTTACTTTTCAAAAGATATGTATGCCCTGTCAGTTAATCAGAGAACTGGTATACAAAAAAGAGAAAATCTTGAAGATAAGTGGAATCCTCTTATTAAGTTTGTAAAGAATATATAGAATATAAACGGTTAATAATAATAATAATTTATTTATACCCTGCCCATCTGGCTGGATTTGGGCGGCTCCCAACATAATATTAAAAACACAATAAAACATCAGAGAGAAACATGAACACCAACAATGGCTAGATGTATATAACCACACACAGTGGGAGAGAGAGGGTTACATAAGAGCAGTGTTCTTTTTCTGGGGGGACGCAGGGGTACACATACCCCTAAACATTTTGTGAATCTTCGTACTTTTGTCCATTTACTGTATTTATCTTCCCCGATTTGAACTATAAAAGTGTGATTTTCTTGAGTCAAATTGAGACAGAGAAAAGCACTGCAAAAGAGTAGATGTGGTTCATTAAAAATTAGCAACAAAAACAGACTTTAAAAACAGCAGGTGGTAAAATTATAAAAGAGTACATCCAATCAAACATTATTTAAAAAACATCTAAAGTTTGGTTGAAATGGATCACCTGAAAATAAAAATATATCACTTGCTTCAGAAACATCCCTGGTAAACAGAAAGTTTGGGGTGTGGGTCTCTGTGTATGTGTGTGTGTGTGTGTGTGTGTGCGCAAGCACATGGGATGGACATTTCCACTGTTGACTCCTTTAACAGGCATTAGTCTGTCTGGGGGATGAGAAGGCTCCATTGAAGTAGCTTGGAAGCCAGGTCTCCTTCCCAACTTCTTGCAGACTCAGAGGAAGGAAACACAGACTTGAGAAGAAGACAGAACCTCACTTAGGAACAATCCAGGAGGAGGCATCTGCAGGATTTTATTTTTAAGGAACAGTATTTCATTGGTAGTAACAACAACAACAAAATCTTGTTAAAATGACAATATTCTCTCTACAAGAATAGCAAGCAAAAGAAAAGATCATCTGTTTGCTTGCAACACTTGTTGGTGGATGGTACTATTAATCTGTTGTCAGGAACAATCCTGCCCGACTGGCGGGGAGACAGGCTATGATCTAATAAGTGTCTTCCAGCATGAGATTCTATTATTCCTTTGTGTAGAGAGATGGCTCCCTTTGTCGCAGAAACCATTGAGAAGTGAGATAAATAAAAGTTGTTGTTTTTTTATCCTGTTTTTCCAATTCTTATTTTGCTGCACACAAACAAAAATATCTCAGTGCTAGGGCCTGGACCCTTGCTCATTCTACCCACCAATCCCCTCGCCCTCTTTTTCTGCAATCAACTCCTTACAAACAAACAAACCATCCCCCACGGTAACCTCCTGCACCACTGAGAGGAAAATCGTGGTTTTAAACAGCAACAGAGGTTGCCAATAACTCTCATGATCAGTAATGGATTGCCAACTTTTCAGCTAAACCCTGATGCTCTGTCTTGAATGGTGGCTTAATCTGCAGTAGAAAACAGTGGTGTGTGTGACTGAATTTCCAAAAGTCTGTCCTGCTCTTCCTTGCTCCTGCTGTTCTTCCTTCCCAGAAGCAGAGTTAGACCCTGAACTTATGGATGGTCCCCCTTTAGACAGCATTGCAGGAGATTGGACTAGATGACCCTGGTGGTCCTTCCAACTTCTCTGATTCTCTAATTCACCTTTCTCTTCTTCCCACCCCCTCAGGTTCCCACATCCCTAAACCCTGCTTTAAGAAAGAACCCTGCTTTAAGATGTGCAGTTTTGCATTTAAACTCACTGAAATAACCATACACCCAGGAGTAGACAAATAAAACAGGGGTTGCTTCTGCTGGGCTAATGTTAAATACATTTACTTGAAAATAAGCACAATTTTGTTTTAAAAGTAAAAAATTAAAAAACGTGCACCTGTAATCATGGGCGTGTCTGGGCCAACTATAAAATACTTCTTAAAATAAGATGCTATGGCAATAAGCACCGAAGCTGGTGGCCCCACTCATATTGGCCGAGATGTTCATACTAAGTCTCGAAAATCTGCCACTATCTGAGTCAGCTCTTGTCTTCCTCTCTGTCAAAGGCTATGTAAACATTAGTGACTTAAAATGCAACATCACCCCCTCCACACCCCATGCTACTTTTCAATTCATATTTGCACATTGCTGTACATGCCAAAGTGGAGCAGAAATGTCTTCACCTGTTGTGCTTTACCTGACTTGCCTCCCCATGCCTGCCACACACACCCCTCCTGCCGCTGCAAACTCCTATTCAGTGAAGCTGCCATCTGTGCATGGGCTATGGTTGCCTGAAATGTACATACATCAGTTTAACTGCAAAGTGAATGTGACTTACATTTTCAAATCGGATGGAATCTGGTTTGACAGAAAATGCTGTATTTTTCAAGAAACTACAGGACAAATATGGATTGTGGCTAATGTCATGTGTACACAGCTTCAGAACACCAGTGGTTGGAGAGCACTGCAGCCAGAGTAAACGGTAATATGTACAGAGCCAAAGTTTAGGCTGAAAACTCCAACTGAATGAAAGTAGCTTCTTGTTTGTTTTTTATGTCACTCACGCTGTAAAGTTCCATGTTCATTTGTTGTATAATAAATAGCTATCCATGCTCTGAAAAGCGTTTTTTGTTGTTGCTGAAGATCTAAGAATACGGTAGCCACTTAAACACTGTTGCAGGGGGAAAGACTGAGGAGGAACTGCATCACAGCAAGGAGGACAAAAGGCGCCATTTTGCATAAAATTTGTATATGTTAACTTATAGGTATCGATGCAATATCAGAAAATTTGCTATCATCATAGAAATGTGAGAATCTGATTATCACCAGGTATCTCACCTGTGACCAGGTGTTCTGTTTGCCCTCTCGGTCTGCTGTCTGGGTGCTGCTAACTTCAAAGCACAAACAGCACAAACAGTTGGGCCTGGTGAGCATTTAAGCTCCCCAACCCTAATCTGCAGGTTGCCATCTGATTGGATTTTATTCTGATCTTGATCTGATTTGAGGATGTATTTTAATTGATTGTCTGATTTTATGTTAATGTGTTATACATTTGGTGTTAGCCGCTCTGAGCCTGGCTTCGGCTGGGGAGAGCGGGATATAAATAAAAAAAATTATTTTTATTATTATTATTATTACTATATTAGGATTATTATTCTTTAAAGTGGACTTGCCCTGGACAACCCTTCAGATGGAGGACTGTCCTCTTATAACCCTTCATAATAGAGGACTGTCCTCTGTAAGACACAAGTAAGACACGTGTTCACCCTAGATAAAAGTAAACCAGTAGGGGCCTGCTGAACAGCTGGAAATCTTGGTAACCAGAATTTGAGGTACTGTAAAATAAACACCCTCTTAGAAATTGCCACCCACCCCCTGTCTCTGGGGCATCCAGACCTTTTTGGTTAGTTTTTTACCCACTTATTTTTATTACCTGGTTTGGAAAATCAGCAGTTATGTTGAGTTAACATCAGTTTCACTGGAGCTCAGGTCTCTACTCTAATTATTTATCCTAAAGCAAAAGCAGTTCATTTTTCAGTTTCTACCAATGCAAAGCACTCCTATGCCCCCTATTGGTTCTTAAAAGACTGTTAGAAACAGAAAAAGTTGGGAAAGGAATGAAATGGTCATAATAAATATTTAATATTTTTAAAGATAGATTCAAGCACCCGCTAATTTATGCCCACCAAGGGATGTTTGGGATAGATTTGTTTTCTACTGTAATTTTACACGTTGCTGCATCCCCACTTAGCACCATAACAGAAAAAGAAGGTGGAATTTTCCATATCTGCAGGCAGATCTAGCTCTTTGGAATTTAAAAAATAAAAGAGAGATATTGTATGAGCCGCTAAAGAGTTGTGGACGCCGAAATAACATATTGCTCAGTCTTCGAAGTTTGTCGCTATACATTTTGTGGTGGCAATAGGTGACCAGGAGTGTAATTTCATGCACATTTATATATGTGTTACATTTGCTTACCACCTTCCTCTGAGGAGCGAAAGACAGCACACTTGGTTCCTTCTCTTTCCTTTTTATCCTCACAACAGCCCTGCGAGGTGAAGTTCGGCGGAGAGAGGAAGCGACGGGCTCACTCAGAGTACAAAAGCCTCATCCCGCACACGGTCGACTAAGGATTAGACTGAGCACACGCCCTACATTTAGGCACATTCCTCTCCAAAGAATCCCGAGAACTTTCTAGTTTCCCACGTGCTGGGAACTGCAGCACTTTAGGTGGTAAGCTACAGTTCCCAGGCTTCTTGGTATGTGTGTGTTTCTTTTTAATGTATGGTTTGCCAACATTTGGCGCTCCAGATGTGGCTGGGCTCCAGTTCCCATCAGCCCAGCCAACATCGCCAACGGGCAGCGATTATGGGAGCTGCTCTCCAGCAACGCCTGGAGAACCGCAGACTCACCAACCTCGCCCTAACCACTATGCAAGACTGCCTTTCTGGAGTGAAGCTAGGGGAACTTGCAGTGCTAAGCAGCAGGAAAAGCACGTGGCGGAGGGGGCGGGAGAAAGAGTTACGCTAAACCGGAACACCGGGGGGGGGAGAGCCCAAACGCAGCGGAAGGCCTGTCATTCGTCGCCATAGCGACAGGCGGCCGGAAGTTCTGCCCGACGCATGAAGCCACCCGTTTGCCAGGATCTCTTCCTAGAGCGGTGCCGCTCTAGGCCTCGGCACCTCTATAGCGGAATTAACTCCTTCCTCGGAAACCGCGCTTCCGTTTCCGCCTACCTGTCTCGCCGTCTCCTGGGTCCGTCTTGACTGTTCGCGCTTCTCTTCCAGCCAATCCCTGTGCGTGCTTCCTCCAGAGGAGCAGGTTGCCCCTAAGGCGAGCCTGGCCTCTCACTTCTCTACCTCAGTCCTCGAGGGACGTCGCCCACATGGCTACTACATCTGTGGTAAGAGTGGAAGCTGAGGAGGTAGCGCGGGGCAGTGGTTAGAGTGTCGGCCCCTGAGACGGAGGACGTGGGTTCAGGTCGCTCCGCCGCGTAGCTCTTAGGGTGGCCTAGCCTCTGCCTGCCTAACCGGGTTCGTTGTGTTGATAAATTTGGGAGGGAGGGAGGGACGCATGCGACCTCCTAAGTGGAGGGCCGGCCCATGAGGCAATGTGAGGCCACCTCCTCGGGCGGCAGGACCAACGGGCTGAAGAACCGGCTTCCAAGGAATGTATTGCCAGGCTTCCGCTGCTGTAGAGGCAATGGCAAATGAGGTCGGATCCTTGGAGGTTGCTTTGTTCAAGAGTTTCAGCTGTGAAGCCACTGGGAGATATCGGGCCACTAGTGTGCTCTCTTTCTCTCTCAGCCTAACCTTACAGGCTTGTTATGTGAATGGAATGGGGAGGGATGGAACAAACAAGTATGTGGTCGTAGGTGACCATCACAGTAGAAGGGCCCACTACAAAGTTCATGGTGCAGGAGCACATTCCCCCCCCCAAAGAAACAATCCCTTTGCTGCCTTTCTCCTAGCACACAGTTGAAGGCATAACTTCACTGCTGCTTCGCTTCCTCTGTTTATGCTGATACTGTCTGGGACTGTTTCATGTAATTATGGTCGACAAAATCATAGTCATAGGTCATTTCTGCCAGTCACTTATATAAAGTTTGTATGGCTTTGAGGCAGCGGTTACAACAAAGCAAAACTATGGAAGAGATTTCCATCCATTAGCCATACTAGCTCTTGTATGTCACAAAAAGGAAATCAATTAGAACTTTACAAAATGGAGTTCCCTTCTCTGCATCTGACATCTTTACCTTACTGTTGACACCCTTCGAAAATGGTTTCATTGAGCTGTGTTTTTATGTTTAGAACTTTAAAACCTATGTGGATCAAGCTTGCAGAGCTGCTGAAGAATTTGCAAATATTTACTATGAAACCATGGATAAAAGGAGACGGGTATGTAGATTCCCAACAGCTTTTGTGTTTGGTGTGGGGTTTGGTTTTTTTAGAAGAATTATTTACTGCATTTCGCAAAGTACATATCTGAGTTCTGATGTTGTATGTGCTGATATTATTCATGCTAATATACATATTTGTACATGCTGAGATTATTAGATCATTCCATGTTGTCATGGACACAGCCTTCAAACACATGTCATTTGTTTCTATCTCTTAACAGCTTGATCCTCTGTATGTTTACTCAAAAATATGATCAGTGGGAGTTTACTCTGTGAGAATATCTGTAAAGGACTGCATCCAAAGGCTACAATCCTATACCACTTGCCTGTAAGTCCTATTGAACGCAGTGGTGTTTAAATAGACATGTATAGGATTGTGTTATAAATAGTGCAAACAGGTACACGGAAGTGTGGAAGCAATGACTGAGCAGTTCCAGTTAGTTGACATGAAATGGTAGCTACTTAACCTGAGTCTTTCTCCCTTTGAACTCAGTGGGGCTCACCTTTCTGTAGACATAGAACCAAAGAATTGGAAGGGACTTTGGAAGCCAAGTACCAGCTCACTGTAGGATTTTGCAATGCAGGGTGCAACTTCTTGCATCCCTAACAGATGGCTGTCTAACCCCTGCTTACACACCTCCAGCAAAGGAGAGTCATTGCCTCCCAAAACAGTCTATTTCACTGTTAAAACAGTTCTTAATGTTAGGTTGTTTCTCTTACTGTTTTACCAGGTGCATCATGCTGTTTGCTCATACTTAGAATGTGATCAGCTAAGATACCTAGTTCCTTTTCCAGTGTACTGCTGCCAAGCAAGGTCTCCCACATCCTATACTTGGTGCTTTGATTTGGGTGTGTTAATTACAAGACTTTAATGCATCTCTATGCATTTTGTGGGGGGACTTTTTTAAAAAGCCTTTCAGATTTTTTAAAAATAAAAAACCCTAAAGGAAAAGGGAAAATGTAAATACTGTATCTGGATGCAGCAACCTATATAGGAAGGGGTGCTGTAATAAAAGCACAGTTTCCCCTTGGAGTTCATGTAATGCTTCCTAATGTTTCTCAGGTGTTAACCAAACTCTACCTGGACAAAGCGACCCTGGTTTGGAATGGGAATGCAGTATCTGGGCAAGCAGCACTTGCAGAATTCTTTGAAATGTTGCCTTCAAGTGATTTTCAAGTTACCACATTTGATTGCCAGCCTGTTCATGGTAAGATACCTTGTCAAACAGTGTAGCCCACAAATCAGGGAAGATAGTTTGATTCTAAATATGTAAGTAGAATTATTTAACCTTTTCACATTGTGTAACTTGCAATCATTCCAGTTTCAGAAATTTCAGCTGTTCCTTTGCGTTTCTGAATTATGTGGTTAAATTATGTCTACCCAATCTGTTCTTGTGACATTTCTGTATATTCTTCTAAAAAATTGTAGAAATGGAAAAGCATCCATAGTGTCCCTGATGGTCTTTAGGAAAAGGTTGCGAGGAGCAGCTTTGTTCCTATTTGTGCTGATCTTCATAGCTCAAGCAGAAAACTATTGCAAAAAGTGTGACATGCTTTAAAAAAGTGCTTATTAAATATTTTTGTGATACAAAACAAACAAATAAACAAGGAAAAGTACATATAGTGTCTCCACTTTCAACTCACAGAGTCTTTTTCACAGTTTGCTTACGTTCGGTATGAGACACTATTGTCACAGACTTAGGGGGAACAGGGGAGAAAAAGAAGGAGGGAGAGGGGTGGAAGTGGTCTTTTCATTCTATTGTGCAGGGTTTCTGTGTCAGCATTTCATGGGTAGGTCCTTTATTTATATAGTTATTGATTTTTATTGGGATCGTGAGAGATTGGAGAGTCCAGAGCTTGGTTGGTTATGTTCAGTTGGTTGCAGCATGGTTTGTTTGTATGTGTGTGGAAGGGTGTTGTTGTGTCAAATTAGCCATATTGATTTGTATGCTCTTGTTGGGGATAAGTCATTGTCTTGTTGGACAGTATGCTTTTTAGAACATCAGTTCCTATGCCACCTTACAAGGCTGCTGGACAGAACAGAGCAAAATCCTATGAACTGTACAAAGAGTGCTGGTGTGGACGTAACCTGAATATAATTGTTTTTAGAAGCCTTAAAGATTAATTTGAATTTCCTGTAAGTCGCCTCTTTGAACAGTCCTTTGCCCAACTTATTTCATATTTTTAATTTTTAAAATTACATTTCTATACTGTCCTTCATCTGAGGGTCACGGGGCAGTTTACAATGTTAGCATCCATCTGTCTAGGGAGATAATTGAAGAGCGCACCTTTGGGGGTAAAGTCAAACCACTCTAGAGTTACAGTGCCTGCTTTGGCTGTAGAGTCCAGTAGGGCAGATGAAGACGTTTGGTTTTGCTGCTGCAGGTGCACTGTGGCATTTCTTCTCTTTGTGCTCCTTTCAGTGGTCATTCATCCTCTGGTCACTGCTGTGGACACACAGCCTGACTGTCTGTCTCCAGGCATTGCAATTGTTTGTAAGGGATTGCCATACAGCGGCAATCCCAGCCTCCATGTCACATTTGCAGACATCTTTGTGACACAGAGTCAGTCTGCCAGCAGGCCTAGTCTGTGAAGCCAGCTCCACTTGGAGCACAACCTTAGGGATCCTGCCATCTTCCATTCTGTGTACCTGACTAAACTAGCGTGGATGTTTCTGAAACAGAAATGTGAACGTGCTAGGAATGTGGGCTTGGGAGAGCACATCTTTGTTTGAGACTCTGCCCTGCCATGTGATGCCCAAAATCTACCTGATGCAGCACAAGTGAAAGACATCGGGGCTTTGCTCCTAGCAGGTGTAAGTTGCCCATGACTCACTTCTATAAAACAAGTATGCATAGCATAGTAACAAGCAAAACATAGTCAGGATGGCGAAAAATAGCACTGAAAATATTGCTCTTTTTGTAGATTCTGTTTTCATGCTGCATTTTTGTATTTTATGGTTTTAATTTTTACTTCTAAACTATCAACAGAAGTATTGTTATTGGATGTATACATATTGAAAATGAAATAACGAATAATGGTGGTGGGAGTTTGCTAGTTGGCAAGTTAGAGAAGAGGCATATCTCAGTGGCAGAGCTTCTGCTTTGCACAACGAAGGTCCTAGATTCAGCCTCCAGCCTCTCAAGATGTTACTGGGATAGACTCCCTCTCTGAAATCCTGGAGAGCTGCTGCCACTCAGTGTAGACAACACTGAGCTAGGTGGACCAATATTCTGACTTGGTAGAAGCTGCTTTCTAGACACCCATAGAACATTGTAACGTGGCACCTTGGACTAAACCAATGGTGGGTAAGTTGTGGCACCAATGACTCTCTCTTTATCCCTGACTTTTGGCTATGCTGGGAAATGAGAGTCCAAAAATATATGGAGGGCCACAGGTTAGCCATCCTAGGGTTAAACAGTATAATAACAAGATGAACTTACTAATACTTATTGAGCTTCACACACATATGCATACCTGTTTCATGATTGCCCTGCAAGCTTCTATAATACTGATTGTATTGTTGGTTGCATTTTACAGGTGTTTTAGTTAGAAAGAGGAGAAAGAAGCAATAACTTTGAAATGCTTGATAGCAATTCTGTATAAAAATAGGCTTGTGATATACTGGCATGCCTTAATATCTTCTGTTCTGTTTCTTTCTTTAGAGCAAGCCACTCTGAACCATAACACCATCCTTGTTGTGACATGTGGGTCTGTCAAATTTGATGGGAGCAAGCAGCAGTACTTCAATCAGAACTTCTTGTTAACAGCACAAACCACAAACAACAACACAGTGTGGAAGATTGCGAGTGACTGCTTCCGCTTCCAGGACTGCCCTAATTAGTGGGGAGCAGCAGTTGGCTATACTTCCTCCGGACAAGATTACTGGCTTTCAGGATGGTCGTACTCTGGATGTGAGAAACTACCTTCTCTTTGAAAGAAACTTCCTCTTGCCAGGAATTACCAACTTCAGAACAGCAAAAATCAAACTTACTTATTTAAGAATGCTGTCTGTGGCGTCGGTATTTAAATCAATATAGGAAAATACTGTTATGGTTTACTTGCATTGATGACTCATTCATACACATTGTATACAAGCACTATCTGTCACAAGTTGTATTTGTTTTGGTGAGAAATTAAAATAGCTGTAACAACAAGGTGAGGATGCAGATCTTGACTAACTTGAAGTCTTCCTAGAATTTGAAAATCTTGGTGCAAATAAGTACAGCTGGGAGAAGATTGTGTGAAGGAGAATGATAATTGTCTCTGGGCTTCCATGTATTTCTAGTAAAAGAAGCTATTGGAGAGATATTAGGAAGACCTCAACACCCCGAGGCTATTTTTTTAAGCTGCTTTGGAACTGCTTTTGTTACTATGTTGCTTTGTGCTGTTTTATCTATGATTTGTTGAGTTTGTATGTTACCATTTTACTGGCTACATTAAAAAAAATATTTTTTTAAAAAAGGGGGTTTGGAAGAGAGATTTTGACTCTTTTGTAGCAGAGTTACGCCCAATGGTGATTGCTCCAAGCATATTAAAACTTGGTTACATTTTGCATCTGCCCTCATCCACCTTTAAATATACTTGAAAATACTTGAGCTGGAATACATCATAGACACTTAGCTTTGCAAATAATAAAACTGCTTGCATCTACCAGGATCTTAACTCCGCTGTTACAGCAGAGGTGACCAAGGAGTGTCCAGAGCACTGTCTAGTCCTGTTGTGTTGGATGAGTTTCAGTTGGTAAGGATCGAGAATGTGGACAAGGTGCTTGGATTGATCAGGACGGCCATTTGCATTCTGGACCTTAGTTCATCTTGGCTGATAAAAACTAGCAGGGAGGGGCCAGGTGGCTGGTCCAGGAAGGTGATTAATGTCTCCTTGCAAGAGAGGGTGGTCCCTGCCTGCTTGAAGGAGGCCATTCCTTAGGAAAGCCACTCCTTAAGAAACCCTCACTGAACTCGGAAAATCTAAGGACTCAGAAAAACTATTGGCGAGTACCTAATCTCCCCTTAGGCAAGGTCCTGGAATGGGTGGCCACAGATCAGATCCAGGCGCTCTTGGAGGAAACTGATTTTCTATATACATTTCAATTGGGATTTAGGCCCGGTTTTGTCATAGGAACTGTTTTGGTCACCCTGTATGATGACCACTGTTGGAAGAGAGGCGGGAAATGTCTCCTTGTTAATTCTTGACCTCATGATATCCTGGAGCAGCTGTCCAAATTGTTGGAATATTCTGTTCCACCTTAAGGAACAGGCATGATTGTTGTGTGTCACATGTCTGTTTACACTCCAGCACAGTATGCTGAGAACTTCCATTTGTGTATTGCTTTTGCTTTTTTGCTTTGGACACGAAGGAGATTAGACATGTTTCCTTTTGTCCTGATGTACACTGAATAAACTGCTTGTAAATATCCTCACACAACCTCTCCTGCCTCTTCTGTTTGTGCGGTGTTTACTCTGCTGAGTAGCGTGCCCTAGCTTCAGAAGCTTGGGTTGCAGATTCATGCTGCACCAAGGACTGGAGTTCACCCAGTACACCGGCCAGTGCGCTGGAGGCAGCTGGGGGCCTGCCAATTGCCCCCGTTTCCTTGGCTGCATGCCAACACAAATTGTGGTGGTTCCAGTTGTACTTGAGTAGTCGTTTCCAGAGGGCGATACTTGGGAAGTTCTTCACCTTGGAGCCTTCAGTGTGGGGTTTCTCAGGGTTCAATTTTATCCCCCATGCTGTTTAACATCTACATGAAACTCCGGGGTACATTGCCAGCAACCAAGCTCAGCATACTGCCTTCTCACCTGCCGGTGAGGTTGTACTTGACCATTGTCTTGCCTCAGTAACGGACTGGGTGAGAGCCAACAAACTGAAGCTCAATCCAGGTAAGACTGAAGCACTGTTAGTAGGAGGTTTCATAAACTGGATGGATGGGAGGTTGCCTCAGAAGCAGTAAAAATAGATTTTTATGGTTTTGGGGGGTGAAAATGTTGGAGAATACTTGTCTCATGCTACTGCCATACCCACGCTGTAGGGGTTCATTAGCACATGGGTGTAGGTGGGTGTCATCCTTTGGCCTCTATGTATTGAAAACATGTAAGGCTGTTTCACTGGGTCACACAAGTTAGCCATCCCTCTTGATGATGCCACAAATGCCAGCCACCTGGTGGTTTGTGTGAATGAGTCCTATATGAGTATCTGCATACTCATTTTGGGCTCCACACAAGGTAAAACCCTAGGCCAATTGGGTTTTCTTCTCATGCAGAGTTGTACTTGTGTGTGTTTGATGGTACAAATGTGTGGGGCCCTTTGAGTTTGGGTGTAACCTTCGACGCCTCCCTCTCCATGGAGGTGCTGATTGCAGCTACTGCAAAGGCGGCATTTTTCCATCTCCGCCGTATCAAACAGTTGGTCCCTTACCTTTCCCGCCCTGATCTGGCCACAGCGATCCATGTGACGGTCACCTCCTGGCTTGATTACTGTAACTCGCTCTATGCAGGGCTGCACTTGGAAGTTGTTCCAGAAACTCCAGCAGGTGCAGAATGCCGTGGCGAGGCTCCTTACAGGGTCCTTGCTGCAGGACCACATTCACCCAGTGCTTTTCCAGCTGCACTGGCTCCTGTGGAGTACAGGGTTAGGTTTAAGGTGCTGGTTTTGACCTTTAAAGCCCTTCACGGCCTAGGACTCTTGTACCTACGGGACTGCCTCTCCTGGTATGTCCTGCGGAGGACCTTAAGGTCTATAAATAGCAACACCCTATAGGTCCCGGACTCTAAGGAAGTCAGATTAGCCTCAACCAGGGCCAGGGCCTTTTCAACACTGGCTCCGGCCTGGTGGAACGCTCTGTCTCATGAGACCAGGGGCCTGCGGGATCTGATTTCTTTCTGCAGGGCCTGCAGGGCAGAGTTGTTCTGCCTGGCCTTTGGCTTGGAATCAGCCTGATCCCCTCCCCTCCTTTCCTTTTCCTTCTGTAATGGAACCCCTTTTTGGGGACTTCCCTGGATTTTTTGTGGCCCACATAGGACCAGTCTGGATAGTTGGCCTTGGTGAAGATTTGACGTTTTCTCCCCCCAAACAGTTTTTGATCTGGGCTTCCACTGAAATGAGGCTGCATTTTAAGTTTGTATTTTAATCCTGTTTTTAAGTTGTATTTTAATCAATTGTTTTTATACCTGATGTTAGCCGCCCTGAGCCTGGTCTTGACTGGGGAGAGTGGAGTATAAATAAAAATTATTATTATTATTATTATTATTATTATTATTAATTTCACACAGCCTTTGCATAAAAAGCCATTGTGGTGAGTGGTTGCTTCACTGGCAAGAGGGTTGGGCCAACCAGAATGACCCAGCAACCCCTTCATCCTAGGGTTGCTATATTCCAAAAAGTGAAAATCTGGACACAAAAGTTGTGGTACTTGTTTAGTTTTGTCCAAATTCCGAATGTATGGCTACCCTATTTCATCCAATCTTTCAATGTATGAACAGGGTGATGGGTGAGATGACTTGCTTAATGTGGACGAGGTTGTGGCAAAAGACACACATTTGCTGAAAGGCAGTAAGCCTCTGAAGTGATGGAATCCCATGTTATGCAGTAAATAGTGTTGGGCAGCCTCTCCTGAGAAAGAGCCCCCCCCCCCAAGTGCCTTACGCCTTGTATAGTGGGGAGAAAAACATTGTCTGTGGATGGCCTTTCTGAACCATCTGAAAGACAAAGCCTCCTCTTGTGATTAATCAATATTTTGGGATGGCTTTTGGTGCAGCCTTCAGAATAATTCCGTGCGTAGAATTGGACTGTTTGGCTCAAGAGGATGAGTGACAACTCAGACAACTGTGAAATTTTATCTAGTTCTTAGTCTATAGTAAGACTCCAATCACAGCACTGTAACAGTGTTTTTCTTGTTCCATTTGTAGGCTGTTAAAAAAAGAATATTTACCGCATAATGCTTTACTGCTAACTCAAAAACATTTGACAAAGACATGTGCATTTGCATGTGATTTCTTCTTCCTGATGTTTCATTGTGCAGGCATTTCTCTTTGTATTAGCAGGATTCCTGTGTGATAAAGTAGAATGCCCCTGGGTATGCTGTAATCTTTTTTAAAAAATGTACATAAAGCTTATGCATACTTTCAACCATAAATGTATGGCATTGGAATTAAATTATTTTTTACTTTACAGAAGCTTCAAAGGATATGCAACCGAAGAATGGTGTGAGACCCATTAATATAATTTGCCTTTCTTTTGAAATCATTTTTATTTGCTTTTTACAATGCAAAATTATAAAAAAATTCAATTACATATCCATATGGAGAGATTCCTCTGAATCTCAGGACTATATAATTTGCCTTTCAAAAATGTTCTTTCTGAAAGACACTGTATTAGAGAAATCTTTCCATCCAGAAGCTTTTACATATGCAAGAGTCTCACCAAATTGTGGGAATGTGAACTGAAACATGACTATAAAGAGGTGCTATATTCATAGAAGGGTCTCTCCAGCTAACTTGCTTTTTCTTTGCCTTCCTTTGCCATGGCTCATCCTCCTTTACACCACCTGCTTCCTCATTTGTCCTAAATCTTCACCCAGCCCGGCTCTACCTTCCTTGATGTCTCCTAAATTCTGCCTTTTTTGCTTTTGCCATTGCCCCATTTTACGCCACCTTCTTCCTGCCTGCCCCACTTCATAATAGTTCAGCCTTAGAACTATGTTACGATGCATGTGGCTATTGTAATGTATGTGGAAATATGGCCTACAGACGGGGAAATCAGATTACCCACCCTGGCAAAATGTCATTCTTGAAACCTTGATGTCTAGTACTCTCTTTTAACAGTAGAGGGAACTGGGGCTTAGTCACTTGCTCACTCACAGCTACTCCTGCCCTTATTCTCTTGATATTAGACAAGGGCTAAACAAATTCAACGAGGTTATCCAGTGGCTACTAGCCACAGTAGCTATGCTCTGCCTCCACAGCGATGCTTTTGAATGCAAGTTACTGGAAACCATGGGAGGAAAGAGTGCTCTTGTGCACGAATCCTGCATGTGGGTTCCCCACAGGCATCTGGTTGGTCACTGTGAGAACAGGATGCTGGACTAGGCGGGGCATTGGCCTGATCCAGCAGGCTCTTATGTTTTTATGCGGGACATCAAGTCCCAAATGCAGGTAGGAGAAGAGTGAACCATGACAACAAAATTAGGGGCACATGAAGTCTGCCTCTCGGAAATGTAGTGGAAAGCTAATCATTGCAGTAACTTGTCACAAATACAGTAATTAGAAAAAGTCACAGGAATGGTATATTAATCTAAATCAAGGTAGAAAAAACAAAACACTGGAAATACAAATACTCCCATCTCCCGAATACATGCAGTTGCTAGGTGTATCAAGGTTTACACATGAGGTGTATCAAAGTCTATACATGGGTATAAAATTGCTCCAAAGTCCATTAACACAACAGGCAAAATATTAATCCATTTCAGATTATTATTCTCTCGACAGGAACAAACAAGCACTTGCTTGCTTCATTTCTAAATGCACTGCAGTGTTTGACATGTATTGGACCTTTATCAAAGGAACAAAAAATTCCCTGTTACTGAAAATGACTATCGTTTACAAGGATAATAAATACCGTAGTCATTTATTATCACTGTGGAGCTGCAAAATTCTGTTGATAGTAGACAGGCTGAAGTTTAAGGTCAACCAGTAAAATACCTAAGAGAGACTATAACAGGGTCCTGCTGTCAGCCAAATGTTTTTGCTTCCCAGTAACCGCAAATTACAACTGTCATTTATTATCATTGAACTGGAGCCAGATTAAGTTAGTTGCACTTAAATCTTATTCAAACAAATTTGATAAGTCACAATTGATTTTAATGGGTCTTCAGCACAACTAACTTACAGTGCAATCCTATACACATTATTCAAAGGTAAGTCTCAATGTGTTAATTAATAAGTGTTTAGGACTGCAGCCTTAGAGTGCAATTCTATAAATGTCTACCTAGAGGTTAGTCCCACTGAGTTCAATGGGGTTTACTCTTCTCTCTCTCTACACCCACACCCACACCCACTCATTGAACACATTGAGAGAGATTGTAGACACTAAGAAAGTCACAGAAGTCAGCAGAAGACACTCATACCTCAGTTACATTGCATCTGAAGGCAAGTTCGGCATTTGTTTAAAAATCTTCCCACTGGTATAAAAAAAAGCAATTTTGGGGTGTCCTGGTTTTTACTTTTTGAAATATGGCAATCTACACTACTCTATATAGATGCTGGCAACAAGACCTAGCATTTTTTTTTTATTTAAAACATTACTTTGCTGCCCTTTAATTCAAAATTTCCAGGGAGGTTTGCGATATTTAATACAAACACTATAAAAAGCATAAGAAAGAGGGTTTTTTGGGTTTTTTTTTTAAATGACACCTAAAAAATGATCAAACGTACACCAGAGGTTAAAAGCCTGGGAGGGAAATCTTGCCTGATACCTAATGGTATTATTGATGCAGGCCAGCCTTTCCCAACCTGGTTCTACTGACTGTTCTTGATAGGTGTTGTAGTCCAAAACATCCGGAGGACACCAGGTTGTTTAAGGGTGTGTCAAGAGATCCAGAACACTTTCCAGCTGAAGAGAAAATGGCAGAGCATGCAAGACTGGAGGTAGCACACCACCTCTACTGAAAAGTAGAGGCACTGGTGTTCATTTTTGGGGCAGGGGGTCCTCTCTTCCTCTGGGGGCAATTAAAGGGAACAAAAGGTTTGTGCTGTTAAAATCCAAAGCAGTGTCATACCAGGTCTCCAGCCTCAACACACACACCCCTTCCAACCCGCATGGCTTGCTCTCTTTGTTTCCCTGGCCAGCACCCCTCCTCTTAGGACTATTGATGGGCTGTGCAGCTGCTGAGGGTTGCAGGGGGCGGTTGGAGGGGGGGGGGAGAGAAGCTTGGAACTCAGGGCCCCAGAAAAGTATTTGCTTGAATGGCAGGGTTTGTGTGTTCACAGCCAAAGCTCATTGTAACATGATATTTTTAAGATAAATTATCCTCTCCTTTCCAAGGTGGTGGGCACCTTTTAACTGAAAACCCATCATCAAAGAAAAAGAAATAAAAAATGGATGTTAAGCAGCAAAACAGCTACAGATACTTTATATGAAATTTTCTCCATCATAGGGCTGCCTGGACAATATAAAGCACATTCCAGTGCCCACCACCCTGAAAGAATCTTATCTTCACACCCTTAACAAATTACAGTTCCCAGGATTCTTTTGGGTTGTGGGCAGCCGAATGTGCTTTAAATGTATGGTGTGCAGGCAGACTTTTATGTCCTGCAAGCTCCCAAGGGAACCAATAAACCTGTCTATCTTCCAAACAGAGCCAGAGATGGATCCCAGTCCTGGTGACTTGTGTTCTCTAAGGGAGAGCATCCCACGGTTAACTCCCACTACCACATGGCCTCTGGCATATGTGTCCACTGATTTGTTTTGCAGTCAGCACAGTCCAACCTGGAGATGAAGAACCTAAGACCGAACCGTCTTTTTGCCTAGCGCCATCTGCCTCCCCATTCAAAGCTTGCACGCGGCTTCCTCGTGGGGCAAATGAAGCTGCAGGACGGATTGCTTGGTTAATTTTTGTTGTTGTTTCTTTGCCCCGCCGAGCTGAGAGGCGCAGATCACAGTTCAGAATTCCAGCCTTTGAGCGAACCGCATCCCCCAACCCCGACAGCACTTCTTCAGATTTGGGGTGGGCCGATCCGATCCTCCTCCGGAGCCTTCCCCCTCTCTCACAGATGCTCGCTGTCGTCACCGCTGCTCCCCCTCTCCCCGCCGGCAGCCGCCGGCATCCCCTCGCCCAGGCTAGGCTCCCCGGCCGCCACCGCCAGCTTCGCTCCTGGTCCTCCTGCGCCCCTTCCCAGGCTTCCCGCTCTCGCCGTCCAGTCGCTCTCGATGTACAAGTGGTAAGGGTCGTGCTTGGACTCCAGCTTCCTGGAGCGCGTGTAGGCCAGGATCAGGCCCCCGGCCAGGCAGCCGTAGAATATCATGATGAGCAAGATGTACAGGTAAGCGTCGTCTGCGCCCGCTTTGCTGCCCTCCGCTGTCGCCTGGCTTGGCGCCGGGAGTGAGTCGTCGAGGAGGCTGCTGCCTCTGCGGATGGCATTGGGAGCAGCGCCGCCGCCGCCGCCTCCGTGCAGCTCCTGCCAGAGCCGGCTCAGGAGGACCTGGATTCGGAGGCTTTCGCTGCAGTTCATCGGCCCCTGCATCGCTCGCTAGCCTCTGGTCCCTTTTGGCCTCCTTGCTCCGCGCCCCTTTCCTTGCAGGCGCGTACCGCCCACCCAGCAGCAACACAGCCTTTGCCTGCTGGCCTCTCACGCCTCGGCCATCTGCTTCTCGCCTGGCGCTGGAGGGACAAAGGCGTCTGCAGCTTACCCTACCCCACCCCCTTGCGGGAGAAAGCAGGGGGCGCCTGCCTCTCCCCCTCTCTCGGCCGCCTGCCACCCAGATCTCTCCAAGGGGGATGGGCAGGGTGGGGGAGAGTCTCTCTGCCTCTAAAAAGCTTCTTTGTTCCTTAACTGGCAATCCTGGAGTCTGGCTGCCTTATGATATTGCCAGTGGTCTGCCCCCACCCCCATCCCGCCCACTCGCCCATGAACTGAAATATGGGAAGGTGTCTATGATTTTTTTTTGGGGGGGGTGCTGCTGCTTTGAGATCTGAGCCCCCCCTTACCTATCACCCTCAGCAAATGTGTGCTGGGGGTATGGGTCCATCAGTTTGTTTTTTTAAAGAAAGGTTTTGCAGTCATCATCCTTTCGCTAAGTCTAAAACTTTGCTTTAATTCTGGTGGTGCAGATGAAAAGCGAGGGGTAAGGGCATTCTTATTGGGTCTCTTCTTGTTGCTTTGCATAAATGTGCACAATGATGCTTGAGAAAATTTCTGTGCAACCTTTTCCAAGCTGGTGCCTTCCAGATGATTTGGACCACAACTTCCACCAGCCTCAGAACCACTCTCTGGAAAATGGAACAAGCTGTATGACCAAGGCCCTGGGAGTGAGGGGTGGCACCCATGATCTCTGCGAGTGAGGCTTGCAGTTGCTGTGGTTTCGGAAGGGCCAAAACTAGATGGGACACAGGGACACCCATAGGAAGCTGCAGTTCAGACTATTTGTCTGTCAGGCCAAGCAATGTTTGCACTAGTGGCTCCCAAGTTTTTTGCTATGACAACCCACAAGTCCCAGTTTACTTGGTATGCTGACCCATCAGTTTATTATCACATTACATTTTGGACCTTGGATCTTCTCTGCTGCCAGCCACCAGACAGCAGTTTCCAAGGGTTGAAATGCAAGAAATGGAGGTTTGTGACATTCATTTGCAAGTGCTAATGCAGCATTATAATACATGAACAAAAAACCCCATCATACCAGTCAAGGATTACAAACCATGCTTATTTAGGGTTTGTTTATAAAGCTCATGACTCACTTGTGTGAGTTTTACAACTCACCTGCATGCCACCATCCAGAGGTTGGGAAACACTGGCCTACATCAGTGTTGGGGAGCCTGTGGCCCTCCAGATGTGGATGGACTCTTAACAATTTTGTGGGTGTCAGGAATGACTGAAATATGGCAACCCTATCCAAAGGGAACTTCCCCATGTAGAATTTGTGCTCTGACACTGTTTCCTGGTGCATGTGGAAGACAGGCTTGAAGTTCCATGCACTTAAAGTCTCAACTGCCAAGCATCACCACGGGATACTCTTCCATCTCTGAGCTTATTTTTAATGATGGGGGGGGGGGCAACTTGGATTGGCAATGCAGAGGAACCATTGCATTTCACCATTTTCTACAATCTAAATCTCTCTTTTCGCCCAAGCGGTTATTAGCCACACTAGTGGGGAAATACACACAATATTTTGTGATACTTTGGTTGGTCTAATAAAAGTACTGACCTAGTAGGGATTTTGGAATTTTTCTTAGCTGTCACCACGGCTACCTTTACTCTTTGTTTGAAGCACAATACTCTCTCTCCTCAGGTCAATCTGTCCAAATTAAGACATACATTAGAATCCTGGGAAGCAGGAGTCTTTTCCCCTTCTTTCTTTTTGCTGGTGTATGTGTGCTGCACTTCTCAAGGTAACTGTAAAAAACTAAACACTGTTATTCTCCCCACCCCCCACCCACCTCAGGTGGTGGATAAATATTTATTGGGGTTGTCAGATCTTTGAATGTGGCTTTGGCAATTTATCCAGATTTGAACTTTAAGAGGGATTTTTGTTGTTGTTTGTGATTTGTTTTTGTTTTGGGAGGAAATGCATTGCTATTGCACTTTGCTTTTAATGAAGTCACCTAGATGCTTTTGTGTAGGCTATGCATACATGCAGTAAATAATAAAGGTTGCGTGACATAGATAGGACATTTTAAAACCCAGAGCTATCCTCTGTGTTAATTCATCTGGAATGTTTAAGACTCACAATCACCAAGCTGGATCGAATCCTTGTTTCACCCGTAAACTTTTGCCTTGTAAGGCTTTGGGAAGAGCTTCCCTCAAACTACTTGCTGTAGCTACTGGAGAGACGAAAGGAAGTTCTCCTTCATAAATAGATGACTATCTGTCCTTGACTATTAGTTATGGGACAAGTTAGCAGTTTACCACTCACTATGGCATGCGGATGGCGCTGTGGGTTAAACCACAGAGCCTAGGACTTGCCAATCGGAAGGTCAGCGATTCGAATCCCCACAACGGGGGGAGCTTCCGTTGCTCAGTCCCTGCTCCTGCCAACCTAGCAGTTTGAAAGCACGTCAAAGTGCAAGTAGATAAATAGGTACCGCTCCGGCGGGAAGGTAAATGGCGTTTCCGTGCACTGCTCTGGTTTGCCAGAAGCGGCTTAGTCATGCTGGCCACATGACCCGGAAGCTGTACGCCGGCTCCCTCTGCCAATAAAGCGAGATGAGTGCCGCAACCCCAGAGTCGGTCACGACTGGACCTAATGGTCAGGGGTCCCTTTACCTTTACCTTTATGGCACAGCAAGGCTGAACACCAGTTTGTGGCAGATATACAGTAGGTGAGGGCTACTGCTTTTAAGTCAGCAGTGGGAAACCTGTGGCTCTCCCACCATCGCCAGCCAGCATAGCCTGAGGTTGGGGGTGATAGGAGCTGTAGTTCAGCAACTTCTGGAGGACCACAGATCTTGCATCCCTGCTTGTGGGCTGCCTGGAGTCATTTTATTGATCACCAGATTTCAAAATTAGCCAGGCGCCAGACCCATTTTGCACCTAGCTATTGGCCACTTGTGACCAAGTGAAGATGCCTGGGCGGCAAGATGGTGCTGATGTCTCCACCACCTGGAAGCGCATGCCAGGGGATCCTTGGATCTTGACTGTTTTAACACAGTAATCCCACAACCTGTAGAATTCTATCAGTTATATTTTATCTGCACAATCAGAACGAATTTCAGGAACCAAAATGTTTTTTTTTTCTCTGCAGCCTGAGCAGGAGCAGTCAACAGCATTAAAATTAACTGTTGTAACTTGTTTTCGCTTACCCCACCCCACTGTCCTGCTCACAGTTGTGAAGAATATCCCTACATTATGAACGGTCCATGTCACCATTAAGAAAAAGAGGTTGGAACAGGCCAATATATATGTGGACCATCCCTGAATCAAGTGACTTTTCTTCTTTACGTTCTCAAAGCTCATAATCTAGCTCCAGATTGTCATCTGAACTAGACAGATGTTTAACCAAGAATCAATCACAGTCAGTCCATCATTTGAACAAGACTTTAGAGCCGTCTTGCCCAAAAATGGCAACGAGGCATTCGATTTTGGCAACTGTAACCTTGGTATAAGGAGCCATTTGGCACCTAGCTGAGTTTCTAAAAGGTGGGAAAGATAACCAAGTTGTGATTAAACCAGTATAAGCTAGTACAGTGGTACCTTGGGTTAAGAACTTAATTTGTTCTGAAGGTCTGTTCTTAACCTGAAACTGTTCTTAACCTGAAGCACAACTTTAGCTAATGGGGCCTCCCACCGCCGCCGCTGCACGATTTCTGTTCTCATCCTGAAGCAAAGTTCTTAACGCAAGGTAATATTTCTGGGTTAGTGGAGTGTGTAACCTGAAGCGTATGTAACCCAAGGTATCACTGTATAAGTACAGTACTGCTCTATATGAACATAACTGCCCTTTTGATTCCCTTTGCTTGCAAGTGTACAAATGCTTGCGCTTTTTCATATTTGGTGTGACCACCCAAACTATTTGCTGGTTGAGGTTGTGTTGCACCAGCCTTGCAATGACTAAATAAACATCCTGTTTGACTGACAGTTGGAGTCTGGATCTTATTGGCTATCCAGGCTGAATCCACAGTATTGGGTATTGAGCCCCAATATTTCACAAAAGAAGGTAAGGCCTTTTGAACCCACTTCCTTATAAGTATGGGTTTGCACATCTCTCTTGTTCCCATTTTATAGATTACCACTCAAATCTGAGGAATCAGGTCAACAGCCTGAATAAACCTTCCCTAACCTTCCAGATGTTTGGCATAACAGACCCCCACCTCAGGCCAGCACAGATGTGCTGGCTCTGCAGCTAATGGGAGTTGTAGTGCACAACATATGGAGGGCACAAGGCTGGGCTAAGGTAAGGTGTCAAGAGCTGTTTGTGTGAAGGCATTAACTAGCATGCACTGCTAATTCTAGATCTTGCTTTCTCTTTCCTTTAGTTTCCCTTTTGTTAATATATGGGAGAAATCTGAAGGTTGGGACTTGCTGAGCCGAAAGCAGCTAGATCTGTTCTCCATCAGCCAACTCACAGTTCCTCCATGCACAGAGCAATGCAGCAGAATGACCAAAAAAGGCTCAGACCACAACTGCATTGGCACCTGTTCTTAACAAGGGGCAGCTTGTGGAGCTCTGTATTCCTTTGGGCCAAATGGATGGCTGAAAAATACCATAAATAAAAAAGACGTATATGAACAGGTGGCTTTGAGTTTAAGAACTCACTTAAATCACGGCACCATCATGGCTGTAGGAATAAATTGGGACTTTGCTTCTGCTGTCTTTATGATACACAAATATACTTGGGAGTAAGCACCATTTTGTTGTAGAAAATGACATTAGATGTCTTGCTGCTCATCCATGCCAACAAAAACATTTGCAAATAGTGTCAGCCAGTGGGACCTGGCATACCTATGCTGACCCAGAAACTGTTGTGGGGCCTGTTGTGCTGCCACCACCATCTGCCACATTGGTTGGGTCTGTGCCTCCATCACATATTGTTCAGGAGGGTCCCCTAACTCTTCAGAGATTTGTGGGGGTCACAGGGGGCAGCAGGATGAAGAGGAGGGGGCAGGAAACTTTCCTTCCATGAACATCCTTATCTTTGGATCCAAACTAAGAGTATCAGTTGCTGGGTGGGTAGGGTGATCAGGTTTTGGACTTCAGCATGTAGTTAACTTTTTCTTCCACAATATTAAAACAAATGCCCTCATCAGCACTATATTCTCCGCTTCCAAAAGCCTTTGAATTTCTTCTCCACAAATACTATTGTATTTTCTTTTGCAATTTGTTGTTATTGTTTAGTCCTGTCCGGCTCTTTGTGACCCCATGGACCAGAGCGCGCCAGGCACTTCTGTCTTCCACTGCCTCCCGCAATAGGAAGGACTAATAAAGGCTGGCATAATCACAGTAACGTTAAGAATTCAGTTCTGAGTTTATATGCTATAATAGCAGTGGCTACACTGGGGCATCTTGGTTCTGTGGGAGTGTCAACTTCAGTTCCATATGCATTAGGTGGTTGAAATCCCCGCAATAATTCCGCAAGTTAGGTGGCAATATCCCCATATTGCAAACCTGGGGCTGAGAGTAGCTAGTCTTAAGGTCTCCTGGTTTGTGGCAGAAACCCAGAGGTTTGCTGATTTGTGCTCGGTCTCTTGGTCCCAGTGCTCACATAAGCGGATCATCACATCATGGAAACAGGTGTTTAATACCCCCACCTCAAATCCTCAGTGTGCTAGTGCCCTACTAGTGCAAGGTGGCAAAAACTCTTTAGGTATTCAAGTAAACACATGAGCAGGGTCTACAGCATGGGTTGGCAAACTAAGGCCCGGGGGCCGGATCCGGCCCAATCACCACTTCAATTCGGCCCATGGATGGTCCAGGAATCAGTGTGTTTTTACATGAGTAGAATGTGTCCTTTTATTTAAAATGCATCTCTAGGTTATTTGTGGGGCATAGGAATTTGTTCATTCTCCCCCCAAAAAATATAGTCTGGCCCCCCACAAGGTCTGAGGGACAGTGAACCGGTCCCCTGCTGAAAAAGTTTGCTGACCCCTGACAGGGATTAAGGTGCTAACTCCATCCCCCACTGCTATTCTTACTGTCCTTCAACTTGAGCAAAGTAATCTGAAGTGAGGATGCTTCTGTACACGGGGAAGTTTCCCAAATTATAGAATCCTGGAAAATCTGGGTTCTAAAATACAGAGCACCTCCAGGAGTGCATAAGGTTCCCTGCTTCAGAATAAGGCTGGAACTATCACAACCACAGCCCCTGCAGAAGGAGGCAGGTATATAGTTCTATGGCATAGGCAAACCTACTAACCCCACTTTGCCCTACCTGTGCCACTCAGTAGTGCTGGTTCCAGGTTGTTGGGGTTTTTTTGGGGGGGGGGTCTCCTTGGTGGCCTCCAGCCTGTTCACTGTCCATTTATTTACTTCCCCGTGGGCCTAATCAACAGTACCGAGAGAGCAAATAAGGCATGTAGACGTTACTTTACCTTCTCTAATTGAGGAAAATATGCAAGCTCCATTGATCAGTAGTGTATAACCCTACAATGGTGGAGCCTTCATAGGTGTCCAGTGATGCTAATCCCCAACTTCTCTTATGCCACCAAGATACTCTTATTTAAATTTTGGCTCACAGCTAGAATTATCATGTGGTGCAAGCATACATCTTTGTCTTCAGCAACTTCTAATGGGACCTCAGAGAGTAACTTGTCTTGTTTTATAACATTTTGTGAATGTATGCGGTTTTCTTTGCAGTAGCCAGAAACCACCCATAAAATGATCAGCCAACATTTCTTAGTAACTCACATGTCTATAACCAGAATAATGTGTTTTCAGACAATACCAAGCAGTTTCATTTGTTTTGGCAAATCTTTGCATGTATAAGGTGGTTTGCTTTGGCTTATTTCCTGTTCAAGCACTGAGGCAGTGCAAATCTAATTATAGGGAACACAATGACATAGCTGAAAGTTAATATTTTGTCATAGCTGGCAATTAAAGGCAAGCAAGGGTCTTTGATTATGTTCTTTCTTTCTTTCCTCCTTTTCAAAGGCAGCCCCATAGTTAAAACACTTTTTTTATTAAATATGAACTATTAAGATGTCATCTCAGTAACATCAACCAGGGCCTCTCTCAAGCTTTATTCTCTGTAATAGCCACATTTTACTGACTGATCTGAGTAAAAGCCAGTATGTGCTCTCCACAAAACCTTGCCTTGAAACAGGCAAATGCTAGTTCCTTAAAGACGTGCATATTCCAGTTATATTTTCACACATGGGAAAGAAAATTGATCTGAAATTTGGTAACCTGGTGCCTAATTAATTGATATCAAGGTTTTTTTTACAAGCTGGTTCTTGAAGAACCACTTAGAGCTAGTTTTCACTCTTGAAAGCTTTCTATAATGCAGTGCTCTGGAAGCCTCTGTGGCTGAAGAGTGGTGTATTTTTTTTAAAGGAGAATCTAATAAAAAAGCAAAGAAAGAGCAAAGAAAGAACAGACAAATCAGCCACAAATCTGCAACTCAACGGACAAATTTATTGATGTCTACTCTCACTTCCCAGCTATCCCAGCATCAAATTAGGAAGATTTTAGGGCTTATTTCATACTTTTTCCAGTGACAAAAAGGAGCCTTCCAATCAGCGACTGACCTGGTTTGCGCAACATAGTAAGCCAAACAAGTTTCGCAAGACTACGTAAATGTGCAGCCTCCTGCAGAGAAGCATGCGGCTTCTTTGTTCCCATCTACTATTTTCTATATAGGCCAAGCTAAGCCAAGGCTTGGCTTAGTGTGTTGTCCCAACTGGGGGACTTGTATTTAAGCTCTTGCGGTAACAGCAAGCTATACCCAAGAACAACCCTGACTTTAGCTTGTGGTTAGTGAGAGAACTTAAACATCAATTCAGCTGACATGGTAAAACCAAATCTTGGTTTAGTTTGGCACAGCAGGAAAAAGTACTTTGCTAAAGCTTGGCTTACTGTTTCATGCAAATCATAGCCTTAGAGGCATTGGATACAGGGGGGACCTCTATTTGTAGTACCATCACCTGGGCTCTGCCTACTTCTGGTTCCATAAAAGGAAAAAAAACCTACACTCTTGTTTATCTCTCTGCAGTTTCTTGCTAAAGCCCTAGAATATTTTTCATTCCAAGACAAAGATATGAAAATGTAGGCGGTATCTAAAAATTATGTAACAGTCCATCTGTAGCTGCTGGGAAAGTTTACTGGTATGCAGGGATTCATATTATGGAGGTTAGAAAACTGGAAACAAATGAGTTCCACAGAATGTGTTCCCTCACTAGTTTGTCTACAGTAATTACATAGGATGTAAGCTGCAGGGGCTGCATAACCTAGTTAAGGCTATATTCACTTGCCTGCAGGTAAGTTCCATTGAACTCAATGGGACTTACTCCTGGATAGAAATGTAAAGGATTGTGCTGTAAATGTATTTTATGTAATAGAAAGTCATGTGAATCTTATATGGACTTGACTTTAAACAAAAAACAAAAAACAAAAAACAACTATGACGAGTCTTAAGCTGTGGAAGAAAACTGCGAGACTTTCACAGTGGGAACTTTTAAAAATATATCTTCATGAATACCAAAAATGAGGTTAGTCAATAAAGGCCACAGTAACACCAGAGCAAAGAGACTATATAGGTCAGAGATATACTCAGTGCATTCTAAACAAACACCACAAGCTGCTGTTAAGATTTAAAAGCACACAACAGCTATTAACTCCATACATTTGTTGTTTAAAGATTTGTCGTGTTTGACGAAGTCAATATAGCAAATTTGTGTCTAAGAAAGAGCAATTTTTATCACATACTGAATATAGTAGACTTCAACAATGAGCTCGGGGGAGGGGATCCCTAATCAATAGAGGAAGGATTTCCTGTTTATGTAAACAAGTGTATGTGTTTAGTGAGGAGCTACCAAGAGGCGTTTTTCTGGTCCCAATGTAGGACTCGTCATACATTAGCAGCCCTCAGATTGGACTTGACAAGTTCAATTGGCAGTGTGCTGGTTTGATGGGAGAATGATGGTTGAAAAATTGTCTAAACGATCCTTGTGCCTCAAAAATTAAAATTGGTCCTTAAAGACAGAAGAGCTAGTTCTGGCCAGAACAATGGCTCAATAGGTTTGACAATAACTGAAACTGGTGATTTGTTGTTGCTCTGAAGGTTGACTGACCCACACATACACTTCATAGAAGGAAATCTTGCCCAAATCTTGAGTACAGGAACAACATTTCATACAAAAATCCCTTCATTATTTAGAAACAATACTGGATTGTTTTCTTTTGACCATAATATACACACTTAAATATTATGAATAAAAGAAATCTATCTTATAAATATTTTTAGAGCCAAGTCAAAGTATGACACATTGCAATCAAGGGTCACAGCTGTACAAAACTGGAAGCAATGTATAAAAAGGTATTAAGAAAAAAGTGCAAAATAGAACAGCATCAAGAATTGCCACATCTTACAGCATTTCTAATTCAAGTGTGAACTGCTAGCAAGGATATAAAAGTCCAGAGCATGAACTCAAGGGGGTGGGAAAAAGTAAGAGACAGCTGAATGCAGTACACAAAACACAAAATACAGGAGAGTTGCTGCCTTACTCTCTTCTCAACACACCAAGAATTCCAGTTTTTAAACAAACGTTTTCACAAAACAGAAGTTTTAAATACAGTATTTTCCCTTTAAACACATCCTCAAACAAAAACTTCCAAAGACCAAATTCATCACTCACAAATACAAAATTAAGCTTTTACATATGACTTGTGTGGTGTATTAAAAGAAATAGAAATGCCCTTTCAGAGGGGGAAAAATAACATAAAAACCCATAGGACTTAATTTCTGGTGTTGATGTGCTTGGAAGAGCAGGCAGAGATCCCAATTCACCATACTTAGTAAGTAAAAGTGTATGCTTAAGAAAACAGAGACTACTGTAGCCATCAAACTTGTTTAGTCCCATTGATTTCAAAGGGAGTGTGCTAATAATCTGAAAACTTATGGATGCTGCGTTATCATTGGAAGTCAGCGTAGTGTTGGAGGTGGTAAAGATCACGAACTTGTCATCATTTAGAAAAGGATTTTTAGATCCTTTGGTGTTTGAATAGGGGGAGTCTCCTTGTGATAGTACAGGACACAACCCTTAAGGAACAGATAGGATGCATCTGAATATGGATTACAGATCAGCTCTGTACTTGTGTACAAGTGTACACTGTACAAGTGTACTTGTTTCCCTTTTAGACACTAAAAACACTGAAATACTGGCAAGCAGAATATCTCATCAGTAGTGCATTCTTTGCCCCGTCCACATTAAATTCATGAACCGAATGATGTGGTCTGTTATCAATAAAGGGCAGAAGCTAGTTTTACAGTTATTCAGTGTAGGGTAAAATGAAACTGGGTCTTTAATACCATAAAAAGTACCACAGGTGTCTCTTCTTCCAGAGTATTTCCACACAGCTAAAGTGTGCTTTTTAGGAGCCTAAACTATGGCCAACTGCACTCAATGTGTATTCAGTTAACTATCAAAAAACCCCCACAGTACCCTGTGGCAACATTTCTGTTCCAAAAAAATCTGATCAGTTACATTTTAATAAACTAAATTGCTGTGTGTTTACCAAACACACGCATGGTGCAAAACAGATGCATGCTAGGATCATTGTGGATCTGTTTTTGGCTATGTGAAAGTAGCATTCAAGAGAGAAACATCTTTTTCTGTCTTTTAGCTCTACATAATGACAGTCAAATTAAAAGAAACTACTTTCTCTACCAAAGGACCTGAGATTGCAGATTTATGAGCAGCACTCTGGAAAGTATAAGCTTCATTCTGCTTACTCTTTCTTCAGTTTTTCCATATACAACACATAAATTAAATACAAGCTCATTTTTTCCTCCACTTGAAAATCATCATAGTGAAATTATTAAAGATGATTTAATTCCTTATGAGTAAGGGAAGCCAGAATACAAAAAGATAAAAACAATGGTTTACCCAGTGAGGGAGTTTCATATGGACACAACCATTCTTTATTGGGAGTGATCAAATGAAACTACGGCAGTGGGTCAGTCATTTGGACAGCATCTTGAAAGTACAGTTCAGGAAGCCAGTATTGTTCCTTCTTGAAAATGAAGTGTAGCTTTCATCCATTTCACAAAATGCCACTTCTCCATTTATAATTATAGCCAACGTTTGGGGAATGACATTTGTTGCTTTGTTTTAGAAGGAATCCTGCACAACATCTTGACTCCCGATGTGTGGAGATTATTTACCGCCATACATTCGCTCAATGTCGTTGAGGTAATGGTTCTTCAGCTCTTTCCTTTTCAATTTGAAAGCATCTGTGACTAGCCCAGTCTCTGGAGTCCAGGGCTCTGGGCTTAACCGCACTTTGACTGGTATTTCAAATCTTTCAAGTTTCACTGCAGGATCAATTTGGGAGAGTGAAAAATGGAGATTAGGAAACATGACAGTGGTTTAATACTCAACTGATGTGTGCTCATGAACATGGCCTGCACAAAATATTCAACTGTGTGAAGTCTAGTAAAGAGAGAGCTTTTACTGCCTAGATTAACACAGGAAACAACACTGATTTTCAAGCTTCAAGGAACTCTTAGCACAGATGTTTGTTCATCACTGCTCTCCTGAATGTCTGCCATGGAAACCTCATGCACTGAAGCAGATTCTGCATTTTCAGGTCAAGTCTGTTGGGCTTTACTCACATGTGACTAAGAATATTTCCAAGACATTCCTGCAGCTGCACATTGCAGTAGTTTTTTTTTTTTTTAAGTGAACATCACTCATTGCTGCTAATTTCACTGAAGAACCCCTCACCGATAATGTTCCAAGGAACACCAGGGAACTGACTAGACTATATGAATATTAGTTTATTTATTTTTTTTAAATGTAAATATGCATATTGGTTACTCAATACAGAAACCTCCAAAGCATTTTGTTTACAGTGGTACCTCTGGATGCGAACAGGATCCGTTCCGGAGCCCCGTTCGCATCCAGAGCAGAATGCAACCCACGTCTCCACGTGTCGCGATTCGCAGCCTCTGTGCATGACATCATTCTGAGCATCTGTGCGAGCGGCGAAACCCGGAAGTAACGCGTTCCGTTACTTCCAGGTCGCAGTGGAGCGCAACCCAAAAATGCTCAACCTGAAGTTACTTTAACCCGAGGTATGACTGTACTTCCAAGCTTTTTCCCAGAGCCAGCGGATCAGATCAAATTATGCCAATCCTTAGACATCTTCACTGGTTGCTAATTTGTTTACAGGATCAATTCAAGGTAATATAGAAAAGTATGGTATAAATTAATTTAAGAAAGCAGAGCTTCATGTGCTGCTTTTCTGAAGTGTGAGCAGGAATGTAACTCAATAAATATATTTAATTTTAAATTATCATTATAATATAACAAGACATTTAAACAAATTTTGAAATAAAATTCAGGCTATTTATTTTGCCAGAATGTAATAAACATTAATTTCGGTGTGTTGTGCTTCTTCAAGTAAGAATTCCCATTCTGGCTTACAATGAATTAAACTGGGACTTCTGGAAAGCAATTGGTTAACAACTTGTTTTTATTGCTGTAGGAACAAGCAAGCTATGATGAGTTAACTGCCAACGTGGAATAAATTAATTTAAAAGCTCCCATTTAAAATGTACCAGTTTTTGCTAAGAAAGTACTTATTAAAAGACTGCCTGTTCCCATATGAACATACTAATTTTGTTATCCTGTGGGTAAAGGAATGGTCATACTGTTCTTTCATTACATTTCATTGTTGTTTTTTGTCAACACATTACTGTATAAACTGGTGTTTTAGAATATTTTCTCTACTGTTTATAGTATGTTAATATAAACTTGGATTGGTAACTGCTATGAGAATTTTGCTAAAAATATGAGGCAAAATAAATGAATTGAATTAAATAAAGCCTAAATGTTTTGCGGGTGTGTTTTTTTTAAAGAAAAAAATGGTGTACATATAGCCACTAGATGGCAGGAGAGTAATGAATTAGGATGTTCCCAAGGGCTGTCTGCATCCCAAGAAGCAATTCCGCTTTTTCTACCCTTACACAGCCCAGTTAACTTTAAGTGACCGTTCCCCACCCCCGGTAATCAATATATTTAAATCTATTGAACAGTTATGGCATATCCAGTCCCTACATTTTGAGAGAGAACCCAGGTCAGGATCCATTTTTGCATTTATTCCTAATGCTTTCGGGTTTTAATCAGATCCCATTTCCTAAAACTCTTAATTTGAATTCTCTTTGCAGTACAGTTCTTGCTATGCCCACAACACATTCAGCTATGCTGTAGTGCTCGAGTACTAGGCTTACACTGCTTGGCACAGTTCATAGCATTAAATACCACGCAGCAAGTTTCAAGTAAAAGGAAGCACAGCAATGTTGCAAGTAAGCTGTGTATTCAGCATGCATCCAGGAGCTGGAATCTTGGGAATGGAAAGGATGGCAGTCCTGGACAGCTGAATACCGAATTTCCATGGGCTATTCCAGTACAACTTCTTTTAAAATGAAAGAGAGGAGGGGAAAATTGGATCCCTAAAAGGCAGCATTTCAATCAGTCACACAATATCCCCCACTTTCTATGGCAAGTAACCAAAAAGTGTTTGTCCAGACCTTTTCCTGCCTGCCACCCAAAGAAACAGAACGAGCATGGAAACAAGAAGAAAGTGTCACTATGTTTGGGGAAAACAGGTTTCTAGGGGTGTATTTTAAAAATAAACAAACCCAAAATGAAGGCATGGCTGACACCCCAAGTATGAGTGGGGTTAGGCGATAAGGCTATATATGGCCTGGGGTGAGAGGCAGTGGCATGGAAGAGTCTTGAGGGCTAGTTAGAAAGCTTGTGGGGCTCAATGTGGCTCTTGCGCCAAAGAGGGTCCTTCACTCCTGCTATTGTCTCATTTTGTTTCAGGTCTGACTTTTGTATCATTACAATGGTATTCTGATACCCAGAAATAGCTGTTTGCTTACTTTTGTTAGCCATCTGCTTAATCTCTTTCAGGACTTCAGATTCCATTGTTGGATTGTTACAGATGTCCACCCAGCTGCCAGTTGCACCTTTCTGTTCAGCAAGAGCAGTTAATTTCTTCTGATTAGGAACCACAAAACTGATGACGTAAGATTGGTCACTAGAAAAGAATGCAGGAGAAATTCATTCAGGACCCAGAATCATACTTCTTTGCTTGCAAAAAATATATGCTCCTATAAAAGTACTCCAATCCTTCAAATCTGTAGTGTGGATTGTATCCAAGGCTAGTCCTTCTCAGAGTAGACACACTGAAATTAATGGCAACAACTGAAAGGTTCATTAATTTCAATAGGTCAGCTCTAAGTAAAATTTAGTTGGATATAAACCACTGGAGACAACTCATTTATCACAACGTTTGATTAATAGTCTTGAAAAGAAAAAAAGGAGTGCATGTAAGATTCAACACAATTCCAACACAGAAGTGTTAGTAAGAACAAAAAGGAAAATACAGCCCCATGTTTTTCTACTACTTATAGGAAAAGTCTGTTGCTGTTAATTATCTCATTTCTATATAAAGACTAAAGATGAAGAAAAAAAGGGTTGATTTTTTACTTGTAAAATGCTGGAGACATTCAGGTGCTACCTACTTGGAATACAGCAATTCTTTCCAGAGCCATGAGAGAGTTAACAGCTGCTGTTTCTCTGTGCCAACTTAATGTACCTGTAACCTGAGCTAGGGAAAGGCATGTGTGTCAGCTCCAAACCTGTTGAAGCAGCCCTGTGTCTAATTTCCACTCCTGCAATTCTATAGTCATGCAAGAAAGCCTTTAGATAGTAAAGAACAAGGCTCATTTTAACTAAATATGCTACTTTGCTTTTCAAAGTAATTTGGGTTTTTTAAAAGCCTCCCAGAGACCAGCAAATCAAATTTATGAGCACACAAATTCATACAAACCTACCTTTTGGCATAAGCACATATATTGTCAATAAGTGGACAGTTTTTCAGAGCTGCCTCAACTTTGCCCAGCGATACATATTCTCCTGCCTGCAACTTCACCAAATCTTTTTTGCGATCTGGGGAAATAATTGGGTGAAATGGTGCTTTAGAGAGAGCATGCAATTTGATCCTATACATCTTTACTCAGAACTATGTCCCACTGCATTTGTGAAGCAAACACCCAGATAAATGTTTCTATTTACACCATGTGTTAGGGGAAAGCTCAATATACAATCAGATGTTTCGTTTTGTTATTCAAAGTGACAAGGGATTTGCCTTTGCAATAGGGACTCTACTATGAGTTCGATGCCAAAGTAAAAAATGTATACATAAAATTTAAAGTCAAGATTAAAAGAATTTCTGTTAAGATGTACGGCAAGACAGAATTTGGTTAAGGCTCTAATATAGCACACTCCTGTATAACAGGAAGACATAATACAATGGGTGATTGAAATCCAACCAAATCATATTCAGAGTAGATTCACTGAAATAAATGGAACCTGTTTAAGTCCACTGATTTCTACAGATCTTCTCCAGTATGACACACATTGGATATTAAATGTTTAAGTATCAAACTTCAGTCCAATCAGAAAAAAAGATAAGGTACCTATGATTTGCAGACAGCCATCAGGATGAAACTCTCCAATGTCTCCAGTGCAAAACCATTGTTGACCATTTTCATCAACAATGAAATCTTCAGCTGTTTTCTCTTCATTTTTGAAGTATCCCTTTGAGACATTAGGTCCACCAATTATAATCTCTCCCCTAGGGTTTGGTTGGTCTCTGTTTGTATAGCCTCCTGAAAAAGTTATATAAAATAATTAGCAATAACAATTATAGTTCTTGCTTTCCTGCAATCAATGAGAAATAAAGCAAAGCAGCTATAAAGCAGGCTATAAAAATAAGCAGTAAAGCTATATAAAAATAAAATGCTGTACTGAAGAAGTGAACATCAATGATTAACTGTATCAAGATACCAAATTCACAGGGACAACAAAATGCCATCCTTTATTAGGAATGACCAATGCCTAAAATGCTCCCCCCCCCCCTTAATGCCAAGCCAATTGAGCCTGTTACATGACAGGCATGAAGATGACACCAACTCTGGCCTATGCATGGTTACTCAGAATTAAGGACCCCCCCCCAAAAAAATATGGGGTTTATTTCCAGTAAGTGAGCATACAATTGCAGCTAACATAGCCATCTTGTACATGCTTACTAAGCAAGCCCTATTCAACTCAACTGGAATTATCTTCTGAACAAATATGTATAGGATTGGTCTGTAAGTTTGACTGGTAAGTTTTTCAGGGTTTATACGTGCATTATATTAGTAACTGAAAAATGGAAAGTGCTGATGTAATTTGTACTGGACATGCAGTGCTCTCTTACCTTCTTGCCAGTCTCTCAGTTTAATCTCACAGCAGATTAGAGGAGCCCCTACTCTGCCAGTGCTGTAGTCAGAAACTAGAGGAAAATCAGAAAAGATTTAAGACAACAGCCAAAAGAGTTTTTCCATTTTAAAATTCTAGGTGCTTCCAGACTGTTGCTGTTTTGTGGATGATATTTAAGCAGAAACAGGCAAATTCAACTAGTGCAATTCAAGTGGATTTGGCGCTCTTGTGCAACAAACCCACTTCCAAAATAAAACAAAATAAGACTTTTGTAGTAAAGAAAGCAATGGGAAAATGACTGAAAATCATCAGATAACAACTGCTTGATGCAACATTGTGTAACCTACCCATACATTTAAGATAACAAATCAGATGAATGCTCAACAAACAGATTCTCTGGAAGCATCGTATAGAGACTAGATAAAAGAACAACCAGCGAAAAGTTAATTCAATCACCGTATTTTTCGCTCTATAAGATGCACCCGACCATAAGACACACCTAGTTTTTGGAGGAGGAAAGCAAGAAAAAAAATATTCCGAATCCCAGAAGCCAGAACAGCAAGAGGGATCGCTGTGCAGCAATCCCTCTTGCTGTTCTGGCTTCAGCGACAGCTGCGCAGCCTGCATTCCCTCCATAAGATGCACACACATTTCCCCTTACTTTTTAGGAGGGAAAAAGTGCATCTTATAGAGCAAAAAATATGGTATTTAGCAGAAAACCATACCGACCTCCTGGAAACAGAGATGATGTAACCCAAAATTGTTACCTTCAGTAATCGTCCCTGCTCCACAGGTTTCTGTTAACCCATATCCTTGGCCAACAGGACAGCAGAAACAAATGTTCATGAATCTTTGTGTTTGAGGTGAAAGGGGCGCTCCTCCTGAAAGCATCATGCGTACATTCCCTCCTAGGAGTGCTTTCACCTTGTTAAATAAGAGTCTTAAAGGAAAAGAAACTAGCATTAATAAACAAGTATGTGCAATTCCAAGATCTCCTTCCTGACAAACAATGTGATCTGGATTATGCCCTATTGTTACAGCAGTGGCTAGCCGTCCCATTTTTAAGAAACTAAATGGAGGCATATTTACATGACACCCAATAATAATGGCTGTGTTTCAAACCAGCTTTAGACTGTGCAGTTCAAATCCAAATGTGCACATTCTGACCGCAATGCATTCATCCAAAGCCCACTGAAATGTCAGGAGAAAACTTTATGGTTTTAACTTCCACTCTATGCCCTTTGTTGAGTGCTAGCACTAAAAATGTTTCATCTGGTAGAAAGGTTAAAAAGGTTTCGCAACCTAGATAATATTGGAATAGTAGCCTAAAGTGCAATAGATTAACCCCTACGTAAGAATTATTCAGATACACTTGAGGATGTACAGCAGCAGGACCATATTTGGGGTGCTTCTTGCACTGGTTCTTTAGAATACAAAATTAGTAGAAACGCATTTACTCAATTGCTGCTCCCTATATAATTACTCGTAGCTATATAATTACTTGTAGCTTTAACATATTAACTGGCACATATATGAAATATACTTACAAATTACATAGAGGTGCATCATAACCCCTTTTTATTTGTTCCAATTTATAGTCATATCCTATCTTGAATAGTGTTTTCTGGATATAGTTCATCTCTTGAACTTTGCTCATAACGTTCTTATAAATTCGGTCCATGATTTCCTATAGAAAGATTTTTTTATAAAGGTGAGTGTTGAGAAAAAATACCATTCCTGCTTATACTAGTACAGTCTGGCAATCTAAAAAGGCAAGAGGAAACAGGAATCTCATTCATTTTAAACAGCTTAGTTTTTCCTTAGTTGTGCAATGCTTAGTGTACAGTCTAGTTAATCTATTTATGGTCAATGTTAGCCGGGAGCCATTCTGCGTAGGCACAAGCTGAAATGCACAATGGAAAAATTGAGCTTTCCTCCCTTTCACTCTGAGCTATGCTATTTCAACAAGATTTTAGTATAGCACATTGGTTTTTAATGTTTAAGAAATAGTTACAACAGTGTCTAATTTGCATCACTATAGTATCTGAGGACAACCTTCAAGGTCTGCAGTTCTAACCACCCCATTCTTTTCTTTTTGTTAAAAACAACAACTCATAAAGGAGTTTTCCAATTGCCCCAGCACTGACTTTTGTTTATTTTCTGAGCATGCTACTTTATATGGATCAGACTTATGGGACACTCATGAAACTTAATGAAGTAAGTTCTTTTTCTGCAAGTTGGACTTTCTGCCATAGCTTGCATTAGGTCTTTCACAGTGCAGTCATGTACATATCTATTCAGAAGCAAATCCCAGTGAAATACAATGCAGCCTACTCTTCGGAAAGTGGACATAGTTTTGCAGCCTCAATTGCTGGTTAAAATCACAATATTTTGTGGTGGCAGGGAATGAAGATAAGTTAGGTTGCCTATATTCAACAGCAAGTCAGCTATGTAAATTATTAGCTGCTAAGATATCTATAGTAATAGCATGGATTATTTGCACTCAATCATGCACTCAAATATTCCAGACTCAAGGACCAAATATAATTCTAAAATGTATAATATATATATTGGATTGCAATCCTATGTACACACTTATTGGGGAAGATATGTCACTGTACCTTTTAACTACTAAATTAAAATAAAAAGTTACCATACAGATTCACTCTACTTCTTAGTGCTGAGGCTGTTGGGAGTGAATGATATGGAAAATAAAAGGAGACTTCTGGTTTGGCTTGCCATGGCGGAGGCTGTTGATTACATCTCTACCATTTTGCGCAGGATATTTTGAGGATGAGGTGGAAGTAACCATCCTCCCAACCACCCCAGGGCCGGGGGGGGGCAGCTTCATCCGCAGATCGCCCAACACCTGCCCCCCATTCTGGTAGGAATGAGGGGGCGCTGGGTGGAAAACACTGTGTCTCTCTTTGGCAACTCTCCAAAGTCGCCAACATGAGCGAAGAAACTCCTGGTTTTTTAAGATGATAATTCGGACTTAATTAACGAGCATGCTCTGAGTGAGGGGAGATAAACTACTCTGCCAACTGATTCAGCCACTGAGGAGCTAAATGATTCAAGTGGAAGAGAGATTATCTTTACTATGAAACTGGTATGTCGGAATAGAAAGGGGGGGGGAGCCACCTTTGTTTCTTTTTGATATACTGCGTATTTGCTATTTTACTTGGCAAATCCCCCTGGAAAGTCTGAATACCGATTGATTATGTATGCGAGTGAGACTGGACTGTATCGTAATATTGATATAATTTTGATCTAATTATTAACTGTGTGGAAAAGATTTACAAACTTGCAATTAATTCTGATGGGACTGTTAAGAGCAGAAGATGGGAAGTGAGGCTTCTAGCCAAAGTACAGGCTTATCTGTTCTGGTATGGTATGAGACGAAACGGAAAGGTTTGGACATATGCCTGTAACAATTGACAGAAAGCCAGATTTCTTCCATTTTGGGATGTATTGTATTGGGTAACAACTGGCATGAAGAAGCCAAAGTGAAAAACATGGAAGAAAATAAACACCCACACAGAAACATACTGTTTTGATATAACTTGCTTGCTGGATGAACTCAGAGGCTGTGAAAATGAACGAAGGATTAACATTGGATTGATTTATGGGAACCACCTGGACTAATTAAGAAAGCAGCGCAAATGTGAGATGATGGCAATCCTCCAACCTCAGAGCATAGGAAGTCAAACAAAGATTTGTGGTTTGGCTTAATATCTGGACTGTTTCGATATTTTAAAATTCGGAATATCTTTAATGTGGCCTTTATTGGATTATTAAATTGGAATACTTAATAAATATTTTTTTAAAAAAAAATATGGAAAATAAAAGTATTTTACTAGCCACTTGTCCCAGCCCATACTTACAGGCACAGCTGCCATCAATGTTGGTTTCAAAATAGAACAATCTCCTTTGCTTCCCTTTTTAATTTTACTTGACTGCAAGAAAAGAGTATGAGAATCTCGGTTAAAAGTACATTAATAGCCCTAAGACTGCCACATTCCAAAAACAATTACTTTATTCCATTCAGTGAAAGAGAATGAACCTCAAAAACACAAGAAAGCCCACTAACAATACACTTTTCAATACTAAAAGAAGCAGCAAAGTTGTATGTGGTTATCTGCAGGGCTTGATGCAACTAAGTAATGAAACAAAATACTGAGGAGTGGTGCTCTTTGAAACCTAGCTTAAATCCATTTATTCACACAATAAGGGAGCTGCAAAACTTTTCCTGGCATCACAGATCTGTGCATGCTATTCAGTTAGTGAGCAAGATAAATATTATTCATTGCATGTTCAACATATTATAGTGCGTCAGGGTAAGCAACTGATGGGCTTGCCTGTTCAAGACACTCCATTATATACACATATATATGGGCAGGCTGTTAAGAGTGCTATGGATGGGTACAATTCTTTTTATTTAGTTGTAAAGCTGATCCTAAAGATGACTATGGGTGGTGAGGGGTGGATCATGCTGTTGAACTAGATTTTTCTAAAACCAGTTTCCTGAGCAAGGTTTCCTGAGTGCCTTTTTGGATGTTACACTTTCCTACACTAGCCACTACTGCGCTTTGAACATGTGGCAAGTCTAGGATTGCTAATCATCTCCATGCTATTCACAACTGTTGTGTTAATTCAACTGAATGTTAATACATTTCTTTCTTTCTGAACAACCAACAGGAGAGGTCAATACATTTGCTTACCTGGTCTGATAGTGTGAGAGGAGAGGAATATCCAATCCTGCAGCCGTAAGTAATACAGGAAATTTCTGCTGTCAGTTCTAATACATGAGCCAGAGGCAAATAGCCAATGTATGTGTCCTTGGGTCTAAAGGAGAAAAATTATGTGATTCAGTATAGCATGCAGGTTATCTGAACTTAAAAAGAGCCCTGCTGGATCAGGTCAAAGGCCCGTCCAGTCCAGCACTCTGTTCTCAAAGTAGCCAACCAAATATCCATGGGAAGCCTGCATGCAGAACTTTAGTGCAGCAGCACTTCCTCCACCAGTGATTCCCAGCAATTTTTGTTCAGAGGCATACTGCCTCTGACAGTGGAGGTATAACATAGCCATTGTGGAGACTAACCTCCGATAGCTTTGCCATCCATGAATTTGTCTAATCCTCTTTTTATAAAGCACAGAAAACAGTTTTTATTCTACATTCCTTTTTCATAATTGAGGGCTTCTTGGATCTATGTTCTCTAACATATAGCCAGGCAAAAATTACTGAACAGACGAAAGCTTTAAAAACATCTCACCAAAGGGAAGAATTTTGAACCTACTATTCAACTTCCTGGACTTGTCAATTATTTTCAAGCAGAGTATTCTCTCCAGCTTGAAGACATCAGGTTAAAATAGGTTTCCACTGTTGTTTTATTATTGCCCTTCTTAAGGCTACAACAGGTTTCCATTTAAAGTCTGTTTCTATTCTCCCACTTCCTCACCAATAATCTTCCAGGCAATAAACCTTCCCTTTGGTGCATTCATGTCAGTTCCAAGATGTACCCAATTTCCAAAATACTGGTGAAGTATCAGCCACCAGCACTTACGTTTCCTTTGTCTGGTCTTCTCCCCACATATCTAGCACAGTTTGGTGGGGCCCCATATATGATGCCCAAAAAGTCTATTGCAAAATCCTCAGACTAGTATTCAAACATTTCAGACTTCTGTTTTATAAAGGGTTTGTTTGTTTTCCACTCCTATGTCTCCCCCTTAACTTTAGCAGCACAGTTAAATACTCTATCACTACTGTTGCTGTAGTAAAGCCTTAGAATGATCCTGTCCATGGTGCAAAGTTATAATCCAGTAAGAAGTAAGTAAATAGCCAAAGTAAGAACCTAGGATCAATAAATAACATTTCCTAGGAAAAGCACATAACTTTTATCTTATACAGACTAATTTATCTCTTCTTTTGAACACTGTTCTGTTTAACCCATTCTAGTCCTTGTCAGTTAAGTCTCATGCTAATGATTCAGCCAGAGTGCAGTCCCCCTCTCTATCTGCTGGGGGCAGGATGTAAAAACACATAGAGAAAGGAATGGAAAGTGATAGGAAGAGGGTTTAGAATGGGCCAACCTAATCCTCTCTGCCCTCCCTCCTTGCTTGTCCATCAGTAGCTGCAGTTAACAGCAAGTGCCACCCACCCACATGAACTTTAATCATTGCTAAGTGACAGGTGAGAGGAAGCACCAAAAAGGCGTTAATTGGCCCAATTCCTCTGGTTGCCATGCTGTTGACAGGTATGCTGCTATGCCCTGATCCTCCATGGGGAGAAAGCAGGATTGCACCATAAATGATTACAGAAAGACAGTGTTGTCTTTAAAAATGGAGTTTGAGTTTTTGACATACATCTTTGAAAAACAGGAAATGCTTACCCCAACCCTGGTATCCGTTCACACTGTCCTGTCATTCCAGCTATCAAGTTTTTATGCATCATCATCACTCCTTTAGGTTTCCCAGTAGAGCCACTGGTGTACATTACTAAGGCCATATCTGTGGCAGTAGGTCGACTTGGAGAGATATTTACTAGAAAAAAGATCAGGGGCAACAAACATTACAGATCAGTACATCACAGAAAATGAATTTTATATTTTATATTTGATGCCAATCTTAGCTGAAAAACAAGGTATAAACAAAATTTATGAAGAAATTCGACTGTAAGTGCTTTCTCTGTGTGGGAAACCAAAACCCGAATACTCTTATCTGCATTCCTATAAAAGGTCAAAAAGTCCCAGAAGTTTCTGTCTCTTAGCTTAGAACTAGGGCTTCTTTCTAGCAATGGAAATTTCCAAAGCAACTTTAATCTCACTGGGAAGAAAGCAGTGAAAGACTAAGATATGTGACACATCTACATGCCATTTTTATATTGATGTTAAATCAAAAGTATCCTGCTTGGAGAAGGGCTCAAATAGTTCTCAGGAATGGGATCCATACCCTGCTGGTGTCGTTTTGATTATATCTATTCCTGCTGAACAAGATGCATGGTTCTGGCTATGGGTTAAAAATAGGCTTCATCTTTATTGACAAATTAGCTGGTTGACTGGGTGCTTTGTTTGCCCCTCTGCCAAGGCTTCAGGTGGACTTGAAAGAACTATCAACTTATGGCTGACATCTGGAAGATTCAGCTGTTTTCCTGATGCTTTGCTCCAATGCAGGCACAGAGGAACAGGATAAAGCTCTTCCACTGAAGGTGACTGTTATGAGGCAAGTTTTAAAATGAATGCGAGTGGTGCTGTGAACCTGGAATCCAGCAGTGACCAGCACACCAGGTCAGAGGCTACAGTGTCACTAGCAAAGGAACCAGACCAGATTCCTGGCTTTGAGCCTGATGCTAGGACCACTTAATTTGAGGCTTGCAGGCAGGAGCCCATTGAACTAGCTCCTATAGCAGCAGGACTGAAATAAAACCAAATCCAGTATTCTTATAGGTGTATTTCCTGGGCCTGAGGGCCTGCACGCTTCTCCCACTACCTCAACCACTCTAGTGCCACAAGGACTACACAAAGTGATAAGCCATGAACTGCAGGAGATGTGTCTGTCTTCAGGCCAGAGAGTTAGTCTTTTAAGAAAACTCTAGTCCTCAAGAAGGAAAGATCAGAGGTGGATTGGAGGCAAAAGCACAAGAGGTTTCAATTCACTTCCAACCCTTGTCAGAACAAATTGTTCACTAGTCCTCCTTGGTGCTGTGAAAACCAATCTTACCTTGCCTTGTGGGCTCATATATGGGACCAGAACAGGACAAGTATGGAATATACCCTGGGGTAGTAATTCTGTCCACCTACCAAAGCTTTAGACGTGGGAACTGAGGGAGACAGCGACCAAGCAGAATTAAAATCCCTGCACAGGGAATTCAGTCCTGCTTTCTGCAGCTGATCCAGCCACATATCTGCCTGTCCTACATCCAACTTCACATATGACATCAATGTGGGAGAGGTGAGCATGGTTTTTGGAAAATTTGTCAGCCTGGTGGACCAAATGGGACCCCATCCCTGGAATATTGCATTATCAAAATTTTAATACTCTACTCACTGGAATAAGAATTGCCAATCTAGAGTGCCTGTGGAATGCCCCCTCTTTAGCAGTGCAACTGGTGGTGACATTGTTATTATTTCAGCAGCATGTAAGGACTTACTTGACACAGCATTTTAAGAATTTGATAGTTTGATCTTACCTGCTACTGTACTTTGATTATATCTGCTATTTATTCAGATGCAGGGTTTTATAAGATTATTGTATGGTTTGTTTCTATTATGTACTGTACAGTATATATTGTACTTCACCCTCATATCTATAGAGATCAGTGTTGGGGAACCAACTGCAAGCCCAGAAGCCAAATGTGGCCTTTTCTATCTGGCCCCTGGGACACTCTCCAGACCACACCCATTCCACAGGCCAAACTTTCCTTTACTCATTTAACCTGGGCTGAAATGTGTTCCTGAACTGTGATAATGCCGCTTGCCTGAAAGGAGGCTGAAGAGATGTGTGGTAGTTATAGAAACCTCATGGCTAGAATGTAAGATACTGTACAAGGGTAAGAGTCACACCATTGCTTTGCCCACTTTTGCATCTGGACCCACCACCACAGGTATTTGGCTCCCAAAAAAGTTGCCCATAAGGCAATGTGTCTCCTGGGCTGGAAAGAGTTTCCTATCCCGATATAGATGAAGGATGGGCTAGAAACATTTTAAATAAATACACATGTGCATACAATATTGAGGGAGAAGCTTATATTTTAAACAGCTTACAGTTTCATACTTCTTCCCTATGATTAACATATATTTACAACTTTGCTTACTATAGTGAAAGAAGTGTTTTATAACTTTAAGCAGCTGTACTAGCCTTTTCACATGGTCCACTTACAGTTTTCTGATTTGGCTCCCAGTTCTTCTACTGCTTGCATGCTAAGGATCTCTAGTGTTTCAGGATAGTCTGACTTATTGATAGTCTTCTTGTCCACATAAATGATATGTCTGAGGCAGGGGATTTCTGACAAAACATTCTGATGAAGAAATATTTGAAGGTTGATTACACAGTGTACAGAAAAGGATTTTAACATATTTCCTGTTTATTTTGATACCTCTATCCTTATGATGGTTTGGGCTAGTATCAGTGCTTTAAAAATCTACTCCCCTTACGTGCAGCCACTAAACATCCAGTCCAAATGGAAGCATATTTTTATATATTAGTTCATACTAGAACTATGAAAACCTTCAGATGAACATTGCACAAAAGGTAGAGAAGCTATCAATATTGTTTCCACTTTGGCTTTCCAGCTTTGTGCCCAAATCATGGTGGTCAATATGCTACTTGTTTGTTTAGAATTTTCAAATAATTTCAATGAAGGGAATTTATTGAGAGTCCCACTGATTTATAAGCCAAGACAATACTTTGCATCCCCACTACAAAATACACATAGCCACAAGTTAGTCCACATGATCTCCAGAATTTCAGCCTAATGTTGAATTAGTTTTCCATGAAACTTAACAGCAACCCAACCCATATCTTTTGCAAGATTAATATTATTTATACCAAATGAAGATATCTCATCAAGACTTACCTTGAGTTTGCCTTCTAAAAGGTCTGTGCTAGTGATTAGATAAGATGCTCCAGATTCGTTCAGTCCATAGGTTACTGCATCTTCTCCAAGGGTCGCATATAAAGTAACAACTGTTTAACAGAAAGGAGGAGATTGCTTTTTTAAAAAAAAAGCTAAAACCAAATTTGTATTTCCTTAGCCATCATCAATTATTTTGCATTGAGGAATGAGTAAAAGCATTCTGGTTTTTCATGTTCATTTTATGTTTCACATCTACTGCAAAAAAACCCCACCACTATCCCAAAGCAGAATAAACCTGACACACCAATGCAAAATTCTGAAGTTTGTAAGAAAAATACAGCGACTATTCATGCAAATCAAGAGACTTCCAAATGACGACTGTGCTTACCCTTGTGTACATTTGAGTTTTACACAGAAACATCATGGACAGTAAACTCTGGCATTGTATTTTAAAGTTACATACCTGTTTTGATAACTAGGAGATAACATTGCAGTGAGGGGGGAAATATAGGACCAGGAAAGGAGGGAACAAGGAGCCTGGGGATCAGAGTCCTATTTTTCCACAAACTTGCTCATATATGCCAGATAAAGCATCAATACTCACGAGGAAAGCTGTATCGGAAACAGGTTTGTGCTGCAATCATCCATTCAGTTCGGGTTTCACAGAAAATAGCAACTGTGCTCTTTGGTTTTAGCCCAAGTGAAACTAATCCTCTCCCAAAGTTGTTCAGTTTCTGGTTAGTTTCCTCATAGTTCAGCCACCTATAGTTTCCTAAGATCAGCTGGTTAAAGAGTAAAACACTTGTTTAATATACAAGAACTTTGGTTAGTAGGCTCCTAAATAAATAAGTAAAATATACTGTTGAATGACTTGATCAATATAATATGAGACAGTATTTGCTAGAACAAGAGTGCCTAAAAACTAAATATTTTATTCATCATTAAGAAAGTCAGCCACAATGTTGGTCTAAAAGAAATGCAGGTAACTTTCAAAATAGGCCAGCTGTGTTTGTAGTGCTAAGAAACCTGCCCAGTAAGGTGTCTGTGCAAATACGACGTTTTCGTACTCTATCAATACAGCTTGTTCAATAACATTGTTCTCTGAAGTACTTTAGAATCCTCTCCCTTGATTAGCAGCCAACAATCCACATGGCAATAGAAATGCCACTGAAATATATACAAAGTAAATATCTTCAGACAGAAGTACATAGTTCCAATACTTGGAACAAGTATTAAACTTCATATCTATGTTTGCTTGACAAAGTAACTTAACAGTGGGTGATGCCTTTTGAAATGAGCATTGACCTATTTATTACTAATTTAACAAAAAAGTATTTGTTTTTTTAAAAACCTGAACTTACTATTTGAATAGTATAACAAATAATAGTGCATAGATTTCAAGAACCTCTAAACATACCAAGTGCTTTAAAAAATGATCCCAATTCGCTGCAAGTAAGATATTTAAGACATTATCAACCTTTTAAAAATACCTTATTAATGGTGTTTAAACATTTACCAAAGTTATTACCTTCTTAAATACTTTTCCATGGGGCTGCATTTCATTCTCTTCACTCAGGATCTCTCTTGTTCCAAGACAATCTTTCTTCCCAAATTTTGCAACAGCATGGTCAAACAATTTGTCCAAAGTGTCTGCTCCAGGCAAGTCTATAGTGGCTAATGACTCAAGATGTGAAATGGCTCTGTATGGGCTTCCAGGACTGTCCGAGACGGGTTTAGCTTTTAATCGCTTCGCCATAGCTTTTTTCTTCTTAGCATTTGTAAGAAAATACCATGGAATGAATATAAGGGCACTGTACAGATTTATCAACAAGTACACAGGAAGCAAGAGAAAGATGCGTAGTCCTAGCTTAGGGTTCATAATGGATGGCTTTCTGTCTCCTGTCCTTCAGGGATTCGAAGTGCCTTAGTTTTTTGCACGACAAAAGTGGAAGCAGCCGCAGACAAAAGCAGAATGAAGGTTTAGGTGGTTCAGTTTTAGAGTAATCACTGCAATGTTAGAAATACTGGAAGCCAGCAGCAGATTATTGGTGGTTGAAGATCATAGGTAATCAGATAACAGGAGGCAAAATTAGTAACAGTTTGTTAGCTTCAATCCTTTATTGGTTTCATCATAAAATGCAGCTAGATACTGGAGGTTGAAAAAACTGGTTTCATACTTATATACATCACATAACTGATTTTAAGGAGAATAAAATTGAAATAAATATTTGTTCCATCTACCCCATCTCAAATATTTTTGAGAAGCACTCCTAAAATGTTATACTTTTAATCCAGTTTAGCAAATAAGTATTGCATCATTGTGTTCAAAAGTTCATAGCTTTTTCTTTAAATATTTTTACTTGAGCAGGAGAGGATTTAGCAGGCTGTTTATGACTCAGAAGCTACATTAATTCACTGTTTACTGGACTTGTGTACATTCAGATTCCTTGGCAGGCCAAAATACTGAACTGTTGCAATTGCTTATTGCAAAATGCTTCCACAGCCTCCCTTCTGACCTTGCTTTAAGACTGGCAAACAGTTTGATCGAAACAAGGTATTAAACATATCCCAATATTCAGGCATGAGCCAATATAGATATGTGATTTTGGCTTCTTATGTGGAAGGAGCTTCTTCTGTTCAAATAACAGCACTGCAGTTTAACCATGGTTTCATAAAACCTATCCTTATATGCAATCAGATCAGCCTCAGTGGTCTTGTGCACAATACGGACATATTGCAGGGGATTGGACTGGATAACCCTCAGGGTGTCTTTCATCTTCATAGGTCTTTGATTCTATATGGGAGTTAGGGTTTAAATTTGCAAACGGAGAAAGTGAGTGATGGATAGAGGAATGATAGGCGTTGACTGAACAACATTCACTCCCATTTCACTAGGGCTTTCTTAAATATTCCTCACAATTTCCAGGGGAAATGCTGGAAGCTGCACAGAACACTGTTTTGTGAAATGGGCCCAAAACATTCTGATATGAGGGAGCAAGAAGCGAGGATCATCTCTTTACACACTTAATGGAGGGTTGCAGCATGCTTCAGGATAAGGACTATTTTGGACAGATTGATGAAGCATAATGCAGAGGAACCACAGGACAGGAAATTCCTCAGGAACAAGGAATTCAGACAGCTATACCCCAGTATTCAAAGTGATGTATAAACATATTTGATGTTTCAGGATGAAACACGCTGTGCTTTAAAAATAGATTTTAAATGACTGACTAGCATGTCAATAATTAAGATTCTGCAGCACCCAATATTTAATCATGATAATTGAATTTGCTCTAAGGTACAGCAGCAGCTACAGACTAGTAGCATGTATTACTCAGCTGATAAATGTTATTTAATTATATAGTGCAACATGATAAATTTCTGATTCATATTTATAATCACAGTAAAACTTTATCTGTCAAGGCCTCAATTCCTTTGAGGAAATTTAGCAAAGAAGCCAGCCATGTATACCATCAAAAATAAATAAAAATTTGTGCTTCATATGTAACAGCCATATGACTTGTAAGAAATCCCCTAGTTTCCATTTTCTCAAATTGGAATAGTAATTCCTACAGAGTGTCTAGCTTTTATAGAAACATAAATATATGATTTACATCCATAGGTGAAAATGCTTTACATTACCAATATTCCAAAAAAGACATTTCCCATGAATTTAAATCTAATTTAGTTAAATCCCAAAGTAACTGTGGTACAATAACTTTTATCAGAGTCAACCAAAATATCACAAGTAAGTGGGAAAGCTTTCCAGTTTCCCAGGACTTTCACTGAGCTGCTAGATGTTCAGCAAAAAAAAAAAGGCCGGGGGAGTGGGGAGGAAAAAATATGGTTCTACGGCAGCAGTTCTGAACACCTTTGTCCTTGTGTGGATGACTTGAAAATTTCTGGGAGTTTCAACTTGCACTTTTTCGTATTCCATATTGACACTGTTAAAAACAGCACTGTATTATGATGCTTTAAGCCACAGCCTTGTTGGCCTTATTGATAAATATGGCTCTGATCAAAACAAAAAATGAATAAAGTGCAAACTACAGATATCCTCAACTTTTCTGCAACCTTTAACATGGATCACCTGGTGGCTTGTGTACCAGTTTAAGAGAACCAGTTTAAGCCTGTTGGGTCAGGCCCATGACCCATCAAGTCCAGCGGCCCATCTAGTCCAACATCCTGTTCTCACAGTGGCTAACCAGATACCTGTGAGAAACCAGCATGCAAGATTCACCACAAAAGCACTCTCCCCTCCTGTTGTTTCTAGCAGTGGCCATTCAGAAGTATTTCTGCCTCCAACTGTGGAGGCAGAACACAGCTATCATAGCTAATAGCCATTGATAGATAGTCTTCTCCATTAATTTATCTAATCCTCTTTTAATCTTTCCTCCTGTGGGAGTAAATTCCATAGTTTAACTATGTACTGCATGAATAATTTCCATTTATCTAAAAGGGCATGATTAAAATACCTCCCCCCCCACAAGTCTGCATGCTGTAGCAAGATGGAACACAGTGTTTTGTAGATTTTGAGCATGATCTAATGTAGCTTTATATAACAATTGACATGCTACATTTTGATGTTATAGACACTTTAATTCCCCCCATCATGCTCTAAAAGTTCATTTTCTCCTATCCTATCCCTTTCTTTTTTTTAAGCTTAGCATCTAGCTGAAGGTGAATTCTTTAAAAATGAAAGCTTGCTTTGTATTTGCTGATATTTGAATTGTTCTGAATAAAAGCTACTACTGTTGCTTTTACATTTCTCTTGATAAACTAGCATGGCTATCTGCAAATTTAGTTATTTTTCACATAATGGCATGCTCATTTTGTTTTCCCATTTTAAAATGTGACAGCCATGGCTCTCCAATGAAGTATATTTTGACAGCTCCAAATAGGACTTCTAAAAATATATTGTGTTTGCCAAAAACAAAATGGTAGTCCCAAGACTTTCAAGTAAATTACATTAATTTGCATTAGCTTTCCTTAAAACCTGTTTTGATGCCCCCCCCCCCAGTTAATTAAACACTCCAGTAGAAGTAAGTTGCACATAACACAAAAACACATGGGCAGAAATGTTAATGCTAGTTAAAGCTCTAGTGAGGAACAGTGATACAATATGACATAATTTAAGAAAAGATCTGGAAAATTTGTGTTCGAAGTCTGACAACAGACAAAGCATGCAACACCAATTCAGAGCCTAACTTTACATTTATACATAAATGTGTGCATCTGAACTCCCTTCTCCTTCCCCTCCAGGAAAAGCTTCTTTGGAATGGGGAGATTTTGACTGGAGAAAGTGTGTGTGTGTGTGTGTGCGCGCGCGCACGCGCGCGCGTACATGCATGCGTGCGTGCACAATTCCTTAGCTGCTTCTGTGCTTCCCATCACTTCCCACCCTGTCTCCCTCACCTGGGTCCAAAATGTAAAACATGCACTTGGGCTCCATGGAGGAGATGCAGCAGAAGCAGCAGATTGGTTAGGGCCCCGCTATCATCCACCATTACTTCCAATCTTCTCCTCCTAAAGTAACTTTTTTGGGCTGTCAGAGGAGCTCCCTCAGGATTCAGTTTCGTGCAATATACATTTAAGATGCTTGGAACTGGCCAATGCCGGTCAATATACAGTTTGCAAAAGGCTCAGTGCTGTCATCTCTATTCATAATGAATTAATAGCACCAATTCCACAATAAAAGATCTGAAATCAACGCAGGCTACCTAAGGAACATAAATAATCATTCAATACTAAGGCTGATGGAAACTGATGGAAACTGCAAAGTTTAAGAGTAGTTATTAAGAAGCACCTCCCTGACAGACTGAAAAAGCTATACAATGAAAATATACTGTACTTTTCTGTCTATAAGGTGCCCCCATGTATAAGACGCCCCCTATTTTGGGGTGCTCAAATTTAAGAAAATGGGGGGAGATGGCTTAGAGTTGTTGAGCTTTTTCGGGGGGGAATGCCCATGGTTGTTGAGCAATTGGGGGGGGGGGATGCCAAACTGAATATCACTCACCCAGCTGGCAAACGCTAACAATCACAAGCAACGCAAGCCAAATTGCCGAAGTGGCAGCCAATCCAAAGCAGCCCTTGCCATATCCACTAATAACCTGCCCATTTGACAAAGCAGCAGCCAATCCAAAGCAGCCCTTGCAGCAGACACCATTCACCCACCCAATCGCTAGATCCTGCTCGCGGATGCAACCAGTCGCCCATCCCCCCTCTGCACTACCCAGGTATAAGATGACCCCCCATTTTTTTACTTTATTTGGGAGTAAAAAAAACCCTCCTCTAATACACAGAAAAGTATGGTATCTTAATGTAGAAAGTAGCATGGCCCAAAGGTGCTCCATTTATTGTTTTTTTTGAAATGATGAGGAAAAGTCTCACCATTAAACAGTGTTTTAATTGTTTCCATATTATTTAAGGTCAACCCACTGGCATCAAGAAAAGTGCACTTCAAAGCTTTTAAACACATAATCTCATTAAAAGTTTGTGCACTTCAGAGTACTCCACCAGTTAAAAACAGAGTGTGATATGAAAAAAGCTTATATCCAACTGACTGTGGAGTTAATGCCACATAACCTATTAAAAGTTTGGGTAATTCTAATAGTCACACAAATATCTTATTTCATCTTTTTTCCAAGCAGTACCTGAAGTGTTACCATGAAAATTGCATGGTAAATTGCACCTGAGAAACTTTCAGATCCAGATGTTTTAAACACCTAGAAGGCCTGTTTTGAAAAAGTTGCTAGTCATCCCAATTCAAAGGTTGATAGTAACCACACACCCAATCAAATACTGCTGTAGACATTAAATATATGACAGCAGAAAGATACAGGCTATATTTAGGATATATTTCTAAACAGCAAATTACTTCAATCAGCACACTTTAAAAACAGTACATAAAAAACAGATACGTTAATGAAACATATTCAACAATAAGTATTGGTATACCAAAATTCTAACTTACAGTTTTTCCAGGAGAAATGAGAACTCTTCAGAAGTTGCTCAGTCCACAGTAAGATGGGGATGACTGTTTATAACTCTAGATTTAAAGTTACACAGAACTTTAATTTTCAAGTTTTATATGGCTATTTATCATAAACAAATTTTGCTTTTCAACAAAATGATAGTTTTTTGTTTTTAAAAAAGGCAACATCAGAACTTAAGAATAGTCTGTCAAATCAGGCCAATGGCCTATCTGGTCCAGTATCCTGCTGTCATAGTGGCCAACCGGATGTCTGTGGGAAACCAGTGAGCAGAACATGAGCACAATTGCATTCTCCCCTCCTCAGCAATTGGTATTGCTACCTCATAGCTAGTAGCCATTGATAGCCTTCTCCATTAATTTATCTAATCCTCTTTTAAAGCTTCCAAGTTAGTGACCATCACTGCCTCCTGGGGGAGGGAGTTCCAAAGTTTGACTATGTACTGAGTGAAGAAGTGCTTCTTTTTATTTGTCCTAAACCTTCCAACATTCAGCTTCATAGAATGTCCATGAATTCTAGTGCTATGAGAGGGAGAAAAACATTTCTCTATCTACTTTCTCCATGCCATGCATGGTTATTTTATAAACTTCCATCATATCACCTCTTACTTGCCTGATCTCTAAACTAAGAGAAGTCCCAAATGCTGCAACTTTTCTTCATATGGGAGTCGCTCCATCCCCTTGATCATTTTGATTGCTCTTTTCTGAACCTCTTACAATTCTACAATATCACAAAAGGCTTCTTGGAACAGAAGAACTGAGAACACAAGATGATCATGTTGCCCAACAATGAGATGCCATTCAGGCAATCAAAACATTTGATTTCTGAATCGTTGCTTGTTTGGAACCTATTAATCATAGTGCCTGATCGCATGTCAAGGGAAACTATAGTAAACTGTAGCTTTTGTTTCTGTGCTCGCACAAAAGGAAGATCAAAGGGACTGTGTTCTAGTGCTTAAAGTTTGTGCATACCCTGCCTTATTGAACTAGGATTTGATTGTGTGAATTAGGCCACTAGCCTTCCATAAAGACTGAAATTTCAAAACTTTTAATTAGGACCACCACTGAATAAGTGTGCAATTAAATCTGCATGTGCTGCACAGATGGTATAAAGCAAATGGAAAGCACCCCAGCAGAAATATACTCTGTGACAACATTTGCTTCACATAGTAAAATCAGTGAAACAGACAACCTAGCCCATACATTTATCCACTACAAAAGAAACAGTTTTCTTCCATATGCATAATTAGAAATTAAGACAGGCTTGTATTCAAGTATTAGCCCTGTACCCACAGGTGAGAAGGGACTGCATGCAAGGAAAATTGCAGTTGTGCTCTCTTGAAGGCTTTCCAAAGCATGTTATATAATGGGTAGGATATCAAAATTGCAACCAGAAAAGGGGGGCACTGTTTCAAATATGTCATTTTTTTATTTTCTGCAGACATTCAGACTGCCATCCTATGCACAGTTATTTAGAAGTAAGCACCACTGACCTCAGTGGGACTTGTTTCTGAGAAAAATGTACATACTGAACTGGCAATGGGCACATTAGTGTTTCTTTTACAGCAGGGGTAGGAAACCTCAGACCTGGGGGAGTCAAATGCAGTAAAATTTACATTAGTTCTGCTCACTTTTGTCTCTGGCATCACCAACCACAGGGGGAATGTGGTCCTCAGGCTGAAAAAGGTTCCCCATCTATGTTGCATGGTTACCTGCTACATGACCTTATCTTTTGCATGTTCCACTTCTAACATCAAAGGACAGCATTTTTAATATTACAAAGTTGTAAGGGTTTCCTTGGAAATTGTAAAAAGCTATTTGTGTTTTCAACTACTTTTGAGTACATTTTCTATTTTTGACAATATAGGGTATTACTTACAAGTACATTCAAGTTTCCCACCTCTCACCCCCATTTCCCTGCTGGGGAGAAAGGGGTAAGATATATATATATATATATCCCCCGGTTTGATGTCACAGAGAAGTAACTGGGGAAACCCAGCCAGATGGGTGGGGTATAAATAATAAATTATTATTATTATTATTATTACTACTGATCACGTGTCAGCTCTATCAGGGCATCTTTGAAAGTGCAGTGGACGGTACACCAACAAACTCCCTCTCATCCCTAAAAGAAGACAGCAGTACAGTCATACCTTGGTTCTTGAACAGAATGTGTTCCGGGAGTCTCTTCGACTCCCGGAACCATTCGAAAACCAAGGCATGGCTTCTGATTGGTTACAGGAGCATCCGGAAGCCACGGAACCCATGCCAGATATTCCGTTTCCAAAAATTGTTTGAAAACCAGAACGCTCAATTCCAGGTTTTGATTGTTTGGGAACCAATTTCTTTGGGAGCAAAGGTGTTTGAGATCCAAGGTATGACTGTATCACCAAAGTAGTACCAGGGTTGATTATGCTTCAGAACCATCAATCCTATAAGAAAGATGCATCAATGCAGACACAAATTATTGCAGTGAATCTGCCTGCAATACTGGAAAAACAACCACAACTGCAACAAAAATGTTACTGGCTCATGTTGAGGCAGTTCAGTGGCTGGTATTAGGGCTGGGCAATAACTGTTTTCCAACATCGTAATATACCGCCAGCTAAACACTGCAATCTATATCACAATGTCAGAAAGAAGCTCATATCAAAGCAATGGATGAGGCAAGTGTGCTAGCACTCTGTTTGTTTGCCTGCCTCATACACTGCCTTGGCATGGGCAGAGTGGGGGAGCGAACGGGCTACCTCTCCCTCCCTGGATGAAGAAGTAGCCCGTTTATACCTCCCCCGCCTGTTCCAAGGTGGCGGAGGCAGCTGGGGCAACAACCTCCACTGCCTTGGGATGGGCGAGAGATGCAGGTGGGCTGCCTCTCCCTCACAGGGAGGAGGAAGCAGCCTGTTTGTGCCTCCCCCAATCCATCCAAAGGCAGCAGTGGGAACTGAGGCAGCATCTGCTGCTGCCTTGAGACAGAGGGACTGGTGAGGCTCAGCTGGGGGGCAGGAGTCTTCTCACCCCGGCTAAGCAACCACAACCAGCGTGCATGTGTGCCAGAGGGACGGGGGCTTGTTGAAGCAGAGGAAGGAACAAGCTGTATCACACCTCATTGATGCAGCTTGTTTCTCCCTCTGCAGCAGTATGAGGGCAGACCGCGATGATGGCTTCACTCAGCGGTATATCGCTGGTAAAACTGCTACTGCTCCCGAGTCCCTCTGCCTCCAATGCCCGGCTGCAGCTTGTTTTTCCCTCAGCGTGCAGGGTGCTGGTAGGAGGGACTCAGGCAGTGGTGGTTTCACCAGAGATATACCACTGAGTGAAACTGTCATTGAGATCTACCCCTAATACCAGTCCTGGCCGATATATGGATATATTGCCCAGGCCTAGCTGATATGCAGTATTTTACACCCACACCCACACCCACCCTCCTTTCCGGACTGCTAAATTGGTTTTTTTAAAAAACAATCATTTGTATAAAACATATTAGGAACCAAAAATAGAGTTTCTTAATAGTGTAACTGCCTTTGAAATGGGATTGTGAGAGGAGAATTTATTTATGTCATGAATAATGAACTCTTCTATCGTAATATATGCAGTCAGTAGTCAGAGATGCTAAGGTATTATAAAACTGAAGACTGAGTGAGCAAAACTGGGACTATTATAACTCTGTTTGTGTCTAGTTTAAATTGGATGACAGAGATCAAATTCAGATGTTATTATCTGTCTACTGGGAGTATTCTGACTCAAATACACCACCACCTCTTCCCCTTGGTATCTATGGCATAACATTAAATCTCCACTGGCATTAATGACCATAGTAAGTCTTTACTCTTATGCTCACGTAACTTGGAAGTAAGCCCCACTGAACTCAATGATACTTCTGAATAGCCACATATATGATTGAGCTGTTGAAACTAAAAGCAGCTTCTAATCCTTGTTCGGTCTCCAATATAAGTTCTTTAAAAGTGATCAGACAAAAAAATCACACCCTGTGTGCACTTTTCATTGTGGAATTTAGACAGATGTGAAACTACAACTCAGCAATTCTAGGACATTGTTTATTTCTGTTCAGGTGACAATGTCCTAAAATTTAGCCACAGCTTTATTTCTGTCAAGTCCTGGTTTGCCCAACAATGTAAGCCAAACTATGGTTTACCAGGATAGCACAGGTTCACTAAGGGGAGTTTGCAGTTGCTTTGCTCCCTCCTGGTCCTTTTTACTGTCGTGCCAAGCCAAGGTTTTGCTTAGCATGTTGCCAAAACTGGGACACATGGTTAAGCTTTCTCCCCACTAATCATGACCTGTACAGTAGAGGCAAAAACAGGTCACAAGAATAATGAGAAGGCCCTCTTGTTACAGTATCATTAATTTTTAAAATGCGGCACATGGAATAAGCAGAAGACAAGATTACATTTTCCATAACTGCTTTTTTCCTCCACTCCAAGGTTTAATGTGAAAGAAAAGATACCAGAGATTACAACATTCATACAGCAATATACTTGTTATTTACTATCAAAGAAGGCTTTGAAAGGCACTGCATAATTAAAAGGTACTTTTGTTCAAAGTTGTAAAGTTTACAAAGTTGTAAAAGTTGAAACATTTATGTCCACTACAAAATATTTGTAACGTTATAAAGGGCAGGTAAAAAGTTAAATATGTGACTTTTTAAAGCACTGTTCCGTTTGCACACGGAAATGGCTAGCAGCTTAAAAAATAAAACAAATGGTTTAAGATCAGAATATTTAATGCTATTGAACCAGAGGTGTTTGCACATCCAAGTCAAACTACGAATACGCACACAAACTGCAGCTACTCACCAAGCGAAGCCTTCCAAGTCTGTCTGCTAGTCTGTATATGCATTAGGAAACTTATAAGGCTACAAGAACACGCCTACTAAGACAATACGTTTTTCTTTTTAAGTAAGCATTATGACCTATTACTTCCGATTCTGGGGAAATGAGTCAATACTTGTCATGGCAATGGTGATGTTTCTGAAAGGTCAAACTGAACTGACCATTTTTGCAACTGCTGTTTTGCTGTAATATAAATATTCTGCATATGGTTAAGCACTTTCCTACATAGCCACAAATGTTCTCATGATGTATTATAAATCCCCAAAAGCTTATTTACAATGAAGAGTCATCTGTCTTGCTGCAGAGACTAATAACCATGGTTGACCTTTGAGCTGATGTTCATCTTGAATGGCTAGTCACTAGTGTATGAACTGTAAAGGATGTGATAAAATATTAGTGTACTGTTAGTGGAGAATGAAATCTGGCCCCTTATCTATTATCTTTCAGACAAGCAGTTAAGACATTTTCTTTCTAGTAGGCTTTTAATAATTTTTAATCATGCTAGCTACACTGTCCTTTTATTTGTTTATACTCTGTATTGCTTTTAAAAATTCTATTAACATTTAGGGAGCAAATATTCTTCTTTCCCCAAAAAGCACAATATCCCTTTCGGATCCTGTAAATATAGGGAGACAAATCAGTAGGTCTAGGCTGCAAAAAATGGGACTGGCATTGCTGAAGTTGTCAGCCACATTTTTTTTTACATGGTTGCAGACAGCAATCATTTTGGCAAAAAGCACAATTTCATTGAGTCCAAGGATCAAATAAATTACAGGATAAAGTTAACTGTTTTAGCTGGCAAGTTTAGATAAACCTAGCAAGGTTTTCAACAGCTGTGTTTAAACACTTGCTTGGAAACTATAGGCAACAACAAATTCCACACTGGCGAGTAAACAGGCAGAGGAATTTTGTGCTCTTGCACCAGAATAGAAACTAAGTAAATTGCGGGAAAAGGGGAAAGCCCTCTTTTCCACACTCAAGTGTAGAACTGTAGTGAGCTGCTGGAAGAGTCATGGTCTCCTTATCGCTCTTCTTCCAACCCCTCTGCCACAATAGCAGGCTCGTAATCCCTCCCCAGCACAGTAACATTTTATAAATCTAGCCTTAAGAGTCATGTTTTTATAGTGCTGCAAGCTATAACATATCACACTGATGTATGATCATTAGCACCCACTCCTCTGGGTACAAAGGAAAACAAATCGTCTGTGCCTTCTTGCTTCATTGATACAAGCTGCCTACTTTTACGTAACTGGGAGCAAAGAGCAATTGGCAAATAACCCTGAGTACTATTTTAATTATTCTGCCTTCGGTGTTATTTTCATAAATGTAAATTAAGATACACTGCATTTCTGTTGTTTGCTTCTTGCATCGGCATAAGCCCCACTGTTAGTTTTAGACTGTCCATCCATCACATAGGTGGTCATCCTCTAGGACTTTTGAAATTGTAGGCTCTCCATGTTAACACTGCTGTATTCCATCAGTCTGAATTGCATCTTGCCACAACGTTTTTAACTATGGCAAAATCAAGATTTGGGATAGCAGAATAGGAAGTTGTACTAGGAGCCACAGAGCTTCCCCAACTTCTGATCACTAAAGATTAGCATTTTTACAAACAAACAAAAAATGATCTCTGCTCATTAAAGAAGAATCTCCAAGGGAATCAGAAACATGCTTAAAAGAAAGTCACTTTCTGATGTATTCATTTATAGACTACACACATATCCTAAAATCAGCTATGTATTTGGAACATTAGCTTTCAACATTTGAAGCTAAATGAGAAAATGGGCAGGTCACCCAATATATGATTGCAATGTAGACTATTAACTATGTTCACACAGCCTGGCAGTTCTGTCTGTGTGAGGTGTGTGTATATGGTGGTGGGGAGAGCAGAGGGAGTGGTTGGCTGATCATGCTTTCCACACACACCTGCTTGCAGTTCACACTGATCAGCGGAGACATTCACAAAGAGTCAGATCAAGGGGAGTGTCAGTCGAAGGATCAACATACTGGTTAGGAAAAGAAGTCGCAGAGCACCATCAAATAACCAGTAGTAGGTTCCACACATTTGGTTCCTGCAAGTGCCAGTGGAGTTGTCAGTGGAACAATTCTGCAAAGCTTATATCATCAATGGGAACTGATAGAGCTGTCCAAAGTTTTCCTTGGTGGCAATTGGAACCCTCATTGTTGCAATGATGAACAGCAACACTTAACACAATCCCTCAAATTTTTCTCCAATCAAATTGTTTTTTACTTCTCAGTTTTATTCAGTCATTCCTACTTGCAGTTTTAACCAAGTATAAAATTACCTTAAATGTTCAGGTGGGCAGTATGTTTTGACCATTTCCTTATCTTAACTCCCTGTTCTTGGCACAAAACAACTGGAGCATGGTCTGTACATGATACTTCTGTTTTTGTGAAAGAACAAGATGCAGCTTAATAACCTAGTTCTGTAGCTTGCTTACCAGTGTCCCAGTATATAAAGCTAGCTCTCAGTATGTTTGGCTAATGGGGTGTTCAGAATGGAAACATAAAAAGTAATCTTTGTCCCCTTCACCCCTTCCAAAACATTTTTCCTTGTTGGTGCTAAAGTTCAGAACAAGCCACAACATTTAATTGGGGGTAGCAACTTGCATGCTTAAAATTACTACTGGGAAATACAAAAGATAAGTTTGTACATGTTGAATAAAACCCTAATTGTAGATCAATAGGAAATAGGATTGCAAAATTGTTAGGGTTGACAGAAATGGTGCAGTAGCAGACTTCCTGCAGAAAGGGACATCACTCATAAGCAATTTTAAGTTGCAACGTATCAGAAAACAGCTTTCACAGGACTTGCTCAATAGCAATGTACTTCCTGTAGGAAAAGCACACAAGTTTATCAGTGATGTCCTAGAATAACCTTTTGACTACGGAAGTGATGAAGCATATTCTTAAGAAGATATATAGCTGCACAATAGTTGATGACCAAGTAACCACATTATGTAGGTTATTAAAAAAGCAAATTTCCATCAGCTCAATTGGGACATTCTAGAATACCAATCCAATTACAACTCCTTCAAACACAAAATAAGGAACTTTCACTAATTTCAGGCTAAAGTCAGCATTGGATTAGCACAAGCCTCTTGTGCTCTTTAGATAGCCGGTGCAACCACACATTGTCTCCATATTTCATTTGTTGTCTTTTGAAACACAAGCCATGTAATCAAAAGGTTATTGTAACTTTGTAACAGTTGTAACATCAACATTAAACTACTGTACAAGGATTATGAGGGAACCGTTGCCCTCTTTGGCATAATTGCCAAATGGTCATGTTTACCATAACAAGATAAAGAAAACAAGATTCTTACTATGAAGTAGTCCTAATCTGCATAGTTTGGTTCCCTCTCTAGCTATTTACCTAGCATCAGAAGAACCTCCAAATGTTGAGAACTGTAAACAAGAGGTAGGAGAATGTTCTACCTTCAGAAAATTTGTTGAAAAGATGGAAACATTGTGTCATTCTTTCTCTACCCCCCACCCAACACCATTAAAAAACAACAACCTGTGCAACTATTCAACCATAACGGGCCACTGCACAAGTAGGCAGTTCCAACAAAACCAATAAACAGATTTCAAGGGTTTTTCATCTTAAAACTAGAGTTTCTAAATTAGCTAATGTTACTGCCATTATAAAGATGGTCATAACATTGAATAAGATGACAGTCTTCTACTTAAATTACATAAGTATATAAACCATGTTTCTGAAATAGTACAGGAGAGCAATCCTGAAGCCATTTGGACTCTTCCAGTGACCTCAAATATTCTCTGCAGTGAGGAAGGAAATGGGAAAGCCTCTCCATTGTCCCTTTGTTCAAATCCAGTCTTAAGGGTGTGTTTGTGTATGAATATGGATGCGGGTGGTGCTGTGGTCTAAACCACTGAGCCTTGGGCTTGCCGATCAGAAGGTCAGCGGTTCAAATCCCCACGACAGGGTGAGCTCCCATTGCTTGGTTCCAGTTCCTGCCAACCTACCAGTTCGAAAGCACATCAAAGTGCAAGTAGATAAATAGGTATCACTCCGGCAGGAAGGTAAACGGCGTTTCCGTGCACTGCTCTGGTTCACCAGAAGCTGCTTAGTCATGCTGGCCATATGACCCGGAAGCTGTCTGCGGACAAACGCTGGCTCCCTCGGCCAGTAAAGCGAGATGAGTGCTGCAACCCCAGAGTCGTTTGCGACTGGACTTAACGGTCAGGGGTCCCTTTACCTTTACCTATGGTGAGCCTGTGACCTGGATTCAGTAACTAAGTATATAGCATCTCAAAAGGAATGGCCAGGCTGCCTAGGTGGAGAAATCAGTGATCACTGTCATGTATCCTGACAAACAGGATTTCTGTGGTAGACTGCCCCGTGATGTATTTCTGTTGGAGACCACCTCCTTCTGTGATGTATGTACAGTGGTACCTCGGGTTACATATGCTTCAGGTTACATATGCTTCAGGTTACAGACTCCGCTAACCCAGAAATATTACCTCGGGTTAAGAACTTTGCTTCAGGATGAGAACAGAAATCGTGCTCCGGCAGCACGGCGGCAGCGGGAGGCCTCATTAGCTAAAGTGGTGCTTCAGGATAAGAACAGTTTCAGGTTAAGAACGGATCTCTGGAACGAATTAAGTACTTAAACCTGAGGTACCACTGTATGGTGTTTTGGGGGGTGGTATTGAGCTACAGGGTGGGTAATTTCAAAAGTCTATATAAGGGCTTGCACACCATTGTTCGGGGTTCCTCTCCTCCCTCCCTGTGTGGAGTGAGTGGAGGACCCTGTTGCAACAGTTTAATAAAGATCGGGCTTATTAGCTGCTTTGCTTCTCAATATTCTCTGGTTGGCCTCTGTTATTTTCTCCTACCGAGAGGGAACCTACTTAAGGTCTCCATACAGGCTCTTGGATACTCCATAAGGGAAAAGGAGCAGTTGTTTTTTTCTTGTAACACTTACAAGATTGTTAAATACCAAATTTGCAGTCTTTATAAGCACCAATAACCTATTTCAAAGAGTTAATACACACATAAAGATAAAAGCAAAAATGCTTCTTTGGAGAAACATCATTAGGTTCTCTAAGAGCTGATCATAATCTGGTTTAGAATGTCTGCAACAGATCCCTTTTTGCCAACCTGTGTAAGACAACGGAATATATTAAGAGAAACTGAACTGCAGTTGTCCGGGGGGGGGGGGCAGAACTGCACTACCCATTAAATGACACCGTTCCTCTAGCAAAGCGGAATCACATTACCCCAAGACCATCTAAAACTGCTACAGAATACAATTATTTGTTGGCTACCCTACTCACTTATTTCATTTTCTAGTTTTACATGGAGTTTGTGTAAGGATGCCCAGAACCATTTCATAAGAATTCCAAAGGCGCTATTGCCAGTTCCCCTCTTCAATAACACCACCTCCAATACTGCTTCCTGTAAATTGTTCTTAGGCTTTATTACTTCTCATATAGCAGTGATTCCCAACTTTTATGAACCCAAGGTCCTTTTTTAACCTCAATTATTTTGCAGACACCCATATGCTAATTGTTGTAATTTTAGGCTCTGCTAACTGATACATGGTAAATAACTATTATGAATATTGCAAGGCCTCTTATATATTCTTGCCCAAAGGAGGTGGTGGAACCAAAGGTTGCTTGCTGTGACTTGTTTGCACAGGATAAAATTGCTTGCATCCACTGGCATCTTGAATCCGCTATTAAATTCACAAAGAGTCAGATAGCATCAGTGCTCCATAAATCACTACTACAGCTAATTTCAATGAAATTTAACAACTCACAAACCAGCTAAAAAAAATATTGATCCACATCCTGTTCTTACTTAGCCAGATACTGGATCAAGTCATAAAATAGTCAAAGAGAAAGTATTACTTCTTAAATAGCAGTAGATTATAGGCTTTAATTTAGTCCATGTGCAAGCAATTGAAATGAAGTATGGACTAGTGATGTGAGGTGAGAAAATTCTCGAGAATGAGAATATTCTTGAGAAATATTCTCTGCTAGAAAATTCTCCGGAGAATATTCTCCACAAACTGTAAATTCTAATGTAAGAACCAGTTTTACAACCCACATTTAAAAAATCTAGCAAATAATAAGTCAAGCTGTGATATTGCCAGTGTTAGTAATGAATAATGATTTTTTTTTGATCCAGTTACATTACTGGCCATTGTGTCATTCACCACTGGCAGTTTTGAAATGTGAGCTACAGAAAATATTTTTTTAGTTTTAAAAATGCTATTCTTTTAATTTGATGAACATTTGAATTTGTATGTATTTCAACTGTATGTAATACCCATTTTTCTATTTTGGTGTGACCTTATTCTTAGTAATTCGATACCGCTGGCCATACAGTGTGATTTTTTTTACAGAAAGTAGCTTTAATGCTTTATACATTTAAAGTACCTAGGCCTATATGTGTAACAGCATATGAGGTGGCCTTGATTAAAACAGTTGACGTTTCTATATTTTTATTTAGTGCCAGTAACTGGTTTTTGCAGTACCATTCAATGGTACAAGGTGCCATTTACCAGAGATTGACATACTGAAATATATTATCATATAATGATAATATATTTAATGTTAATGGCTTCTTTTTTATATGTATGCATACACAGTGGTACCTCTGGTTGTGAACAGGATCCGTTCCGGAGGCCCGTTCGCAACCTGAAAAGAACGCAACCCGCGTCTGCGCACACACGGGTCGCCGCTTCTGCTCATGATGTCATTTTGCGTGTCTGCGCATGCGTGAGCGGCGAAACCCAGAAGTAACCCTTTCTGGTACTTCTGGGTCGCCGTGGGACACAACCTGAAAACGTGCAACCTGAAGCAAACGTAACATGAGGTATGACTGTAGTTTTGTTTATCAAGCGGTGTTTTAGTCACCAAAACAGTTATTAAGTATTAGAACTATTAGAAGCACAAGATAGCCTATTACAGAACTTACTTGTATCAAACCTTAACATGCCAATTGCATTTATTGACTTGTCCTTTAACATGTACATTTTCTGATGGAAGAATAAAATATGATTTAACTACTGAATTTCCTTATACCAAACCTTAACATGATAATTGCTGGTGCCATCACCTTAGAATGGTTTAACGTTAACTATAAAACATGTTTTACTTTTTAATTTGATACTTGCAAGTCAAGTGACAAATAGGCTTGTGCTTATATATTTTCACTGTGGTTCTTTTACTAAATATACAGTTAGCGGCAGGCTTAGTGATTAACATGAGTCATTCACGTTGAATTTTCAATTTCAAGTTTGGCGCAAAAAATCAAAGAATGTGAATTCACTGCATTGCCCCACTGAATGAAAGCATCTGTACAGGTTTTGGCTGCCATCTGAACAAGATTACCCATGAATATTACATGTATATTAACTAATTATATCATTTTCAATGCATTAAAATGAATAGTCTCCTATTTTAAATGAAAATTCTCTAATATTCTCATTAATCGAGAATATTCTCCAAAAGACTATTCTCAAGAATTTAACATCACTAGTATGGAATCTATTTATGGGTACTCTATGCATGCATCTTCTGCACATGGAAGAGAATGCTATACTGGGACATCAGTTACAAGACTCTTCTACTCTTCTACTCTGAAATTATAAAATCATTTACCAAAGGTACTAAAATAATAGAATTATAGAGGTGGAAGGGATTCTAAAACTCATAGTCCAACCCCCTGCAATGCAGAAATCTCAACAACACCATCATCCAATGTGAAACTATAATGGACCCTGCTTAGCTTTACAAATGTGCTAGCAATTTTATTGCTACACCAATTGTTGCTTTAAAAAAAAAACACTGCAAGAAGAAATTAAGAAATTGTTCCACTGAGCAAGAAATCATAAAAGGAAAAAACTTTTTGTTCCAGACCAGTCTTTGCCTCTAAAAATGTGTGACAACCCAAAAGGGCAACTGTATATGGACAAATCCATACCCCTAGGAATGGTGGATTAAGAGCTCTAAAAAGCAAGACAGTAAACATCTATAAAACGTTACTTATCTGCTTTTCCATTTATTTAAATCATTTCCCAGAGAAACTGCACATGAGAATATTAAGTGCGCATCCTTCCTTGAGCAATCATATAACTGAATATCTACCTGTTCTTTAAACATTCTTTAAGACTCTGCCCTGTCATGCTTAAGGTCTAGAGTTGTGAATGACTAGGATTCAAAAAAGGCAAGGGGAAAAACCATTTGGTCAGATAAGTATTGGTGTTTGCATATTTCACGTTAGCAGAATCAGCATGTCCGAGAAAAGGAGGAGGGCTAGTCACTACAACCATTCTAGGAAGCATAATGCTTGTACAACTACAAAATACCGTATTTTTCGCTCTATAAGATGCACCCAACTACAAGATGCACCTAGTTTTTGGAGGAGGAAAACAAGAAAAAAAATATTCTGAATCTCAGAAGCCAGAACAGCAAGAGGGATCGCTGCGCACTGAAAGCAGTAATCCCTCTTGCTGTTCTGGCTTCTGTGATAGCTGCGCAGCCTGCATTCGCCCCATAAGACGCACACACATTAGGAGGGGAAAAGTGAGTCTTATAGAGCAAAAAATACGGTAGTTATGACTATTCAAAAGCAAATCACCTCCACCATTTAAAATACAAGGACATTATGAAGCTATTGTTAATCCAGTACCCTTGTAGGAAGTGACTCCTATGCTCAAATTTCCTTTCCATGAAAAGCCAGTCACACTAGAAACAAAATCCTACGTCAAAAATAAACAAATATAACATGAAAAACTAAACAAATACTGCAGCCATTTAAGCTGCTCCCACTTATGTGGGAGCAAACTCCACAAAACTCAGTGAGCCTTAATTCCGAGATGACACCATGATGATGTTGCTGCTGCTGCTGCTATTGTTGCTGCATACCGCCCTATACTCGCAGGTCTCATGTCTAAAATTTCTAGTTTTAAACAGCTTTAATTTTGTTAAAAGGTTCTATTCTGCATGTTCTCCTGCAACAAGAGTTGGCTGCCTTCTGCACCCCGCCTCCCGGTAATAATATATAATCACATTACATAGGTAAAAGGTAAAGGTAAAGGATCCCTGGACAGTTAAGTCCAGTTGAATTTGACTATGGGGTGCAGTGCTCATCTCTGTTTTCAGGCCGAGGGAGCCAGCATTTGTCCGCAGACAGCTTTCCAGGTCATGTGGCTAGCACGACTAAACCACTTCTGGTGCAACAGAATAGTGACGGAAGTCAGAGCACACACAAACGACATTTACCTTCCCACCACAGCAGTACCTATTTATCTACTTGTGGTGGTATGCTTTCAAACTGCTAGGTTGGCAAGAGCCGTTACATTACATATTACATTACATTACATATTAACCTGCTCAAACCAAGAGCAAATGCTTCTATTTTCTTTGTCTATTCAGCCAAATATATATCATGATTCCAAATACATTTAATTAAGATTGCTATTCTTCAATAATAAGGAACACTATTTTAGTGTTTGATAGCTTACACTGTTTTGTAATTAATATTTTTGTCATTCAATAGTTTTTTCTTAGATTTGGGGGTGATACAAATGAGAAGTCAATACAACAGTCCATTGATAACAATGAAAGCATCCCCATTAAGGTTTCAATCAACAATTAAGTATGGGAAAGTTGTATAGATTGCATAAGAGTACAAATAAACAGTATTATGTCTGATAGACAGTTTCCAAATAAAGATGACCACAAAGACTGTTTTAATTGCCATTCTTCTACAGTGGTACTTCGGGTTAAGTACTTAATTCATTCCGGAGGTCCGTTCTTAACCTGAAACTGTTCTTATTTTAGCTAATGCGACCTCCCGCTGCTGCCGGAGCACAATTTCTGTTCTCATCCTGAAGCAAAGTTCTTAACCCGAGGTACTATTTCTGGGTTAGTGGAGTCTGTAACCTGAAGCGTATGTAACCCAAGGTACCACTGTATTACAAACCTTTTGGCCAGAGATAATGTTTGATCATATTTAGCAGCAATGGCCCTGTTTGTTTTATGAACACCCACCAAAAAGAAAAATAGTGTGATCACAATATTCATTTTTCTAGTTACCCAAGCCACAAAACTGCATTTTTATATGAATGGCTGGAAAGGGAAAGCACAACTGGCTATGTCTGCAGCCTAAAACAATTAGGAATGTAGCACTCATGAATAAAAGTCAACTGACTATTTATATCCTGCCATCATCCCTCTATGTTGGGACATAACAAAGCTTCATATCCTTATACTAACGTGCCTATTTTGGAAGATGACAAAAGAGTGATAGTGTGAAAGGTAAAAAATATATAATGTCCTGCTCTTCAGTACTGCATGAGACAATGCTATTAAACCCTGTGGTGTTCAAATAATTGCTTTATATCTACAAATTGGCTACGGTAATTGCTGCCATATCAGTGACTGCTTTCCCAATATATACTGTATATACTAAATAGAAAGCTTACTTTTTACCCAACCAAGGAAAGCCACATGCATCAATTAGTTCATATAAGAACACAAAACATAGCTGATGTAGCCTTTTACCTCAAGCGGAAGATAACACTTTAGTGTCCACTCTTATCATAATAGACAAGATGTAATATGCAACCTTGGAAGCTGCTAAGCAGTGAATCACATTTTCTTGGTTTTCTTTCTCTCTTTCTGCCTCCCCCCTCCCTTGTTACATCAGCATCAGGCCACATCCTGAGCCCAGCCTCCTGAGCTGCGTCTACAAAGGGGGCGTGAGAGGGAGGAGATTATGCTACTGAAAACCAATGACCAAAGGAAACCATCTGGTCTGAAGCCAGAAAGATGCTACTGATTCAGGGAAAGAATCACAAAGAACTGCTTACTTCTCATTCAGCTCCTGGGAAGGAGATACTCTAGCTGGACAAAGGCCTGAATCAGCTCACAGGGTTGTTTGTAATCCAGAATATAACTCTTCAAGGTACATTACTGACAATAAATATAACATCTCTTTCTCAAAAGCAACAAAATATAAACATTTGGTAATGCAAAAGGCTGCTAGAACTAAAAAAAGTGGCAGACAGAAGGAAGTGAAATGACAATTACAGCAGAGTTTAGCAACAGTGATGAACATATGCAGTGATAAGCCACATACACCTACACACACACCCCTACCTGAGGCCCTAATAAAGGCAACATTCCAAATGCTATGCAAGTCAAAGTGCATTTCTCACAATGGCTACACAACACATACTAACAATTAAGGGTTTGCTTTTGTTTCTTTGCAAGACCCACCTCTTGCAAACTGTTAGAATTACAAAAGTAAAACTGTTCCAAATGGAACAGAATAATATAATTTTAACAGTTTTATCTGTTTTTATAATTGCATGCTATGTAGCTGTAACCTGCCCTGGGACCTTATGCTGAAGAGTGGGTAAGAAATTCTATAAGTAAAATAAATATGAAATAAACATCTGCTGCTGAGTTTTGTTAAGCCTATTCTATAGATCTCTCTAATATTAACAAAAATATTCTTAAATAACATGGGCCCACATATATTCACCCTACCACTGCAGCACCCCATTACAGATAAGAAGGCTATCTGGAATACCCTGAAATAAACTGCCTCAGATTACATCTTGAAATCTGAGCCACTAGCCCTGATCAGCATGCATATGCTTCTCCAACTTGCAGGATCCAATCCCCATTTGGCCACACTTTATCAACTTTACAGATGCTTTCCTCCCCACTCCTCTGCCAATTCTACACTTCTTTTCAGTGTTGTTCACATGAATTTCATCCCAGGTGACCACCTCATACTCAGCGTTCAAAATTAGCCCCTTTTCAGCTGGCTATTGGCCACTTGCTACCAAGTAAAGATGCCTGGGTGCCAAGATGGTGCCTGACATCTCCACCATCTGGCTGGCTGGTGCACAGTAGCTGGTGGCTGGTGCACAGTTTTTTTGCTGCTGTGCTATGGTATGCGTCAGATTTTAGATGGAACTAATAATATACACAATTCATTTTCAGCTTTGTAATCTTGTAAAAAAATAAATAAAGGCGCCTAAACATTCAGTTTGTGAGCCTGTAACCTAGGTTTAAGGCACCATTTGGCAAAAAATAATAATTATATCTGCTTCTAACACTGCTCATACTCCACTATGATAATTTTTCAGAACCACACACCTATGTCGTCCCTTCCTATTCCTCTCCTTCTATTTTTTTGTTCTCTTATACTGTCGTCTAAATCTTCATTTCTGCTTTTCTTTCTCTCCTACTCTTCTGCTTCTACATCTCCCACTTTCCTAACAGTGTTGTCCAACTTTGCTTTCCTTGAAAGTCCATAAATATAAAGTGATCATCATAGCATGATTACCAATTTCCAAGAAATGAAAGTTCTGCATAGTTTAGCTAGGGAAAACACATGGTATCAAATAATTTCTCAACTTAGGTTACCAAATAGCCTGGGATTCATTTCACTGACCAAGACAGCGATAAGAATTAGATTGTCCCATACAAGCTAAATTGCTTTTAAAACAGATTACAATCCTAATGTTGCAAATATATCCCATGTTAGTTATAATTCTTCAAATTCATAATAAAACATATATAAATTGGTGTTATTCATAAATATCTTACACAAAAATTTACGAATGTCTACTTGTGGTTAAGCCCCTTTGTCTTCAATGGGCTGTACTCCCAAGCATTAAATGTACCCAGGATTGCACTCTTGTCTGGAAGTAAATTCAATTGAACTCAGTCAGTTTACAGATGAATAGATATATAGGAAATTATGTTGTGGTTAAGTCTCCTTACCTAAATGTAGCCTAGTGTGACAAACAATATACAAAAGAGGCAATTAAAAAATAATATAGCAGCAATTTATCTCCCTTCTGAGAACTTAAGTGCTGCACACCGTTAATACAAGTACTTGTGCTGCTGAAAGTGAAAAATCCTATGACAACCCCACAAACAACCTCACCCACATCCACACAACGCATCCTTTCTGATGCAACAGAAAGAAAGTGAGCTCACAGATGAGTCCATCAACTCAAGCACAGTGTAGCTTTCTCTTCTAAGCAAGATCATTATCAGGATAAAGGGAAGATCATTTTAACTATTATCTGCTTATCTTAAGATTTTCTCAATGTATGTTATGACTATTAGATATTATTTTGGGGAAGGGGAATAAATGGCACAGGAACCACCATTACCTAGCCCTTATAACTTCCTCTATCCAGGGTGAAACATGATGTGTGTGCGGTATTTCTCTGTTTTCTTGTAGATAAAAGTCCTCTGTCATGCATGATCTAGTTGAGATTCCTGCATTGCAGGTGGTTGGATTAGATGACCCCTGGGATCCCTTCAACTCTACAGTTCTATGATGCTATACATTTCCTTTTGCCCAAGCAAGGCCAACACATACTCCCACCAACTCCTGAATCTACAACGCACAGAATGTTTTGACTGGCAGGAAGATACAAAAATCTAGTGTTGATTTTCACAAGCAATAACTTTTGCCTTCCTCTGAGGTTTATGCCATCTCCCTATCTCCTGACAAAGTATCATACTAGTTACCCGGCAAATCTAACCTGTATACTAAAAAATACCAACTGTCACTCAATCCAACCTGGGTGCAAGAGCCCTTAAAAATGGTCTGTGATATGCAGCCCTTTGTCTTTTCCATGACAGAATACTAGTCCCTCACGTCAGGGTCCATTATCAATAATCAAAACCACTGCAACAGACAACCTATGGTGTGTTACTCATGAGACCAGAAGCCTGCTTGCTGGATTCCAAATTGTGTTTACGCCAACCTCAAGAATTCTAGAAATCTCCTACATGCGTAACCACTGAGCGTATTCTACTGGGTGAAAGTGTGGGGGTAGATAAAAGCAGACTTCTTTGTTCCCTGGGAGTCAGATAAGTTGGGTACTGTTCATACTCCCCAAGTAACTGTTAGGGATCTGACTGAGAAGTGCAGAGTGTGCTACCTTAGGATCCCTCTGAAAGCAATTGCTTTGTTTTCTCAAAATTCACCATGCCTGGGAGCTGAAAGAAATAATTGGCAGGTGCAATGGCAGCAATTACCTGATAGTTAAGACACCGCTGGCCTACTCTACAAAGCCGTTGTGCAAAGGAAGAGCAGAGCCAGGCTCTCCTAACCTTCCTGTCTGTTATATGGCCACATGATCCAGAAAGCTGTCTGAGGAAAAATGGCAACTCCCTCGGCCTGAAAGCAGAGATGTGCATACTCAAATTTGACTGGTCTTAACTGTCCAGGAGTCCTTTACCTTTTTACCTTCTGTTACACGCCCTCCCCTTCTCCGTTTTATTTCCTCATCTTGACACTAATAGGAGGACTAAATACACCCGCTCCAGGGCTAACTAACACAGTTTTACACCTTTTTTGAGGCATGTTAGGGAACAAGGGGGTCTGATACATTCAATACCTCCTTCAACATGCTTCATTTTCAGGATGAACATCTGCTCTACACTCTGCATCAAGTACAGAGACTTCCTCAGCTGCAAGATCTTAGGACTGCACCCTTAGTCAATTAAGTGATTACATTAGCCAAGGCTGTAACCTGAAACATACTTACATGCGACCCCTAAACATACATGAACAAAGTGGAATTTATTTCTGAGTAAACATGCAGAGAGGATTGTACTGCACAAAGCATTCTGATTGGCTAAAAGGTGCTTCCACAATCAGATTTATTAAACATTTTAAAAACAAGCATTCTAATTAGCAACACCTTCTTGTCTTGTGGCATCATAATGACACACACATATATTGTCACATAAGCTTTCATCAACTATGGAAACTTATGCCACAATAGATCTGGTAATCTTCAAGTTACCTGAAGACCCTGTTGTTTTTGCTATAACAGACTACCATGGCAACCCCTCTAGAAGTTCTCCCTGAAGAAGAATTTTATCCTGTGGAAGAGAAAACAGAAGACCTCTTCTGGGATACCTATTGCAGCCCAGGAATGCATCATCTAAATAAGAAAAGAAAGAGAACCCATTGTTTTTTCCTCATAAGCAATTATATGTAGATATAAGAGATTAATTTGTAGCAGAATCCATACATGCCTATTTAGAAATAAGGCCCTCTCAGTTCAGTAGCATAGACTCCTAGGTAAGTGGGAGAAAACTGTAGCCTAAATCAGTCAAAACTCATACATATAAACAGCAAAAGCAGCAATTTTACACTGCCAGTTAACTTAGAATTGTACTGCATGGAAACCAAATACAGTGGTACCTTTGGTTACGAACTTAATTCGTTCCGGAGGTCTGTTCTTAACCTGAAACTGTTCTTAATCTGAGGTACCACTTTAGCTAATAGGGACTCCCGCTGCCACCATGGTGCGATTTCTGTTCTCGTCCTGGGGCAAAGTTCTGAACCCGAGGTACTACTTCCAGGTTAGCAGAGTCTGTAACCTGAGGTGTTTGTAACCTGAGGTACCACTGTACTGGAATCCTCTACCCACCTACCAAAAGTAAGCCCCCCTGAACTCAATAAGCAGACATATAGAAGATTACACTACTAGTTGAGTATTTGTATGAATTTTAACTTACCTGATTAATCTATGAAATGTGTATAAAATGTATGTGTTACACACACACACACACACACACACACACACAACTCAAGTGTGAGGGCCGCCATGTATACTGAGTTTCTGTAATGTTTTATTGATGTTATTGTATTTTTTATTGATTAAAAAAAAAAAACATTCAGAAGGTCAACAGGCAAACAAAAATGGCATTAATAACAACATATATTTGAGGTTCTGATGCCCAAGCAGAATATAAATCCTGTTGAATGGATTAACATTAAACATACAAACACAAATTTTAGGGCTCTCATTTGATTAAAGAAACCCTGGCTTAGGGAGGAAAGAAGTATGCCCTTTCCGTGCCAGAGGACCACATTTCTTCTCATGGACAACCATTTGGGAATATAGCGGTATGGCCGGAAGCAAAAGTGTGAGGAGGAGGAATGCAATCCTTACTTTTCTAGGCTGAATGACAGCCATGCAAATTCACAAAGAGGTTTCCATACACACACCCCTACATCCTACCGGCAAGCGGCTTTGAGGATGTACACCTGTCTAGGCAAAAGTAGCGCCACCTGAGGAGGGGTTCCTACCCCTGCCGATTAATCGGATGGCCTTGAGCTGATTGATCTACCGCTACATCCCACACTGAGGGGAGGGCAGGGGGTCAGTGAGGCTGAGGGGGAAATGGGTGGCTCAGAGAAAAGGGAAGCTGGGCAACGCAGGTGGCGTGTTAATAAAGGCGAGGTCAGAGGAATGCGACCCGAAAGCCAGCTTTGAAAGAAAAGGTGAAGTGAGATCCCCGCTTCCTGCTTCTACCCGACCGGGGAAAAAGCTTTCATCCCCTTTGGCGACGGCTGGAGGGAAGGAAGCAAACTGTCTTTCGCAAGGGCCACGCAGCATCACTCACCTCATGCGGCGGAAGGCAGAGGCGACCCCATTCCGGCATATATATATATGTACCCTATATATAGGGTGGGCAGGTGAATAATCTCTCCCAAATAAAAATGGGCGGGAAGCGATCTCCTCCCCTCCCCCCCTTAAGAAGCGGGGCGCCGCCAGGCGAATCTCACCGTGATGTGGGGCGGGGAACGAGCGAGAACTCTTTCCTGTCCCCGGCTGCCGTAACCGAATCTCTCCTCTCCCGCAACTGAAGCCGGTCCGCTGCCCGCCTCACGCTGTTTAAAATGGCTGAGGGGGAAAGAAAGCGAAGCAAGACCACGGGAGAGGAGGCGGGGGCCGCGCCGGCTGAGGTAACACGGGGGCGGGGAAGTGAGGGGGAGGAGGGGGTGTGTGCCCCTGCGCGTAGACCAATCCGAAGCCTCGCTCCGTTGATTGATGCGAAGGGCAGCCTCACAGAAAGGAGGAAGGGAGGGCGCGAGCGAAAGAGAGAGAGAGAGTGGGAGGGGAGGTTTGGTGGTGGTGACAGCGGAGCCGGCCGTGACGGTGTTGTCGTCTTCGTCGACGGCGTCGGCTGCTCAGGCGGCTGGAGGGTGAGGTGATGGGCTGGAGGCGGTCGAGGTAGGAAGAAAGCCTCGCCCAGAGAGGTGGCGATGTCTCTTCAGAGGTGGCGGTGGGCGAGCGCGAGGTCTGACAGGAATTCAAGCTATTCTCTCGATCTGGGTTGTTGGTTTTGGTTTTGTGACCGCCAGCGTATAACAGATCAGACATATATATGTCTCTCATAGATTTATTTATTAAATTTCTATACAGCCCTTCATCCAAAATATTATTTGTGTGTGTGTGAACATTTGTGCCCCACTCTAAAGTAGTCAGAAAGGCTGCCAGAGCAGCATACATAGTCAGTTAAAACAAAGCAGTTTCTACCCTCAGGGTAACAACAACAACAATAAAGAAAAAGTACACCGCACACAAGGAAAAAGGGACAGGGAGGGAAGAGGAAAATCAAAACAAGTCTGTGAACTTGCTCGCTAGAATGGTACATGCCTTGGTTATCTCCCGCTTTGACTACTGCAATGAGCTTCTACATGGGGCTACCTTTGAAGGTGACTTGGATACTACAATTACTCCAGAATGCAGCTGCTAGACTGGTGACTAGGTGTGGCCACTAGGACCATATAACACCAGTCCTAAAAGACCTATGTTGGCTCCCAGTACATTTCCATGAACCATTCAAAGTGTTGGTGCTGACATTTGAAGCCCTAAATGCCCTTGGCCTTGTATATCTGAAGGAGTGATTCCACCCCTGTCCTTCAGCCTGGACACTGAGATCCAACTCCAAGGCCTTCCTGGCGGTTTGCTCATTGGGAGAAGTGAACTTACTTGGAACCAAGCCCAAGGGCCTTCTTGGTAGTGGGGCCTTCTCTGTGGAATGCCGTCCCATCATATATCAAGGAGATAAATAACTGACTTTTAGAAGACATCTGAAGGCAGAATGTGTAAAGGAAGTTTTTAATGTTTAATGGTTTATGGTTTTTTAAATATTTTGCTGGGAGCCGCCCAGAGTGGCTAGGGCAAAATTATAATTGTTCATTAACAGCAACAATGATAATTTTGGTACACAAAAAATCATCATAAAAGGACAAATAAAACAGTGGCTTCCCCCAGTTAAATTAATTTAAGGACACAATGAAATATTCAAGATAATTACTTCATGACCCCCAGTTAAGAGCACAAGAAAGTTAAGTGAAATATAACTGGATAATCATGTGAGTTAAATCCATTAGCAGTACTATGAACAATGTAAGAGTACAATAAAATTGTAGGGTGTATGGGGTGTTAGGGGAGGAGTAGTACCTCTGGTGGGGAATGCATCATGCTCTATTTGGGGTTAATTGTCCTCCTTTGATCCCTACCCTGCATTCAACTCTCACCTGTGGCTCCTAGAAGCTGTCAGCATGCGACTGCGGTCACACCCCAGTGTGGTTGCCATATTTTGAAGAGTAAAAAAGATGACGCTATGACGGCCGTTCAAAGGAAATAAATGCAATGTCTCAAATTTTACCTTTGAAAAAGAGTCTGTCCTGGAAAAAGAGGACACATGGCAACCCCCAGGAAATTGCTTCAACTGGCCAGCTAAACCAGGTGAGGGTAGCCGATTGGTCTCAAACCCTCGATGAGTTAGTGACTTCCGCTGCATGCAAAGACAGACTCTGGAAGATTGAGCAGACAAAACCAATAGAGGGGCAATGGTCAAGGAGGTTTCTGCATGTGCTGTAGAGAGAAGTGAGGAGCAGATGGGGCTTATCAACCTGGGAAGGTAGCCCATCTAGGAGAATGAAAACTTTGACCCTAAACCTGCTCTGCTTTGTGGGATATCTTTGGAAGAAGAAAATGCTAAGGAGTAAACCCTACACAAATCTAGAGTGGAGTCCCTAAGACGGTTGGATGGCACCTTGTATGCCTCCTTCCATCAACTCCTACAGCCAAGCTAGTGCCAGCTGTATTGCTCTTCTTTCCTTTGGACTACATCACCAAGGCTGAGAAGGAGGCAGCCAATAATAATAATAATAATAATAATAATAATAATAATTATTATTATTATTATTATATTATTTATACCCCGCCCATCTGGCTGGGTTTCCCCAGCCACTCAGCCTAGGACTTCATGCACCCTGTTCAGGCATGTGCCCTGGGGTAGTTCACTTTGGTGCTGCTAATGCAACGGTTTGACTTCACCCCCAGAGGCTCACTCACTGTCTCTTGAGAAAGAGGGGTACCAACACAAAACACAATAAAATCATGTAAACTTAATGTCGCCACAACCAATAATTTATTGAAAACCATGATAAACTAGTGTAAAATCTCAAGCTATTAAACAAAATTATGTTATTAAAAATTATGATGGAAACACAGAATCTTGGATCATAAGATATATTTACTTGGACCACAATCTGGTATTCATTTTCATTGGGAAAAGGGCAGTCTAATTTGGTGTGGCTTACTTCTGGCTAGACATGTATAGGATTTCACTATTAAGTAAGTTCAGTGAAGGAAAGTTTCCCACCCATTCCTCCCCACAGCAGTCCCCTGTGCCGAATCCCTCATGTATTCATTTATTGCATTTATATCCCACCTTTTTCTTGCAAGGAGCTCAAGGATCCCCCCTCCTTTTTTTCTATAGTTATATTTACCCATTGTAGAAAAAAGAATGCAACAGCTACCCCTGCCCCCCCCCAAGCATGTTTGGGTGAAAAACTGGAATTTGTGTGTGTAAAGGTATATAGGCTTGGCTCTGGTACTAAATCAGGCATCAGAAATGAGGACTCAGCTGGGTTAGAAACAGCTTAACTAACCAAATGCACGTGTAGCAGTGAATGTTCACATGGAGAAGCCACACAAATAGTGTCACATGGTGACTTTGAATCTTGCCCAGTTAACAATGGGTGATCACCAAATGGGTAGCAGAGAATGTGAACTGATGAGAGGTGCTTTATAGATTGTCCAAGTACAGACCCTCCAAGTATCCCTATTTTCCAGAGACGTCCCTAATTTAGAAAAGCCATCTCAGTTTCTGATTTGATCCTGGAATGCCCTGCTTTTCCTTAGGACATCCCTATTTTCATTGGAGAAATGTTGGAGGGTATGGAATTATCCAACCCCTGAGCCATCTGAAGGCAATCCTGTATGGGGTAGGTTTGTTTAATGTTTAATGTTTTATTATGTTTTTATATATGCTGTAAGCTGCCCAGAATGGCTTGCGCAACCCAATAAGATGTCTGGGGTATAAATACTAAAATTATCATTATGGAATGGGACATCCCTCTTTTCATCAGAGAAATATTGGAGGGTAGGCAATACTCATGCAGATCAGCAATGTATATGGTGGTTGCATAGGAAGCAGAAACTGCACAGACTACTGAATAGGGTAACAGCTTTGCTGTGCAACCCTGTTCTTGTTTACTCAGAAGTAAGTTTCACTTTGCTCTGTTGGGCCTATTCTCTAGAACGTGGGTGAGCAGATCTTAGCCTTGTAGGATTAACGTTGGGGTTTTTGCCTTTTAAAGTTTATCCCTGACATCCACTTCAAGATGCAAAATAGTGGCTCAGGCAGATGGCTATGAAATAGAGTGCTTCTGAACAAATGCTCAGCCCAGGAATTTGAGATCAGTACCAGAACCAAGCTTACAAATACTTTCAGAGAAAAAATCACTTCGGGTTTTTCCCCAAGCATACATTTTCAGCAACCTAATATTATGTGGGGGCAAGCTTTTCAGTTGTTGCTATTGTTAGGCAATTGGAAATCGATGTCACCTGAAGATCTACCAGTAGATGCTAATCTTCCTTCTTCCCACCAACATAGACCTAGAAAGTGTGTTTGGATTTCAGCTTTAAACACCTACTATTTGTAGCATGGAGAGAGGCAGGTATGTATTGACAGTTTCAATGACGTTTAAATCAGATCTGTTAGCTTAATATCCAGATTCCTCATTATTAAATCAAAGTCCATGGATGTCTGTTATTTGTATACTGTAATTGCAGCTCAATGCAGTTTAGAAATATAGATCCACTACTTAATCATACAATAAACTTCCTTGTGGGTTATTTTAAAATGTGTGAAATTGAAAAAGGGAAAAATAAACCCTTTTGCTCATCTTTAAGATTAATTTTTTACGCTAAACTTTCATTTGAGAAGTCACTTAATGAAATTGGTGGCTGAACTCTTTCGTAAACTCAGTAACTTGAGACTCATGAGAAAAGAGTGGGAAATGGAAACTAAAGTGTTGATATAAGAGGAACTAGAAAATGCAGCTAGGACAGTTCTTTGTGCTAAAATGCACATTGTAAAAGAAAAAAAATCAAAGTATTTATTTATTCCCATAGACGTTTTCAAATTCTGGATTAGTATACTCAGAATGGCTTTGTACACACTGGTATGAAATATTGTGTGCTCAATAGACTGGTTTGGCATGCAAATAATTGAAACTTGAACTCTTCCCATGATTTCATCCCCTCAACTTCCAGTTTAAAGACATGACCATATTTGGTGTAGGACTTCAGAACTGATTCTTTGGGGTTGAAGTTACATACAAGATGTTATCAAATGAAAAGGAAGAACACAGTCAACAAGGCTTTGTTTTTCTGCTGTATATAGCACACAGAGGATGAGGAATCTCTTCCCACCCCCATTTCATCCAATCTGAGATCACAACAGTCACAGTTCCTTTTCTGACTACATAGTTAAAAAAACAAACAAAAAACTGCAGCAAGCTATAGTGGAATTTAGTGATTCATTCAAAATTTGAATGAAGGTCCATTAAAATCAACAGGATGTGATTCTAATTGTTTTGCATGAGTATGCCAAATCCTTGAACTGTTTTGGGAAATACCAAGGCAAAATTGTTAATTGATTCCTAAGGGTTAAGCGCAGGTTCCATGCCTAATCCTTGAATGAAAACCCCACTTTCTACCTCCTCTCCCCTTTCTGTTACAACAGTGGATGGATATGTAGTCAACATCCAGTGAAATCCTTCCTTATTCTTTCATGTGAGATAGAAATGCAATCTTAGCTTACAAGGTTGCATATATTATTAGCACGAGTGGATATGGTTGTCAGATACTGGATTTTTCATACCAGGCTTGCTGGATCATGTCAAGGGCCTGTCTAGTCCAGCATTCTGTTATCACTATGGTCCAACGGATGCTTATGTCAGGCCTGCAAGCAGGATCTGAGCACAAAAACACTCTTCCCATTGCACTTCCAAGCAGCTGGTATTCAATGGCATACTGCTTTTTTTTTTTCTGCTGCGCAAACTTTTCTCCCTCTTTGGGTTCATTCGCATTTCCATTTGCCCTGTAATTTCTAGGCACGGGTCCAAAAGGTTCTTCCTTTGTCCTGTGTCCAGAAATCATGGGACAAGTGGAAGTGTGGATGAGCCCTTTTTGTGAATAGTTTGTATATACACCTTTGTTTCGTTTGCTGTTCTGTCATACAAGTGCACTAAAAAAAAAAAGCGGCCAACTTGTGCATGTAGTACCAGGTTCAACTCCTAGCCCAGCCTTCCTCAGCCTGGTGCTCTCTAGATATTTTTGACTACAACTTCTGTCAGCTCCAACGCATATGGCTGTTGTTCCAGGATAATAGGAACTGTAGTACAAAACATTTGAAGGGAACCAATTTCTTCTTCTTCTAAGAGTAGTCTCTGGTAAAAAGGCTGGAAAATACATTTTCCTGAAACTTGAATAGCCTCTGCCCATCAGAGTACACAGTACTATGCTAGAACTGACTCAGGATAAATAAATTATGCCACACATATCTGTAATGTGTTCTTCAGAACCTCTTTGTTAACTAAAGAAGCAATACAGCCTTTATAAGTCAGTGGGTCATTTCCATGGCCTTAAGTGGAAAGGTGAATTGTACAGTGGTACCTCGGGTTAAGAACTTAATTCGTTCTGGAGCTCTGTTCTTAACCTGAAACTGTTCTTAACCTGAAGCACCACTTTAGCTAATGGGGCCTCCCGCTGCCGCCGCACAATTTCTGTTCTCATCCTGAAGCAAAGTTCTTAACCCGAGGTACTATTTCTGGGTTAGTGGAGTCTGTAACCTGAAGCATCTGTAACCCGAGTTACCATTGTATTGTTAATTGAACAGCAAGACTTCTTACTGCTTTCTGAGGGCCAAAATAGCTAAACTACAGGAAATCTGTGATTATATTCCCCAATGTTTTTTGGATTCAGATCCCAAATTGGATCTAGTCTGCTACACTAAAATGAGATATAATCCTTCCCCTCATACTGTTTGCTCAATCTAAATTGTGTGCACACGAATGTAAACAAGTTGCTGTTTGTCCCATTGAGTGTCGAAGACCCCCAAGACCCCCCCAATAAAACATGGTTCACACATCATATTTGTTTTTTTGTTTTTGGCATAATTTTGGCCGCAACTTTATTGAATTACAGTATGTGAGTGGTTGCTTAGGCATTGGTTAGCGACTGTCTGTTCCCACTTGGAGGTAGGAACAAAACTGACAACCACACCCATGTGGAAGTCAGTAAGGGCAAACAATTTTGGGGAGAGAATAAAGCTGGGTGCCAGGCTCTCACCTTTCCCCAAATGCTCCCAGGGGCTCTTGTGTGGCCCTGGCCCTTTGCCAGAGATTCGGACAAAAGCATGGTGAGCCCCTGGATTCCTTTAACAGAATACCCTTGCAGAAGCAGCATTGGAGGGGCAGGCACAGCCAACCGCATCCCCTCTACCAACCAAAAATTAACCAATGCCTAACCGCAACCTTACAAGTTGTGATGATTTGCTACGCAGTAGGCAAAACCCAAATGGCACCAGCCAATCAGCCAAATGGTAAAATTCCTACCGGACCCCCGCTCTAAAGCAGACAACCCCATGACAAGGCATAGCAAGGTCAGTGCGAACAAACCCTAAAGAAAGGGAGGGTGGGCAGGTAATCCGATGTGCGCAGAGAAAAGAGGAAGCTCAACACTGTGCACAGGGACCTATATAGCACCCCCATCAATCAAATAAAATTGCAACAATAAATTTTCCCCAGCAACATTGGAGGTGCCCAATCAAACTCATGGCCATGCAAACTAACCCGCCCAGCAACAGGGGAAGTCATGGTTACTCCCACCGCAACACGTGCTCTCTATGAAGGAGAACCCGCTTTGGAGAAAACATTTCCATATAGGCACAGAATAGTTAATGTTAAGTTGTGGGTGAACATATCAGACGACACAGCGATTCTTCAAACAGCTCTTGTTTATTCACAGGCCAGAACAGAACTGAACAGCAAACAGCTCAGCTGGCCTGCTTTTATAGGCAGCCGGCTGTCAACATTGTAGCAACAACAACCCAGGGTTTCCCGCTTAAAGTAACCGACGTGGACCTGAGTGAAAACTACCGTATATACACGATACTCCTGGTGGCCAGGGTGAGAACTTCAATACATAACAGTTAAAGACGGGAAGGGAGATTTATATCCGAAAGTGAAATTGGAGGAACAATTAACCCTACTCGTCCAGCAGACCAGCATATAGGCCCATTTCATTACTGTATAGTTGCCTAAAACCTAGGTAAATTTGTAGCATCATGTCTGCTTTTCCAAGCAGCTCTTTTTGTTATCTACTTTGTCTAAGGGAACACAATTAAATCAAAGGCAATCAACATGACTGGCCTTAGAGACGATGTGTCCCTTCGGCTCATTGCCCAGTGTGTGTGTACTGCTCACCCAATCGTAATCTGCCCCTGAGTGAAGCACGCACTTTTCAGATTTATAATGAATTATGAAAAAAAAAAAAATTATGAAACATTGCAGACCCAAAAAATAAGCCATAAGGATTTCTAGTGCCTTCAACATACTGCCATTTTAATTTCCCCATTTCTATTATTGGCCATCATTTCTATTATTAATGGATGAAACCTGAAACCCACAAAGTTCCTAGCAGGCCCTAATTTCAATCTGCTGCCACATTAAGACTCTAAATGTTTGTCCTGTTTTTATTTCATCATAGAATGGGTGGGTGGGTGGCTGTGATGGGGATTAACCCATTTATGATATTTTATTCTATGTTGTTTAGCATGCTTGTGTCATTTTTATTATATTTTTACTTTGTACATGATTTGGGGGTTTTTTGTAGGGAGAAGTGATCTTTATAAATTTAACAAATCTAACTTTCTAACCTGATGTAGATTTGTTGGCTTTGCTGGTCCATTTTTTTCTTCTTCTCCTACTTCCTCTTTGTTTACTATCTAGCCTATTGAAGTGTTCTGGGAAACGCCTGCACACTATTTTGTAACATTTTAGTTAGACTAATAATGGTATCGCCCTAATGTGGATTTTGGATTCCCCCCCCCCCTTACAGGCCAGCATAACTACCTCTTGTGTGTGTTTACCAAAGACTATATAAGCTTTCAAGTTCTGCAAAACTCTCCAGAACGGAAAGGTAGCAAAAGAGAGTAGGTTTACATGTCCACAGGAATAATGATTTGGCCACTTTAGACAGTTAGTGATACAAAACATTTAGTACTTCAGACCCAGTGTAGTGGCCATGATGGCCATGGCAAAGATGATTTTAAAGGGGTTTAGATAAATTTATGGAGTGTATGCCTAAAACTCTTATTTTCCATGATAGCTTAAATGTAATTTTCAGGTTCGGCGTACCTCTGGATACCTGTTAGAAGGCATCTGGTGGGGGAGTACTGTTGCCTTCCGACCTTGCTTATGAATATCACAAAAGCTGGCTGGATGTCCACAAGCAGTGCTGGAGTAGATGGACCCTTCGTCTTATCTAACAGGTCAGGGCACTTGTTTTTACACAATAGCTAACTGGTCAATAGGATCATAACCCTATGCTTGTATGTGAGATCCAAGCTTAATTTTAAAAGTCCTATCCTTGTGCTGTTGCCTGTGCCAATGCTGTGGCATTCAGTCTGGATATACTTCTATAATGTATGGTTGAGTTCACTCAGTGATGGTTGGAAAGTACATGCCCGGATATACTCAGTTTATTTTTACTCTGCAACATGTCTACATCTTTCAGACCCAAGTCCTGGTTTGAATACAAGTCATTGCAGGCTACTGCTTTTCCTCTGCAACACTATCACCACAGCTGGTTTCTGTGTCATCAAAATATTCAGGCACATGCTGCTGTATCACAGAGAAAATTGGCTAGTGATAAAAGAGATTATTGTGGGGTGAAATGGAAGGCAGGAGGAGACTGAAACACCTCTCCTGTCCACTTCTCTGTTGAAAATGGCACCTTTCCCCCCACTAGCTCTGCCGTGACGTGGGTTCAACCCTTAAAAACAGCTCTGGATACTTTTTTTGGGAACAAACCGTTTCTGCTGGACATGTCAGGGCACATCAGGAATTTTCTTGATGTATGGGAAGCCTTTGGAGGGGCTGCAAAAGTAGTTGTTTTGCTGATACTGACTAACTCACCTATGCCTCTGGAAACTGTGGAGACGTTTGGGTCTGATATGGCTTTAGGAGAAGCAGAAACATCAGGGATTGCATGTCGTATAGAAATGTTGTTTTGTAGAAACATTTTATTCTGAATTTTATTTTATTCCGAAAACTTAAAAAAGATCAGGCTGTGACCAACAAAACCCAGACAAATAGATCCAAGCCAGAAGGTCTTCTATCCACTGATGTTACCTTTTGGAAATATATCCTTGACTTACTTCATAACCGTATGGTGATAAGTTAAATTATTCATACAAGAACAGAAACTGAGAAATTGTAGTTCCATCAATTGCCGTACAGCAGTTTTGCTGTCACATACCCTTGAAGTCTATTTTTGACTTCCTATTTGGCATGAGTACCATCTCTGTGTGCTTATATGCTTACAATCATGGTGTATTATAAATAGCCAGCAAAACACATCTCTGCAGTGGAAGTGCAGCTTTGTAATATGCTTGTATATAACAGCAAGCACAAGTTTTAAGCCATGAGATGCCAGTGACCAGCATTAACCTTTGGTCTAGTGGGAATGAATAACTAGCAACAGATATGTCACACTGGGCTGCCAAAGCATGTGTTAAAGACTTGCCTTGCTCTAGATGTCTACAGCATGTCACATAACCAGTGACCGAGAGCAGCAAAGAAGGCAGCAAGAGCATGCCAGCAAATTCTTTAAATACATTTCATCATCTTTCATATCAACATAGATTTCTAGCTAAAGCTAATGACTTGGTTTTGCAAGTGAACTACTTCTCAGAAGAATAATAAATTTGTAGAGTTGGAAGGTACCCTGTGAGTCATCTAGTCCAACCCCCTGCAATGAAGGAATCTTAACTAAAGCATTCATGACAGATGACCATCCAGGCCCAGTGCCACCAAGCAGGTCATGCTCCCCTAAATCCACTTCTGTTGAAAACCAAGTTGCCCAGTCATCTAACATCCTGAGATAGAAGTTCTCTGCGTAGTAATCCGGTGTGTCTAAAGTATAGAATACAATGACTTATGCTTATGATGTCTGTTTACAACATCACTATCATAGAATCATAGAACTGTAGAATTGGAAGGGACCCCAAATAGTCCCACCCCCTGCAATGCAGGAATATCAACTAAAGCATCCATGACAGATGGCCATCCAACCTCTACTTAAAAACCTCCAAGGAGGGAGAGTCCACCACCTTCCAAGGGAGTCTGTTCCACTGCTGAACAGCTCTTAGCATCAGAAAGTTCTTCCTGATGTTTAGTCGGAATCTCATTTCTTGTCATTTGAAGCCATTTGTTTGGGTCCTACTCTCAAGCAGGCGAAACTTGCTCCGTCTTCTATTAGATATTTGAAGGTGGCTATTGTATCATCCACATATTTGAAGCAGGTGTGTCCCCCCCCCCCCGATATTTGTGCATCTGGTTCTTCCTGCCTAAGTGCAGAACCTTACATTTGTCCTTATTGAAATTCATTTTGTTACTTTAGGGCCAGTTCTCCAATCTGTTAAGGTCATCTTGAATCCCGATTCTGTCCTCTGCTGCATTAGTTACCCCTCCCCAGGGGTGCAATCTCACCCTCAGGATTGGGGGGGGGCCACCGCCATAACACGGATGTGTGACGTCACATACACACACCTGCACATAATGTGTGTGATGTCACACACAAGACACCCAACATCACATCACGTTGGGGGAGGGGGGGCTCCTCCAAAAACGCAGTGCAACATTGCATGTTGTGCATGTGACATCATACGCACTATGTGCAGGTGTGTGCATGTGACGTCACACATCTGTGTTGCGGCTGATGGCGACTCTTCCATCTCCTCTCCACGACCAGAGAGGTATCCTTTTCCGTGGAGAGGGGCTCAGACTTGGAGGTAGAGAGACACTACCTCCATGTCTGAGCCCCACCCAGAACAGGGTGACTCGCTGGCTGCGGAGGGTGGAACTGAACTGATTCTCGGGGGCTGTGCCGCAGAGGCTGGCTGACTGCCTCTCTCCGGCTTTGCTCATTGACTTTGTGGGTGCCCAAGCACCCACGGCCCACTGAAGTTGGCTCTTATGCCCCTCCCAGCTTAGTATCATCCACATATTTGATGAGTATCCAGGCTGACCTGACAGAATATGCATCCTGCAACTAATTATGGTTATTTGTGCAATTGTGAGCATGAAGTAAAGTCAAAGAATCTCTCATTTAAAGAATCTCCATAGCCCACCTTCTGGAAAGTGCTATCCCGATGCCTTATATTATTTTGGTGATAGTGAATACTTTTCTGACAACCAATGGTGCCTAATTGAAATACTGGATCCAGGTTATGAAACTTCAGACCTGCACCGCCCTTGTTTTCCTGCCCCTCCTACTCTCAAATCTTTTTCAGGAATTGACCCACCAGTAATAGGTGAGAGACAAGCAAAACAGAAATGCAATTTTTTTCTGGATTTTTTGCTTTTTGTTGCACTAGGCAGATTAATATCCTGAGTCAACTCAAGAGGATGTTTCATAACCTGCCTATGTCTGTTTATTGATTTGCAAGCCTGGGCATCTCAATACGGCTCTGTTTTTCCCCCCTTTGGTTGTCACCTGGCTAACTAAAAAGGCATTTTTAATTTTTACTCCTAAAACAATGAGAGCACAACTGGCAGGTTTCTGCTTGTCTAACATGTTGTAATTAATGATTCAATTCAGACTTTGATCTATTACATCTCTTAGTTTCTTGCCAATTGTAACAAAGGTCAGGAGCTATGGAGTTCATGGTATTTCACCCATGTAGCATTGTTATCCATTCACCATGGCAGCTTTGTAGGAATAAGATGGTGAGAGAATTTGAATGCGCATGCATTCTTTTGTGATAGAAATGTTGTGAAGCTAAGACCTAGATGTTCTTTAAGATAAAAATAACTCAGATAAAAACCGCTCATATGCATAGTTGTTGTGATTAAAAATGCACAACTCTTTAGCAATATGCAGGCAGCCAGATTCTAAGCATGTTTCTTCAGAAATAAATCCCACCGAGTTCCATTGTATTTGGGACTAAGCTCCTTTGAAGCTACAATAACAATACTGTAGTGGGATCTGTTAGGTGTACCTGTGAACCAAGGTATTCTTAGCTCCTTATGGGACTCAGCTGCATGAGTGCTCCCAGGTAAAGGCTTTCCCGAGTGGCCATCATGCTGAATCAGTTTGTGTTATAACAGCTATCAAGAGCTATGTGGCAAAAAACAATAATATCAAAACTCCACAAAGTCAAGCATGGTAGCACTAACCCTTCATGGTAGTTGATGGCTAGTGCATGAGATATGTCCCCCTCCCACTTCCTTTTCTAGTTTGATAGTATCTTACGCTGGATTTCTATTCATTTATGTATGTAAAACATTTTACCTCGCTTTTCAGCTTATTACCTCTTGTCTGCCTGCCCCCCACACCACTCAGGAAAGTCGCAATGACATCAGTGCCAGGACAGCAGCTCTGCAGCACTGTCCCACCACACTGGCCACTCCTAAACATCAGCTTTGGACATAACAAGAAGTAGGGACAATAGGAAGTGCAAGCTTGTGACATTTCTTGCCCTCTTTATCCCTGCTTGTCCTCAACAACAGTCATGACACATTGTACTTGCCATCTGCCTCCACTGAGCGGCAACTTGGTGAAGGAAGTTGTCACAGTACAAGTTATACAAAAGGGTTTTTGCATCGGGGTCAGCTGTAATGGATGCAGGCTGATGTTATCCACACTGCAGCTGTGCAGCATAAGTACTTTACGCCTCCGTCATCACAGTATTGTAGCTGCTAAACTTCGTGAACTGAGTCTTTTCGTTTTGGTCAGTAACTTTCTGGACCTTCCACCTTCTTAGGCTTCTACTCAGCAGTGGCAGAAGAGAAATGTAGTGTTCCCACCCCATTCTTCCAGGTTATAACCATTACGGTCACAGCCAGTGTGGTATAGTGGTTAAGGGCGGTGGACTCGTAATCTGGTGAACCAGGTTCGATTCCCCGCTCCTCCACATGCAGCTGCTGGGTGACCTTGGGCTAGTCACACTTCTTTGAAGTCTCTCAGCCCCACTCACCTCACAAAGTGTTTGTTGTGAGGGAGGAAGAGAAAGGAGAATGTTAGCCGCTTTGAGACTCCTTTGGGTAGTGATAAAGCAGGATATCAAACCCAAACTCCTACTCCTACTCCTCCTCTTCCTCTTCTTCCTCCTTCACTCACCTTCAGTCACAAAGTAGTTTTTAAAAAAGTCATACTTAAGATTACATTGCTGCGTTTTGATGCTTAAAGCAAGGATGAGGAATTTAAGGCCCTCCCAAGGCAGTTGGATTATAACTTCCATCAGCCCCAGCTGGTGATGGTGGGAGCTGTAGTCCAAAAACATCTCCAGGGCCGCAGATTCCCCATCCCTGTCCTAAGGCATGTATAGTCATCAGAGGCATGGACAGCAACAAGGCCTGCAAATCGCATAAAGACAGACCTAGCCTTTTATCAGCCTCTTGTGTGCTGTGCTCTTGCCTGATCCCTGGCTCAAAAAACTAGAGGCACACCCACACCCAAGCACAGGGAACAGTGTACACTCTGTTAGATGCAAAACATGACGCAAGCTCACACTTAGGACCTTTATTTGTGGCATCTTTAAGTACATAGCTAGCCACCACCCAGGTATGTGCCACTTCTTTGATGGGAGTATTAGGAACATGTTAGGCTACTATCAGAACCAGTGGCCCTCTATACATTGCTGCATCATAGCTTCCATGCACCATCCCTGCTTATTAGCCAAGGTTTCTTAGCCATTTCTGCACTTTTCTTTCCTGCTGCCACCCCACCCATCATGTATAAATTGGCCTCTACTTCACAATTGAAATTTAAGCCTATACCTGTTTCACCCATTGGATTTATCAGAAAATAGCCATAGGAGTATTTTTCTTTTATTATTTTTGTGCCCTGTGAAGCTCTTTTATTAAGCTTTTTAGGATGTTTCTCAGCAGGTTATTCCTTATAGGCAGACCAAACATACTCTCTTGTCTATTTTACCTTAGCCTGAAGGAACAATACACGGTCTGTACAGTTGCGCAGAATGAAAGGCACACTTTATTCAGCAGATAACCACTACTTCGTGTTTAAAGTAATTAAAGTGACAGTTATACTAAATGTCCTTGTACTTATTCCTAGTACAAAGTGGTCCCTATTTTGACTTTTGGGAATGCTTTGTTATGATTTTTTGTGGGCACGCACACATGTCCACGATAAGATCCCACTTTACAGGCTTCAACCCATCTTCAATGAATCCCTCTGTCATCCTAGTTCTGTCTCCTAAGCTGAGTTCTTTGCCCTCTTGGGAGGCATGGATGGGGAACTCAGCAGTGGAGAATGGTGGACTCAGGTGATCAAAATCGATGCTTGAGATGGGCTGCGCCATTCTGACTCTTTATAATTTGATTTGAGCAGAAGTGCTTGCATTTGTGAACACATTTGCTCTGAATGTTTGTTCCATCCCTATCACAGAAAAAAGGTCTTCACTTGCCACCAAAAATTGTAGGTGGCAGGCAAGTTTCCAGGGGAGACAATGCCTCTCTGTGGTCTTTGCATAACCCTAGAGTGCCTCTTCCCAACCTCCATTGACCTAATCTCTGAAGGCAGATGCATCTGGAGAGGGACCTCTGATGATAAATCTGATGCACTGGCAATCTTGTCCCTTGACGTCCTTTCCTCCAGAGATCTTTTATTATTGAGCCTGCTTAGATATGTAACACAGCTTATTTTATTGACTGGATGATTTTATTGATTGACCTTCTTTTCCTCCCGAAGGAATACACTGTGGAACAGTTAAAACATGCTGGGAACAATTGAGTTAAAAACATTCTAAAAGCAGCTACAGTTAAAAACGTTATTCTATCCAATGATCTTGGGTTTGCTAGGAACAGTATTCTTCAGCAACAAGAATAAACTTTGCCTTCAGTTCAGAATATAAAGAGCTGTATAGTTAGTAATGATACAGATATTCTACTCCTTAATAGAATGTCTAGTAAGAGGATATCAAGAATATCAAGAGGGAGGTAGCAGCAGACTTAGGTAAACCTCAGGGTTTGCAGAAGTACCAAAAAACTTAGGGGGGAGGGGAACTCATGTGTGAAATCCCTTCAATGAAGACCGAGCATGCCCAGTGGCCATGGAATGCTGGAGGAGTTGGCACAAAACCTCCAAGGGCGAGGGTTAATAGAACGGAATATCCTGGAACAGAGCAGAGTTCCGGACAGCCAGCTAGGAACAAAACACTCCACAAACACTTCATTGCAGGTCCCACTTGCATTATTTTTTGTCATGTTGAAATTCATTGTATTTGTCATAATTTAAAGCCACAAGGGATAAAAATGAATAAAAATACAAAAATACAATAGTAGGAAAACTATGAATTAAAGGTCATTTCTTCAGTATTTTAGAAGAATTACAAAATAGAATCAGTGAAAGCCTCTCATTCAGGTACTTGTCACTTCCATTGTCTTTACAAAGCAAGTTTATTTCAGTAGCTCCTTATCAGGCAATCTATTTCCATATTGGTGACGGCAGCATATTTCTGAACAGTTGGTTCTTGTTGCTGCAGACAAGAAAAATATGCAGGCTGGGAGGCACAAATTGTGCTGCTCTTGTTCTCTTCTTACCAAGAGATTCGTACCACCCTCCCTCAGTGAAATAAATTATCCTTGAGTCAGCACTACCATCCCAGAGGAGAGTTTCTCCCCCACCACTTCCCAGACGGGACATAATAATCTATCATTCATTGTCTTGTTGAGGAAGGCTAACAAAGCGGCTGCCTTGAATTCATGCAACTGGAACATTACGCATTCCTGTGCCTTTAAGATGAAAGCGGTTGCTATGGCTGCAGTGACGTGGTGCCACTGATGGAAGGAAATCCATGAGTGTGTGTGTTGTCTTTGACAATTCATATGAGAAGTTGCATTGCTGGCTAATCCTACAAGAGAAAACAATGAGGGGTCTAAGATGACATTGGAGCTGACAATTCAGATAAACCTTCATTAGCCCAAGAGAGGGTCCTCTTTTTTAGAAGGGCGGGAAGCCTACCCCCCCAAAAAAAAACAACCCACCCCTCCAACGTTTCACAGGTGAAAGTAGGCACACGCTTGTAACAACCCCGTTCTCATGTCAACAATTATTTCCTGAGGCTTTGAATCACCACCATCATAATTTTGCTGAAGGATAATAATCTGTTTTGTTGTGTTCATTTGCACTTCCTAGCCTGTCCTGTGCTCAGGGGTGCAGCTAGGTAACCTTAGACCCTGGACTTAACGGTCTTACAGGTGAGTAGAGTCTGCATCTGGTAAGAGCATTAATATGGCATGTGGGAGGAGGTAGCAGATATTTAAAGTGGGCTCTGTTAGGTGCTACACAGTTTTCAAATTTCATACCATGGCCAATTCCACATCTCTAGAATATAAAACTCTATTGTTATTCTTCCTTGATAGGAAGAAAACACAGGAAATGATGCAGTTTTTAGATGTGCAAAGCTGGATATTAGTTTTAGGTGGTATGCTAGCCTAATGAAGAGTTCTAGAGAACTTGAAAGCTTGCATACTATCTTGTGACATTTTTGGTTGGCTACAATAATGGTAGGGATGCAGGTGGCGCTGTGGTCTAAACCACAGAGCCTAGGGCTCGCCGATTGAAAGGTCGGTGGTTTGAATCCCTGCAATGGGGTGAGCTCCCATTGCTTGGTCCCAGCTCCTGCCAACCTAGCAGTTCAAAAGCACGTCAAAGTGCAAGTAGATAAATAGGTACCACTCTGGCGGGAAGGTAAACGGCGTTTCCGTGCACTGCTCTGGTTTGCCAGAAGCGGCTTAGTCATGCTGGCCACATGACCCGGAAGCTGTACGCCGGCTCCCTCGGCCAATAAAGCGAGATGAGCGCCGCAACCCCAGAGTCCGCGACCGGACCTAATGGTCAGGGGTCTCTTTACCTTTTACAATAATGGTAGCCAAAGTCCTAAAAAGGAGTTGTTGTTAATGAATTTCCTTACTGTTAAGCTGAGAGAGACCTCTGCTTGAAACCCGGGAGAGCCACTTTGTTAGATGGACCAATTTATGTCTCAACGTAAGGCAGCTTCCTAGATTCCTATAGGAATAGTTGGTAGAGCATAAGACTCTTAATCTCAGGATTGAGATTAACCCCACATTGCAGGGGGTTGGACCCTCATAGTCCCTTCCAACTCTACAATACTATGGTTCCGTGGTTGCTAATTGCTGGAGACATTGTGGTGACTATGAATGAACATGCACCTGAGGAAGTTTTTCCCCTTGCAATCAAACAGTATATAAATGTAAAGAATTAAAAAATAAAATAAAAGGTTGCTTCCCTGATTCCCAAAGTTCACTACCTCTGCCAAAATTAGGTTTGAAATAAGTCTTCTACTGCAGTAAATAAAGTCAGTTGTGCTGTGTATTTGGTTGCATTTTGTGTGTGGCACCCATGATAGTTTCTCCAGTTTGCAAATTTGTGCACAAGCCCAAAAAGATTGGCAACCCCTGCTAAAAACGATAGTCAAAGCATAATGCATTTGGGGTTTCTGATTACCTGATCACCTGATTATGTTCCTCTATGGTGTTCTGTAGCCAAGCCTGCCTTCCACTCAGCTTCTTTGAATGAGAATTGTTGTGTGCCCAAGGAACATAAATTCACACCTGTTGCTATTCCATTTCTCCCAACCCTTCCGTTATGCGGCATATGAATGCAGGCACTGTTCCTGTCCCAGCAGCTGGGGGCTCTGACTACTGCTCTCTATAGGTCATTAAAGATTAACTTTTAATGAGAAACTAACACTTTCAATGTCAGTTTGGAGGGTATGAAAATAAGCAAATGCCAATCAGGCACATTGGTGTCCCTTGTTCCTCAGCCTCTCCCATTTTTATTTTCTTTCTGCTGCTTGTTTCTCTCATCTTCACCTCCCCTCCCTCTATTGACATTTGTTAGACTGTAAGGTCTTTGGGGCACAAAGCTGTTCTTTCTCCCCTCTCTGCAAGGGCCCAAACAGTCATGATATTAGATCTATGAATGCGTCTAGAAGTTCTGGTCTCCCACCTCTTTTAACGGCAGTAGCCAAAGGGGAACCCAAGCAGGATCTGGACTGCAGTGTGTAGGAAGTGAAGATTACCAGGGCCTCTGCTGTCTTAAATCTTCAACAGAGATGTGTGGCATGGAGCTTGGGAGAGATGTAAGCCCCCACCTTGAGAATTCTAGGGACATACCATAGCTGAGTGGCAGTAGAGCATATGCTGTGCATGAGAAGGTATCAGGTTCAATCCTTGTCATCAGGTTAGTGGAAAGTGTGAAAAAACAAGCCTGAGACCCTGGAAGGCCACTACCAACTAGAATAGGCAATGCTGAGCTATGGCTTATCTACATTTACCTTCTTTCTTTCTTTGGCCCCATGAAGTCCCACTCTTTAGTCCTCAATCAGAGCAAATGTCAATTTAGGTTTTTCTGTAGGTTGCTGTTTGTTCTGATTAGACTATAAAGGGCAGGGGTTTTTGTGGGGAAAGCTGTGGAGCAAAAAGAAAGGGAATGCCCAGACATGGAGCTTTAAATCGCAGACCATGCCTTGAAAGAGCAGAGGGAAGGTAAGTATGGATAATCCCCTAGATGGACGCACAGTCCAATTTGACTTAAGGCAGCTCCCTGTGTTCCTGGGCTAGGTTCCTCATAGATCTAAGTAAGACAGTAGCAAGGCCTGATGGATGACAGGAGAAAAAAGATCTATCTTTCAGAATAATGGACACCTTGCTTTGTTAAATAGTTCTGTACCACTCCTAGACTCTAGTAGGACTGAGATACCCTTAATTGCTAATTGCGAGTGCAGAGCTAGTGTGGCTCAGGTTGGGGCTTGAAGGTGGAAAACCCAGTTTAAAATCGCTTCTCAAACATGAAGCTCCCTAGAAAGCCTTGGGCAAACCACCGTATCTCATCTTAACTGACTCACACAAGCATAGAACCCACAAAAATTATACTACATTATCATCACATGCACACACCAAAAACAACAACAACACGCACACCTTACAAAGTCCAGATAATCCAGATCCATAGATGCACCACACCCCAGCTCCAAGTGCTTGCTTCAGCTTGCTATCCCAGTCAGGAATGGCAGAGGCAGGTGGGCTGCACTTGGAAGTGAGCAAAGGCAAGCAAAGGGGGAACATTTTCAGATAGTGGCAGAGCAGTGACAGTACTGGGTGGGCAGCTGCAACAGTGGCTGAAGGGCCATTACTGAGTTATGGCTTCTGGTGACAAAGGGACTTGCCACTCTCACTTGGAAAGTCAATTGGCAGCAGTTAAGCTCACTGTGCAGCCTCAGGTCATTCAAACTGTGTGGGTGGAGAGTGCATTTTCACGCTTGGGCACAGCAGACCAAAAATATGTTTTAAAAACAAAGGAGCTGAAAGTGAAAACAAAGGAAAAGGTCTTGCCCTTTGCTTTTCTGGCAAGAAGCCAGAAAGCAAAGCAAAAAATGAACTGGCTGGTTTCCCTTGTCATTATTGTCTGCCCAGTTTTCCAAGCACCATAGCACCTGCTGCGTTGGTAACAGCACTCACAGTGCTGTTCTAAAGCCAGGCGGCTGAGGGTAGCTAACCATGGCTGCAACAATCTACCTACCTGTTAAGTTGTGGGTGAACATATCAGACGACACAGCGATTCTTCAAACAGCTCTTGTTTATTCACAGGCCAGAACAGAACTGAACAGCAAACAGCTCAGCCGGCCTGCTTTTATAGGCAGCCGGCTGTCAACATTGTAGCAACAACAGCCCAGGGTTTCCCGCCTAAATTAATTGATGTGGACCTGAGTGAAAACTATATACATGATACTCCTGGTGGCCAGGGTGAGAACTTCAATACATAACACTACCGGTACTTCCCTGCAAATATGCCCCATTGAACTCAATGAGACGTACCTCAGCAGGTAAACCGAACACTGGGATAGCCAGTCTTGAGTCATTTTGCTGCCTGAAGCTAAGGACAAAATCATGCAACTATCCATTGCTCATACATAAGCCAGTCAGACTGGCACTTGAATCTTACTTCACTACTGAGGCAGGATCCTGAGGGCAGCAGACTAGCTTGGGTGATAGCAAAGCAAACTGCAGCACTCCTTGTTCCACAGCCCTCAGCACCTGCCCCCTGACTGATGCTGCCACTTTGCTTAATGAGAGTAGCCAGCAAAAAGAATGTAAGTTTACCCTGCCAGGATGTCCTTAGAACCTGGAACAATCCACAAGATTATCTTTTCAAAAAATAGTATTGTGAATGAAACAGAAGCTTTAAAACCCAATACACCAGGATTTTTATATTTTAGCCTGCGGCAGTGGCGTAGCGTGGGGGGTGCAGGGGGGCCCGGCTGCACCGGGCGCAACTTCTGGGGGTTAGGGTTAGGGGGCGCAAATCCACAGGTTAGGGGGCGCAAATTACTTGCCTTGCCCCGGGTGCTGACAACCCACGCTACGCCACTGGCCTGCGGTAAACAAAAACTTTATCTGTGGTTACCTTAATTTATTTAATAATTAATCAAATGATTTAATAATCTTTATTTCTTATTGCCCCCCCTTAACAAAGTACAACTCCTAAACATGGCACACAAGCAAGGGACAGAGGGCAATAACACAAAATCCTTTTGCTCACTGCTCTCTCTCCACTACAAATCTGACTCCCTTTGTCTTTGTCTCTGTCTCTGTCTCTTACACACAGTGTCATTTCCTGGATTGGATTCCACTGTTATGGAAACAACTCTTTCATTCTCTAAGAGATTTCAGAAGGTGTGAGGGAGGCCCACACTGTTCTAGGAAACTGGAAAGAGAGGCCAGAGGCATGTACAAATGAGAACAGCAGAGTGCTTTTCTCATTCATCCAGTCTTCCCCACCCCCTTCCTGTCTGTAATGTAAGCCATTAGGCAATTGAGGTTTCCTCCTGCGCTTCCTGAAATTTTTTTGGAAGGCAGTAGATAGAAGACAGAAATTTGCTAGCAAGCATCTGAGGACATCCTTCCTCTATTACTGTATTGGTGTTGCATCACTAATCGGTAAGCCCAGGGGTAGGCAACCTAAGGCCCGGGGGCCGGATGCGGCCTAGTCGCCTTCTCAATCCGGCCCACAGACGGTCCAGGAATCAGCGTGTTTTTACATGAGTAGAATGTGTGCTTTTATTTAAAATGCCTCTCTGGGTTATTTCTGGAGCATAGGAATTTGTTCATTTCACCCCCAAAAGTATAGTCTGGCCCACCACTGTCTGAGGGACAGTGGACCAGCCCACAGCTGAAAAAGGTTGCTGACCCCTGGGTAAGCCCTTGCCCAAAGTATCTTGAGGTTTGTCCGCTGAGGTGAGGAGAGTTCTGCTCAGAGGACAATACCCCCTACCATCAGCCTCACTGATGTGGTCCAAAGGAAAGCCAAGCAATTTCTTTGGCACCAGCTTGGTTGCAGGAGTTGCTTGAAGGAGATGTACAATGTGCCACCCACTCTTAGGGACTCCACTCTGATTTGTGTAGGGTTTATTCCTTTGCCTTTTTTTGTCCTGAAGATATTCTGCAAGGCAGCAAAGGTTTAGGGTCAGAGTTTTTCTTCTTCTATATGGGCTCCCTTTCCAGGTTGATGAGCCCTGGTAAACATGCTTAACACTGCACTGCAAGTTTGGATGGATTGTATTCATGATGTACCAGATATGTTTTAAGGATTTACCATCCAAATGCCGTCAACTACAAATTCACCTGAGGCACAACAGCTGCACTTGACTCCTTCTTTTTGGCCGTTGGATAGTAAAACAGCATCAGTCCATGGAGTACCTGGACTGTAAAAGAGTAAAAAGCACATCACCTGACAGAGTAAAAAGCACATCACCTGACAGAGGACCACACAGTTGCTGCAGCTGGGGGATGAGCTAGGATGAAAGCCAATGGGAGCTGCCACAACAACTTAATGTTAACGGAGGCAGGGGAGAGAGATGCTGCTTCCAAGGTACATTAAGTGTTGGAGGAGAGAGAAGCAACAACAACGTAATTATATGTTAGTAATTTTAGGTAAGCTGCCTTGAGGATCCTTCTGGATCAAAAACCAAGATGAAAATAAAATAAAATATATAATACCTTCAGGCAATTTTAGTAATTAATATAGCAGCAATCATCTCAGGAAACATTCTCTGAGGGCTCCTGAATCACAGTAAAAATAGAAGCATAGCATAGTGTTGTTTCAGTATTAAAGGAAACTACAATTTGAAATACTAAGAATTACAATAATTACATTGCTATTAGTGACTCTAAGAAAGCTTACTCAATACTTAATTGGCAAAAAAATTATTTGTTTCTGAAGCCTTTGGAGTCATTTCAAGGCAATGCAAATTACTGTTTTATGTTCATTGGAGATGAGTGCATTATTTTTAGTGCTACAAATAGAAATAGCAGCTGTCATTTACACAGCCCAGCCCCTTGCAAAGTAGTTGAAAGACACACCCAAGCAGCAGCAGCAGCAGCAGCAGCAACAACAACAACAACAACAACAACAACAACAACAACAACAACAACAACAACAACACAATAACAGCAGACAAGCCAAGAATATGTTGAGTCTGCCACTTCTGTTTTCATTTTTTGAAAGCTGCACAACTGGAAGCCTGGACAAAGCAACCCAAATTGGAGTGTGCCATCAGATAGTGTAAGGATGGTGTGCCCAATATCACCTCTTGTATTATGGGGACAGCTCAGCATATGTCAGTCCTGCCAGCCCTCCTGTCATCTGAATAAATAGACATAGGAGTGATACATACTAGGAAGCCTGGAGTTTTGGGTGAATGGAAGGATCACATCCACTGTGGCTCCCAGTGTGTTTCTGGGCACAAATCAAAATATTGACTTAATAAAGATGTATTCCTCATGCTCTGGACTCATTTGGTTACTTCTCCATTGCCTTGCCCAAAAGAGCTATGTTGGGCAAGATCCAAGAAGGAAGTCAGATAGACAGCCGCAAGCACCTTGTCCAGATCTGTAGGCCTCAAAAACCAGAACTGATCCCATGTAGGAAGTGGATCTGCAGAAAAACCTCGCAGCATTAGCTTGTAAGGTACAGATTCTTGGCACCAGAGCACAGTGGTTTAGGACGCACATGCAGAATTTGGGATAAAGAAAAGGTTTATCCTGATCATTAGAGTCTTAACTTGAAACTAATTGTTTCATAATGTAATTTTAAAAGCTATTCTCCATAATACCAGATTTAAAAGTTTAGTGCAAGAAAGCCATACTAAGCACCTTTGGAGGGCGACACTAATGCTAATTGAGCTTGATAATCTTGTAAATCTTGCTTGTTAGTGTTGAACAAATCTTTAGCTACACACCAACCCTTTTCTGTATTAGCCTAGACCATAAAGAGAGAGAAAATATACTAAGGGCTCATTCACACTTTGCTCCACACTTTCTAGGCATAGGTCTGTGTTTTCCAGACCCCTGTCCAGGTGGTTTCTTTCCCCCCATTTTTCTTTTGGTCCTGGCACTTCCCCTGGGAAAACCCATGCTTTACCACTGAAATACATTATACACTTTATACCCCATATATGCACACTCAACCACTTTGATCTGTGGCACTGCACTGTTACTCATTTCACATTTATAATAACTGATCTTTTAATGGCAGCACCTACACTTTGGAACTCCCTGCCTTTTGACACCAGGCTCAGTCTGATATGAAATCAGACAGCACCCAGAGCAAAATCAGGGAGTTAGCCCAATTCCGTTCATACTACAAGAAGCTGCTCCATCATAAGAAATTGCTCTTTGCGAAAGAACGCTGGACGGCACTGTCAGTGGCCATTAAAACCCGTGACGACAAGAAATTCTGGAATTTAATTAATGCAGGTTTAAGACCCCCCTCATTCATCGCTAATAACATCACAGCAGCCAGTTGGCACTCTCACTTTGCTCAGCTGTATTCCGCCCCAGATCCCGAAGTAAATGTTGTCTCCACTCTTCCAGCATCTGCCTTGCCCACCTGGGAGCCAGTCTCCCCAGAGAGATGTATACAACTAATCAGTACGCTTTCAGGGGATAAATCCCGGGGAGGATATGATACCACCTGAGGTATTCTTGTCGAACCAGACATGGTGGGCCCCTATTTTAGCATCTCTCTTTACCACTATTAATGCTACTCTTAAGATTCCACCTAATTGGAAACAGAGCATAGTCATCCCAATACATAAAAAGGGGGATCCACAAGATCCGCGTAACTATCGACCTATCAGCCTGCTGGACATATCATACAAGGTCTACTCTAGATTCTTGCTAGAGAAATTAATCGAGTGGGCAGAAGAAACAAAGCTATTTCACCCGGAACAGGCTGGCTTCCGTAAAGGTCACAGCACATCTGGCCAATGTCTTGTTCTATTTACCCTGATTGATAAATATCTAAACAGGTTCAACTGCAAACTACACGCGGCTTTTGTGGACCTGACCTCCGCTTTTGACTCCATCCCCAGAGATAGGCTATGGCAGAAGCTTAGTTACACTAACATAGATAAGAGACTCCTCCACCTTCTTATGGAAATTCATAATGACATATCGGCCAGAGTAAAATTCGGCCCTCTGGGAGCTCTATCTGATCCTTTCCCTCTGAATAAAGGGGTCAAACAGGGCTGCCTCTTGGCCCCTTTTCTATTCAATTTCTACATCAATGACATCGTTACAACCATGAAGGCCCTAAATCAATCTGTCCCCTCTTTACAACAGCTCAAGATCCCCATATTACTCTATGCGGACGACATGGTGATACTGTCTTTAACCAAGCAGGGCTTAAACAACATGCTCAGAGGGCTCATGACATATTGTGATACCAACTCCCTCAAAATCAATTTCGCCAAAACCAAAATTCTTACTTTTGGCACGAAAACTCGGAAGCCTTTCTGGAATTTTGAGGGCCACTCTATTGAATATTGTTCAGCATTCAAGTATTTGGGTATCACTTTTCAGCATGGGCTTAGCTGGTCAGCTCACCTAAATATGACCATCCTGGCTGCCCGTAGAACCATCAAAGCCTTGGAGAAATTCTTCTATGCAAAAGGCGGCCAGTTGGTTCCACCAATCAGAAAAGCATTTATCAGCAAAGTCCTCCCGATGTTACTGTATGGGGTTGAAATCTGGGGGTGGAATTTAAAAACACTACAATCGCTGGAGATTCTGCAAAACTCTTTTGCACGAAAGATACTGGGCCTCCCCAAGGGCTCAGTTGCTGCACAGTTAAGAACAGAACTGGGCCTCCCTCCATTGTTGCAAGAGCCCACATTAGAATCATTAGTTTTTACTGTAAATTATTCAATGCCCCAGGTTCCCTACTAGCTAGGCAAGCCTTTTAACTTGTTCTCATACCAACAAATGGTCCAAGGCCATGGAGACTATTACTGCACGCTACTCCCTCCCAGATCTCGACACGCTGTCATCTTGGGACCAACATAAAATCCGGGCCTGGATTCTTACAAGAGACGAGGCCATGGACCGGGCACAGTCCATTACAGCTCGCCTCTCCATGTGGCTCCCTAAAGTGAAAGTGGTAAGATCACTTGCCAACTACTTGATAGACCTGACGGAGCCCAATTTGAGAAGAGCGTTTACTATGGCCCGTTTCCATTCTATACCCACGGCCTTCCTGCAGGGGATTTACTCTAAGACCCCTATTACTCAGCGTTTATGTCCATGCACAATGAATGAAGTAGAGGACTTCATACATTTCTTTTTCTACTGCCCTATTTATGAGCCAATAAGACCTAAGCTCCTCCTCTTGATCCCGTCCACCATTACATCTAAGGAAGACTGTTTGAAATCGCTTCTTGTGGACGCAAATCCCCAAATTTCACGTGGGGTGGCAATCTTTATAGTGCAGGCTCTGAAACTCAGGGCTACTCTGACTGGGTAGTGTGTCCTAGACCTGGACCTGTTTTAATTCTTTTTATTACTTTTTCAACCCAATGTGCCGAGCCTATTTTGGGGCCATTTTATGTTTTATATACATCCGCATTTTGGATTCTTGGCGCTGGCAACTAAATCTTTACATTATTGTCTTAGGGTAATTTAAATGTCATTACGCCAGTAATATTGCTTTGAATTTTGTTTGGTTGCTTGTCTCTAGTATTTTTGTCTTATTTTGCTATGGCTGTATGCTAATGCAATAAAGGTTTTGATTGATTGAGTTCTTTTGACACCAGGCATGTTCCTTCACTGTACCCTTTTTGGCACCTTCTAAAAACATTTTTGTTTAGACAAGCCTACCCAGATATCTAGAATGCTGATATGGGTGCCAATCTGCTATTGATTGTTTTAAAATGTTGCTTTTACTGATACTATCACTGCTTTATTCTTTTTGTAAACTGCTCTGTGTTTGTGTGAAACAACCAAGCGGTGCATAAATTCTATGAAATAAATAAAATAACTGTTGAGGGTGATCATTGTAATCAGCATTGTGTCCAAGGGGGCCCCATTACCCACTTCAAATACATAAGACTATGGAAGAAGCCTGGTGTGGTGTGGTGTGGCTCATATGCTCCTGCGGCCAGGCTAGGAATGTGAGAGCCTGCAGGCTTTCGCTGATAAAACAGCAACTAGCCACAATGTGTAATATGGGAATGCTGGATGTAATTGGTGTATCAACCCACCCACAGGTATAGTTGGGTTTCTGTGTTTAGTGCTTGCAGTAGCTGAGAAACAATTGCAGAAACTGCAGCTGGGCCATACATTCTTCTGGACCTGTTTTGCAGAACCTGTTGCTGTGGACTGGTATTCAGATTTCTGGAATGCTTCCTTTCTACTTGAACATACTTATATACTCCCAGAGACCACACATCATTGCACTCCAGACCCAAATGGACCACTGAAAAAGTCTGGCTCCTTAACACCACTATAATCTGAGGGGTCCTGGCCAACTGGAAAGAAACCTTTGCCAATCTGATGTCTTCCAGATGTTCCCACCAGCTCCTACCTTCCACTTTTAAAACGGGTGGGGAATTTCTGGTATGTGAGCCAATGTTGGCCTGTTGGCCTCCCCAATTTGGCCCACTAGGCTGTTTGGGTCAAGCTGTGCCTGCCTACCCTGCACCAGACATCATATTGGACATACTGCTGGAGAGTGGGTTAAGCCACTGTGCTGCTTGGGCTTGCCGATCGGGACGGGGTGAGCTCCCATTGTTCGGTCCCAGCTCCTGCCAAACTAGCTGTTCGAAAGCACACAGTGCAAGTAGATAAATAGTTACTGCTCCAGCGGGAAGGTAAACGGCGTTTCCATGTGCTGCTCTGGTTTAGCCAGAAGCGGCTTAGTCATGCTGGCCACATGACCCAGAAAAACTGTCTGCGGAAGCGGACGAATGCCAGCTCCCTTGGCCTTTAAAGCGAGATGAGTGCCACAATCCTAGAGTCGTTCACGACTGCACTCAATTGTCAGGGGTCCCTTTACCTTTTTACTGGAGAGACCTTTAGTGGATGTTCTCTGAAGCACCTCCCTCCCTTTATTAAAGCTCACTGGAGCAACCTTTAATGGGGGGGAGGGGTTTAGAGAGTGGTTTGCCTCTCTGTAGCATTTCCCCCTTCCCATCTTCAACATCACTCTAGCAAAATATTTTCAGGTGGTCAGTGTCTGTCAATCATGTGATCTGGTAATGTCATGCAACCGGCAAGTGGGTAGCCCTGCCCACCTGTCAAATTTGGCCAGTGAGGCTGATCCTGATAAGGATCTGGCCCGTGGAGCCAAAAAGGTTCACTGTCCTTTTAAACACCCCACAGTTTTAAAACACCTGCAGAACACTGATATAGAAGATTAATAATCAGAT